TACATCGTATCGTTCTCCATATCTTGACATCGTCAGCATATAGCAAGACAGATGATGATAGGAGACGAGGAAGGTCATTTAAGTACAAGAGAAATAGCACTGGCCCCAAAACTGTACCCTGGGGCACTTCACTAAGCAAAGTTTCCCAGCTAGATAACTTTGAGTTCACCCGTACTCTTTGTTGGGCCCAACTAGGAAGTCTTTCATCTACATCAATATGTTGCCTCCAATTCTGACATTTCTTAGCTTATATAACAGCCGGTTGTGCGGAACTTTGTCAAAAGCCTTGCTGAAATCAATGTAGGCTACGTCTACGGGTAACTTTTGGTCCTCAAGAGCACACCAGCTTTCACGGGCGACTAATAAGTTAGTGAGACAAGAATAACCTATTCTGAAACCGTGATGCTTCCACGAAAGGATCCGGTTTTTATCCAGGTATTTAAACAGCTCCTCCCGAATAATTTTTTCTAATATTTTAACAACCACACTAGTTAGACTAACGAGTCGGTAATTCTCAGGTTTATGTTTCGTACATGTTTTGAAGACAGGACTTACTATGGCGTTCTTCCAGTCTTTTGGTGAACGACCCTGCATTACGGATAGATTAAAGCATATATTCAAAGTGTTCTCAGCAAAGTTAGATAATTCCTTCAGTAGCCTAGGATGCAATTCATCGGGCCCCGTGGATTTACCTATGTCAAGCTTATTCATCAGACCAAAGACATCAAGTTACTTAATGGTCACGCTATCCAGTGTATGTGTGGGGGGATTTGTGTGCGCTGACGGGAAGGGTTCTTCCATGGTATATACACTGCTAAAGTAGTTTGAGAACATTTGAGCCTTTCCAAAGTCGTCCTCCACCAATGATGCGGCAGTACTGTCTCCACATAGTGCAGGAATATTTCCTCTTCCTTTTGTCCTTTGGTTTATATAGGAATACAAGCGTTTGGGACATTCTATGGATTCCTTAAAAATTTTTTTACTTCGTACAACACTCTAGATTACGGAGGGTCGAGGCACAGGTATTCCAAGCTTTTCGATACTGAGATTTTGTCTCATCAGTCCCCAGTAACCTAAATCTATCCCACATTTTTCTTCTCCTACGGAGAAGGATGAGGACCTCCCTACTGAACCATGGTGGGGAATTTCTCGGCCCCCTTGGTATAGTCCAAGGGATGTGGGGTGTGGTAACTTTCAAGTATAAATTTCGAAATGCGTCCCAAGCCGTTTCAATTGAGGACTCTGGGTGCATGCTGTCTGGTATGTTTGCTTTCCAGACGTTAGGTCTGGATTGAGCTGATGCATGCTCGTTTTTGACAACTATATGGAAGTCGAAGGTTGGAACTGCATGATCGCTTTTACCTAGGTGTGGCATGTAATCTAGATTCGTGACGCCACCCTTATAATCGGCCAATATAAGATCTAGTAAGGATGATTCAGAGTCCGGGTCGTACCTAGTCGCTTCTTTCACATGTTGCACTAGGGCACATATGATAACCGCATCAACTAGTTCCTGCTCGAAGGGATTATCTGACGATTCACTTCGCAAATTTTTCCAGTCCACCATGGGTGCATTAAAGTCCCCTAGGATTAGACATCGACCACTTTGTGACCAAGTATTGAGACTGCTTAGCAGGACCCCATTTACCCCACATCTTGGACTGCGATAGACCAAACCAATCAGCAGCTCTTTTCCCTTTCATTTCAAGCAATAACTAACTGATTCACACGTCCCACTCTCATGGGATACACTGTCGATAATGGCAAATTGGATAGAATTCCTAATGAATAGAGCTACTCCCTCTCCTTTATGTTTTTGTATTCTGTCGGCTCTTACTAACCCTCGAAATCAAGTTCCACACTATCTATGGACTGTGCCAAACAGGTTTCTGTGACTGTGATTATGTCTGGCTTTGTAGATTCAGTCTGTACACCTAGTTCCGATCGCTTATTGAGTAAGCTTCGGGCATTAGTGTAACAGATCCGAAGCCTATTTAAGTGGCTTCGTGCTTCACCCAGAGTGGCTTCGGCATCGTTCTCTGTCGAAACCTTACAACCCGAAAATTTACAATTTTATGTCCTTTTTGCCAGCGTCTAACCTAAGTTTTAGTTCTTTTTCGGCTTCCCATCTTTCTACACGGTCTGCCAACGGCAAGTCCTTACGGATAAAAACTCCTGAACCCTTTGACTTATGTCCATTCTGTAAAATTAAGTCGCGTTCATTCGAAGATTTGAATATTACTTTAAGCAGTCTGGACTGATTAGGCTTCAAGTTCGCTAGACTCCCTAGTCTGTACACCTTTAGCAAGGTGACCCCGGTGACATTTTGAGGCATGAGTTGATTAAGTAGCCGTTTAATCATCACAATGTCATGCTCAAAACGAGTTTTCGGTTCAGAGCTTTCACTCCCCTTTATTCTATGACAAGTAACCGATTTGTCACTGTGATCACCCTTCGATTTCTCGACTACTTTTACGGGGGCAGGATTCCCTTTTATATTGTTATGTTGTTTCTTCCTTACAACCTGTACCCATTCGTCAACGTTGCTTGGAGAAGCAACCAAAACATATTTTTGCAGCATTTACCAATGAGATTGCCTCGGTTAATAAGCTATTTGCATCCGAACAGCACTGTTGACAGAGTCATACGCAACCGTTTTTACTGAACCGTTTGAAAGCCACAGGTGTTAAATTCGTGCAAACTTCGTGGTATCAGCACTGCATGCCGCTTTCAACGGGATAACGACAGCCCGGACGAGGGCAATTGCTTTTTTTGCACTGTCCAGTCATTAAACAGAGGATTTTATTAAAAAAAGAACTAGATGTAATAATACTCAGAGACAAAAATGATTTATAACCAAAAAAAGTGGAAAACTGTAGATTGTTAGAACCAAAAGTACTAACGGATACAACAGAAAACAAAGTACTCAAGAGTACCGACGACAAACTACTTTAGAAATAGAAACGATACTCTAGTCGAATACTTTAACTGAAATGAATTCAATTAAAGTGAAAACAGTAGTCTTGATACATAATAAACGATCAAAACAATGGAATTTACTGAGCGAGGAAAAATACCACTGTCCTTTAAATTAGCGTGCGTGATTTCAATGAATATACATTAATTTTTTTTCTGGATATTTTCCCGTGCACAAACGATCATTACTGCCTTATAAATGTCCATATGGACTTGCCAGGTCTATGTCTTTATTTTCTGCATTATTTTTTTCCTATCCGCAGCAATCATTATTTGGTAGTAACGAAATCTTTTTCGTAACTTTTTTCGTTTTTACTGTTTGTAGTTTACGCAATGTTAATAGGTTCCGAAATTCTTTAATTAAACATCTAACCTGGTACCTATCCTAAATTTTATATAAATTTTCATAAAGTTGCAAAAAAATAATGGCTTTTTACTTATTACCAGTTCATTTATGAACGTTCTTATTTGAATTTCATGGCTCCCATTAATTCAATGGCCTGTTTAAACGCCACCAGTATCTAAATGTCATTGGTAAATTCATTAAAGCAATCATAATAGGTTAAATTACTTTTAGACACAGAGATTCGAGATTTTTAGGAACTGGTTCTACGGTTTCTTGTTGACTAGTAAATGACCAATATCAGTCTTCTCAGCCTGTTTTGCCTATATCTATTAATAGCATTCCAAACAAATTGCTGCACCTTCATGGGTTTGATCACTGTTGGCTGCAATATATGAAATATAATTTCATACAGCTAGAGAATTCTGAAGTAAGGAATATTCTAATGGTTTTTATAATCTACTACTACTCAAATTCACTTAACTAGTCTATCTTCAATAAATGCGGTAATATTTTGAAGTAAATATGATTTAACAACTATAGTTGTTGATCAATAGAATGTAAAGTAAAAAAGACATAATGTTTCATAACCATCTATAAACAATCTGTTCTAACTGCTTATAAGCTGCATACTTACAATTAAATCACAACTTTTTCAATTTCACATTCAGAGTGTGGGTGAGAGAGAGAGAGGAAACAAAAGCTCTTGAATATTTTACAAAGAATTTATTTTTATAGGTAATTTCACTTCCATTCGAATTTATTTTCTGTTGTGATTAATCTTTTTTTATTTCAATGAAGAAAGTCATTTTTCTAGTTTGTTATTTTTTCTTCTTATGTATGTATTTATGTAACGAATTTATTTAATTGATTCTTTATAGCAACATTTAATTTGACTATTTTCGGTAATTGGAATAATATGTCTGATCAATAGGGAAAAATGGTGATATTTCTTACTACTTAAAGAAAAAAAAAGAGAATTTCGTGAAACTTTAACATTACAATGACCAACACAACTAGACTTTCATTTATTACTTAGTATATATATATATATATATATATATATATATATATATATATATATAACTTTCTGTGAAAATATATAAATTTATTGGATATTTTAAGGATTAAATATGATTTCCAATAAAAAGGATTTCGTGATTAAATGGTAAAACTTCTAAACCTCTTCTTTCTAAAGAACTTGGATTTTTACATTTTCCATACTCATTTGTCTACACTATTACTATGATGCTTCCAGTATGGTGACTGTAATTTTTACCAGTATATTAACTAAAGCTTGTTTCCTTTCCGAAAATTCTTTCTACTTCTGTAATTTTAGCATATTATTCTAATTTGGGTTTGGGTTATCCTGCTGTTAATATTCTTGGTTGAATTTTGGTCATAGTCGGAAACCCTTCATTCTTTGTGGATCTCCTCAGTACACTCATTTTATCCCAAGTTCAATAGAAGAGATTTACTATGGCTGGCAGTTGAATCTAGCAATGATAACCAAACCCACCTCTTCAATTTTATGCGTTAAAAGTAATTAGAACATATGTTATTGACGATAAGTTATTTCTATTTAGCATCAGAGAAATTTTCTTCATTAATCCAAGTTTTTCTATGACTAGTTGAATAATTGGTAAACTTAATTATATCATGCGGAATTATATGAAAGTTAGACATATGAAAATTTAATTGTATTTCACTATCAGGTTTCACAATAATGTTGGTCTATTACATTAATATTATTAATAATGTTAGAAATATCATTCTATAGAATTTTACAATGGAAATGAATAGTTAATTTAAAATCTACAAATAAAAAACATTCAATAAATCATTTTTTTTGTAAAAAAAATTAGTAAGATGAAGTGAAACATTGACATAAAATTATGAACAAGGAGTGTATATCGTGTCATTGTGTGAAAGACAAAATGAAAGTTTTTTATTTCACTTACTATTAAAAAAAAGTGTTCATATTGATTAGAAGTTTTTTTTGACAGAATGTTTATTTGGAGAAGTAACAAGTGCTTTAAAATAACTATGTGCTTTAATGTGTTTATGAGTGTATAGTGAAGGGAATGTATGAATCCAAAATACAAATGACAAGTTGAATAGTAAATCTACATCAAATGCTTTATTGAGTAATTACATTTCCGTGATACATAAAATGGGATACTTTCAAGAAATGAAAAATGAATAAAGTTGAATTTCATGATTATACATTATGCACATTGACAATCATGAATATTATTCTGATCTGTTATTAAAACTGTGCCTGAAATGAAATGATTAGAAATTCGGAAAATTAACCTTATTTACTAACGAATAAAATAACAGTATTTTCGTGTTAATTTACTAATATTGTTGAGTGAAATTATTTATCTTCCCTGAGCATAATAATTTATAAAATATTTTCTATGAGCTTGGTTCGAATAAAACATTTAACGTATTTACCGAGAACTTTATAGCCGAATAATTAAGAGATTTAGACGATTGCCTTTTAGGATGCATGCAATCATAATGGCTTGTATACTCAGTGGTTATAGATTTGATTTCAAACCATTGTATACATTTTAATGCAACAGAAGTAAAAGGAAGAAAGCCCAAGATGCATTAAAAGCTGTTGAATCATCTAACTGATTAATTAATTTTTTCGAGCAGCCAAAAATTTTGAAAACACTATTCATTTTCACAGAGTAAATGGAGTCCAAAATAAAATTTTTAAATAGTATGTATCACTGACACATTGTGATGAAGCAATGAAACGATTAATAAAGTTCTTGAACAGAAATTCGCAGATTAGCTCTTCAAATGTCGCTTGCATAGTTATCATATTATCCTCTTCTACAACATTTCATAAGGACTTAATTTGCTTGATTTTCCTACTGCTCATTACTTAAGAAGATTTTTCATGTATTTTGGGAATTTTAGACTGCCTGATAATATCAAAAATGTTCCCTAAACGTGGTTTTCAAGCAAACATATACAAATGTTAAATTATATATTTGTAACTGACAAAAATATTTCCAACGGCTTCACAAGAAATGAGAATATCAATGAATGATTTTTTGAATAGGCCACTCGTACTCAATAAACAATAGGATGTATTGAGGTTTTGTTGAATCTGATCACATTTTGTCAAGAAGCATCTCAAAGTAATACCATTGGCAATTTGTAACCGCACTGAAGTTTTAAATACTTTGTGTAAATTGTTTTAAAGTCGTAAAATAATAACTGTTTCACAACTCTTACCGATTTAAAGTTATTAATTGGAATACAGTTTATAAGGATAAACTGTCGTTGAAGTTACTCTACACTCTCAGGACAATATTTATCCTTATAGACCCTAAAATTATACTTAGTTATAAGCTAAATTCTATAAAAACGCTTTGCAAAAATACCGTAGCAAGAGTTCTTGAAATAAATTGAACTGTTACATCTTTTCAACTCACAAATGGTCCATCAAAAACAATCTACATGTTTATAGTATTATATGAATAACTATTGGTAGAATAAGTAATAGAAACCAGTAACCTGTTTAACACAACACTAGCTGAAGACATTAATGTAAAACAAAAACGTATTTGACAGACTAGAATATTTAATGTAAAATCTGTTCCTGTGACTGCTTCAGAGCATAATACGCGTTTTTATGTTTTCATTCTTCCTCATTTATGTAAACTGACTTCAGACAATGTAAGATCAGTACACTAGTGAGCTAGTAAAGGTGATAGATTTTTAATAGCAGAGGTATATTTAAAGTAAATGCAACAAATTAACAATAATAAATATAGGCAACAAGAGGATAAGGAAATACAAGAATGCAATAATAAAGTTTGGATATTGTAATAAACCACAGTAGTTTACAACATCCAGTCATTAACCAAGTCTTCCACAATGCTTAGGCTAGTAGAAAGTAGCTGAATTATTCTAATATAATTACTTAAAATGTAGTCTAGACACAAATTTTTATTTTAATATTTCTTTCCAATATGGTCTCATTATAGGGCCTTTTTGAGATGCACAGGTCATCATCGACTTCTAATTACAGTAGATCCTGAAAGTGTTTATAGTACACGTGTTAATTTACAGGCATAATCGGGTTGACACAAAAGTGCAGTCAAAATTTTAAAAATAAAGTTATAATATTACTGAAACGGATGTGATTCATAAGTTATTTCAAGAGAACATTGTTATAAGCTTTTTAATGTGAACCATAAGATGCATACAAAACGCATAATTATAAACGACACAAGTGTGCAGAAACAAGTCAAAGGACTTTTAACTGACAGTGCACACTTTTCTGTAACCACGTGACATCATTTCTTATTTAAGAATGGAGGCGTTAAAAATTGATATGTATGGTTAAATAAATATTGCATGATAGGAATTAACTTACCTAATACATAACTCTGATATACCGATTATATTTGTACTCCCTAAGACAGTCTATCTTAATGTGATGTGTTTACTGGTAGTGTTGCCTTATCGTCTATTAATTGCGACGACTGAAGTAAATCAACACTGAATGGTAACTGATGTGTTGTTACAATATTTGGTGTAACTTCATTAAATGTTGTATCCTGTAGTTGTGGTGTTACTATTAAACAATTTAACATTTCATTTTTACTATAATTAATATCAGTTGGTTTTCTAATAGAAGAACAATTTCTCATAGTGTTTGAATGATTATTACAAAATAAAAGTTTACTTGAATTTAAACACGATGCAGAATCTGCTTTTGTATTATCTTCTATGGAATACAAACAATCACAAAAACTAATACAGGATTCGTTGACACCGTTTTGTTGATGATTTAGCTGTTGTTGTTGTTGTTGTCGTGGAAGTGATTGTTGTTGATGACATGAATAATGTTGATCTAATTTTGGTAAAGAAGATGGGAAGTTTTTAGTAGAATAGAATGATAAATGTTGCTCAAAATAATGATATTTTGCTTGACGCATTAACATTACCTCAATAACCATCGAAAACCACCAAGTAGTGAACAGCTGTGTCAACTTAGTATGGGGTATCTCATCACTTTAGATTTAAGCCCTTCCCGAATTCAGACGAAAAACGACTAGAATTTGCAGTGAATTCCTTAATTTTAGACCAGTGGGTGGGCGTCCACTTTTTCATATTCATTAGTCGATTGGATTGATGACAATGAGGAACTGCGAGTCGCCTCACTCTAGATAAAATCAGACTTATTTGGTCACAGCTCACTGGATTTTTAGAAACCATACGGATTCAGTCACGGATGTTTACCTAGATGACATCAGCTGGTGATATAAACTTCAAAGTTACAAATGTTTAAAATTGTAAATAAATTTAGGAAGAATTTAGTACAGTATTCGAAACTTGTGTTTAGGTATTTACATGAGTAGTTCAAGAGTAAAGTCTTACCGGTGACTTCCCGAAACCACCCTATATCACAAACCTCCTTTATTGGAATCGGTTATTTATAGCAGTATGGGATAAGAACTATAAAGACTGTCAGATAAAAGAAAATCTTATAAGTTCTTGTTAGAAATCCTTAAACATGATAGTTAACACACAAATGAATAGCTTCAAAGTAAATCTATGTATCAAAGTATACAACATAAGTGAATAAACCTGAAACAAAACAAATGAAAATATTGAATGAAGAGTAGATAAGATCAGAACACATCATATACTTATTTTTTTAACAGAAAAAAAACAAACAAAAGAATAGAATAAATGAACCATAAAGTGTTGTTTTTTATCATGCATCATATTTGTTATATGTAACTCCTAAAACTTTAATTTTTTACGAGAAATATAGACATTTGAAAGGTACACATATAGGGGTCAAACAGGGTGAATTTATGAACATTTTTACCCTCAAGATATTTTGCTATCATTGTAACAAAAGTATTGTTTATCAATATGTGCATGCATGTTTGTGCGAAGATGAATTTTTTGAAACTAGGTTTTACTTATACATAATAAAATACACTTTTTAGGTGTACTCCACAAACTAAGCCACATAGAAGCTACATTTGTCCTCAGTTTTTACATTAGGGAAATTTTTGATGAAATGGTTCGTTACCATTGTTGTTTCTGATAACGCCAGTCGATTGTGTTTGAGAATAAACAAAATATGAATACAGTTAAACTCAGTACCGAAATTTTCTCAATTAAATAATCTGTTGTATAAGTGACGAAAAATGTCTAGTTTTGAAACGTTAACTGAAAAATTATTTCAATTTTCATTAAAAGGAATATGTCTAGAAAACTCTCAGTTGTGGAATTTTAATGTTTTACCAACGGTATATAATTTAATAAGTCATTTGACAAAGAACGAAATAAAGAGAATTCAACGAAGAAACTTTTCTTTCTAACGAAATAACTTACTTAAGTTGTACATTCTTATTTATAGTATTATAGTAACTATATGTCTGTAGAAGGATAAAAAAGATTGCATCATAAAAAGTGATTCGAGACTCAAAATATCAAATAATTTTGCTTAATAATCAGGGGGTTAGAGGAGAATATAAGGATGAAAATTATTTACGGGCTAGAATTATGAAAGACAATTGTCCGCTTGACAGATGTGAAAAAAATGAAAAACTCACTTGATATTTGGAGTTTTTAAAAACTGTGATGCAATATTGTCCTATCTTCTATCGACATATATCTAACATACAATTATAAACAGAAATGTACAGCTTAAGTAAATGATTTCATCGAAACGAAAATTTTCTTCGCTGAGATCTCTTCATATATACTCAAGATACAATAAGTTATTTTAATTACCTGTGAGACAGAGTGGAAAGAAGGACATCTCATCTAAATACCAAAGAAATGAGATCTCAATAAATGTGAGAACTACCAATGCATCACGCTACTGTCGGTATCAGGAAAAGTTTTCAACAGAGTGTTCCTGAACTGGATGAAAGATTCAGTAGACGTTCAACTTTGAGATCAACAGTCCGGATTCCGTAAGGATAGATAGTGCACAGGCAAAATCATGACACTACGGATCACCGTTGAACAATCAGTTGAATAAAACTAGTCACTATACATCAACTTCCTTGACTATGAGAAAGCATTTGACAGTGTGAACAAAAGAACCTTATGGAACATGTTTCAACACTATGGTGCATCTGAGAAAATCGTCGATACCATACGAAATTCATACGACAGACGCATTCCAAGTGAAGATTGGAGTCAGATAAGATTGCTTACTCTCTACGTTCCTCTTTCTTCTGTTGGCTGACTGTATTACAAAGACCACCATGCCTTAGAAGAAGAACGGATTACAGTGGACAGCTTACATGCAACTAGACGGTTTGGACTGAGCAAAAGACCCAACCACTCTATCCCATATACACCGACGAATACAGTTGAAAACAACTAGTGTAGCAGAAGCCTCTGCATCAGTAGGCCTCAAAATACACAACGGAGAAAACAATATCCTCTAATACAACACCGGGAACACCAATCCAGTCGCATTTGATGGAGAAGCCCTGGAAGAGGTAGAAACTTCCACGTACCTGGACAGCATCATCGATGAAGAGAAGAGTAGGCGGGGATCAGGCCTCATTCCTACAGCTGAAAGATATATGGAACTCAAAACGACTGTCAGGCAACATCGAATTCAGAATCTTCAATGCGAACGTAAGGACAGTGAGTTCTACTGTACGAGCTGAAACTTAGAGATCTACTACAACCATCATCAAAAACGTACAGTTATTTCTAAACAACTGTCTACTCAAGACACTCAATGTCCGCTGACCGGATACCATCAGCAACAGCCTACTGTATCAGAGAACTAATCAACCTCCAGCTGAAGAGGAAATTAGGGAAGTACTCTGAAGATGAATCGGACATATAATATGGTAATCGTCAAAGTGCATCATGAGGCATACTCTAACTTGAAATCCTAAAGAGAAAGGGAAAAGAGAAAGATCAAAGAACACGTGCCATCAGGAGTTGGAGGCGAACATCAAAAGACTGAGTAGCAACTGGAAACAACTAGAAAGGAGGGTCTAGGGCAGAGTTTGATGGAGAATCCTGGTGGGCGGCCTATGCTACTCCACGAGGAGTAACAGGCGCAAGAAAATAAGTAAGACTCGGAGCAAAATCCCCATACATTTAACTACATGCTGTTTTGCTATAAAGCGATGTTTATCCTTTTCTTTTATGTTTACAGAACTACTCACAGTACAAACTTTCTCAACTAACATCAGTAGAGATAACGAGGAGATAAAGAAAAACTGAACTGCTAAGAACTGCATCAATAATGAGAATGTAAAAGCCAATGAAATGTTTTTGTCACTTTTCCGCTCTATTCAGAGTATTGATAAATCAGTAAGAAAAGCGACGATGTTTCAACTATCACAGATGTAAACACACAGTGCCTTCATATATAGGCGTGTAAAAAATTTTACACCTTACATTTCCATATTATAAAATACATATCATACTGTATGATGCGCAACCAGTACATTTATTTTGCCATGGTTGCTCACTGCTTACAAAATCAAGATAAAATTAAGCCAATGTACTAGATAAGCTAATGGGTATGTAATATTAAGTAAAAAGATTTTCAAAATGATAATTTCGAACAGTAGTTTTAAAGTAATTTTTCCTATCTCCCGTTTTTAAAATGAGCATTTTGAGCAAATATCTTAAATTCTACTTCACATTTAATAATCTGTGCTGCTAACTGATTCTTTTTTTTCTTAGAAGATTTCTTCATCTATTTGGAAATAAACTACTTCTGAAAATTAAAATAAAGGTCACTTCTGTATTTTCAAGAATACAGTTGAGATTGAACTTTATTTTCACTAAACGAACAAACCTTGATTACTGTTTCCAGATGTAACACCGGTCAGAAGTGGAATGCCTGTCAAAAAGAAGGTTGAAAAGATTGAACTGAAGAAAACGGAAGGGGAAACATAAAAGAATTGAGAATCGGAAGAGTCACAAAGGATGTAGAGGACAACTGATGGAAGATGTGCGAATAAAGTATTTAATGTATGGTTTTCATAACTTACGAAGGCATTCTGTAATTTTGCACTCAACAACAAATTGGTTATCTTCACCAATTTTTCGTTTACTACATACTAAGAAAATGGATATTATCGTAACAGTAATCAGAACGTCAAGTGATTAGTACATACTTGTGTTCGCATGTGATTGTTCACCTTCACATTCAGTGGTAGAATGCTCAGATACGTCCATGCAGTTAAAACCATCCACATCAATTTGAAGAACTTTATTGTCCCATTTCGGTAATGTCACTGAAGATCCCGGTAAAGTAGGTAAATTGTGTGTTATATATTGTGTTGATTCATTTGGACACATATTGAAATTATGTCGACAATTCTCTCCAAAACCTTTCGCACATGGCTTATTCTGTAAACAACAATTACACTAAAATCTTTGAACTGTAAATATTTAATGGACTTTATGTATTAGATGAAGAAAATAAAGTGTAATTTAATTAGAAATGTAAACAATTAAGCTTGTTCAACATGAAACGAAAGTGTTTCTTCATCTTATTTTTAATGATTTCTTCAAAAAGAAGTGATATATTTTAGTTTTCTTACCAAAGGTTTGATAGTTTTAGTTCAGTACCGTAGATATGTTTAGGTACATATGTTTTGAATTTGTTAATATCAATAACTACTTAGCTAAGCAACAGAGTATTTGAAACTCATGTAATTTTTATACCCATGAGATTTGCTGAGATTGAGGAAGGAAGCATAGTATCACGGTTACATTTATGGATTCATAAATGTATCCGAAGGTAACTTATCAAAACATACTTATATGATAGTTTATTAACGTAACATACATATAAGAATATTACTCTCTATTAAAGAAGCAAATGCTACTGAAGATAAAACTGTTAAATTTAGTTAACTGTTTAGTTGAATTAGTTGACTTGCTGTCATGCCACACATTATTCATCGTGAATTATGTTCTGTATTTTAGTAGGAAGCAGTGAATAGTCACTCATAAAACGAAACTCGAACAGAATTGATAGGGATTTGAACGTAAAGTGTTAATGGTGTATAAAATAAGACCGTATCATTTTTTACTACTACTCCTTTAAAGCAGTCTTAATTTACTTGATATCGGATTTCAAAACTTAAACTTGTATCAAATAAAAATTATGGTACCAATGAAATCTGCTCATTATTGGATTTACAGATTGTTATGAAATGTTTCACTTTCATTGAAATGAAGAGCTAGTAAGAACGAAATTTATTATCAATTTTTTACGTGAACCTGTTACTAGTAAATAAAATACAGTTTCTCATATCTCTAGGAGATTTTTTATTATTCATATATCTTCATGTCAGCTACAAGCTCAAATACCGATAAGTAGAGATGTTATGGTTTTAGTAAAATGATGAAATACTTTCCTGAAATCAGTTACTCACCTATCATGCAACCAATATTCTTATCATAAACATCCCTTAATCCATTACACCTCTCCCAGTCAATGCTAATGCTTAAACAAGTAATTATATATATATAAACTACATTTGATGGATGGTGATCTATTGTACATTATAATTTAACTATATTCAGTAATATAAGGCTTCATGTTATAGGAGGACCCTAAACATTTTTATACAGCTTGTATATCCAAGCTTACTGATCTTGTCATGATCACCAAGGATAAATCTCTTTTTGAATAAGCGAACACACTGAGTTCATTGAAAGCCATAAATAAATTATTTATGTTGTATCTTTATGATCCTAACTTTTGGAACTCTCTCATCTTTATGTTTCTACTGAACTGAACATATTTCTTTCGTATTGTGTAGTTTTTCAATTACTTTAAAAACCCTTTCAACATTTAAAATCACAATTTGTCTGGCTGTGAGGTGTTTAAAGATAAATAACTTACACTGGTAATTGGTAATCCTGTTATTATACATTTATTTGAAATCGGGACTCCATCTTGTTGATGTGAATCAAACAAATAAACTGAATTCACTGTGGGTTTTTTCTGTAAAATATCGGTTGGTATTAAGTCACTGTAATTTCTATATGGGATAGTATTGAGTTTTGGCAGACGTTTACTAGAACTTCCACTATCTGTATTACAATTAATATATGAAGCTGTAGGTAAAGTGGTATGAGTAACCAATTTCGGTGATTCACATGATTTAGAATTAGTAGATTTATTTACGAGAGTGGAACAACAGCAACAGCATTCATAATAACACGAATCTGAATTGTTTGGGTGTGAAACACAAATATTTAATAGGAAGATAGATAGAAATGCAAGCAATAAACCAGATACTATTAGATCCAATAGTTCAGCTAGATAAAGAAAAGTTGGATAATATGAATAGAGATCTGAGTCTAATAAGTTAAAATTAATATGTCAAAGGATATAAAAAATTAAAATAAAAAAATGAGTAGTGAAATGGCGAGTCATTTATTTTATGATATTTATTTTCAGACGAATTAAACAATCGTTAATGGAACGAACAATAAACCGTTTTCCATCACAATAATGTTAATCATTTTCTCTTTAGTAAAAAGCAGTCCAAACCGATCCTTGAGATGTTGAAAATAAGGTATATCGAACGGAAGTATTCATCTTTTTCAACAGTGAAAAATTGGCTATAATTTATTTTTAATGTTCTGTAATTAAAAAAAGTGAATATATGAAAATAATTCTTAAACCAGGTCTCAGCAGGTTCTTCCAATTTTTTAATATTTCCACTTTTTTATGCATTTTGAGTCCTTTATACCAAAAAGTTACAGAAAACGTGCGTCATGTATCTGATTTCCAAAAAAACCATAACATTTTAACGGTGATAAGTGGATTACTACTTTTGTCATAATGACATTACAAAATGACATTACTATTTTATAAAGATGGTCTACATGATTAATTGCCATCAGTTGAACAATTGTTTTGGTGCTCCTTAGTTTCGCTATTCAAGCTAATTAAAAGAGAATGCAATCGAACTCGGTATATCTTAGATTGGCTAATAAATGGGTATATGAAAAAGTTTACATGATTTTACCCTAAAGAAGACTTCCGTTTAAATGTAATTTGAGCTACCTATTAATCCACTACGAAGAACAGGAATATATCTTGGTTCAGCGTTTTTCATGTTGACTCGATGATTACTGTCCAGTAAAATAGGTTATATATATGCCAATCGTAAGCAGAAAAGATAAATAGTGGATTTTAAATTCACGTATTACTTGTGAAGTAGAGACAGAAATAGATTATAATCTCTAACCAAGTTATTTAATTTAATAAAGTTAATTTTAGATACAATCACTGAATGATTGAAGAAGCAATACGAGTATATAATCGTATAAACACACACGTACACATATGCAAACAGAGACACACAGTCACATAGACATAAAAATGGAAACAAATAATATTGAACGGTCCAAATAGAAATGAGTATCAAGACAATAAATGATAAATGAAATGAAGAAATATAAATAATAATCACACTTACCGATTGGACTATAAATTGCCTGTACTGATTCCAAACGTATAAGACGATTTTTATCTCTTGTCAGCTGTATTGTAACACTGACTAATCTATTGTTCGTTTATTTTTAATTATTGTTAATTAATTATTCATTCATATAATTTTTGCGAATAACATTGTTGAATTATATAGTAGTTAATTTTTTTCATTTATTAGTAATCGGAGTAAATACAGATTTATATATATTTATATACACGCACACAATTTGTCCGAATATATGAATTGAACACAGTACAATATAAAAAAGAAGAGATCACCAAAAGTGAAATGTGAAATGTAGCATTAAGTAATAGAAAGTGTGAGGGGGCAATTGACTTTGAACAGAAATAAATTTTCACTCTAATCAAAGATATATAGCCGAATATAAAAATAAAAGAAAATTAATAATGATAATAGTAATCTCTATTGCCCCAGATGCATTCATTAAAGACTTTTGTTTTTAATTTTTCTACGATTTGTATTGTTGTATATACCATCTTAACGAAGGGGAGACATGACCAGTATAAACAAAAAGTAGATAATAACGTCTAGAGAATGATATACTTACATAACTTAAGAACTGCTTATGTTGAACTACGAAACCTTAATAAAAAACACTTGGAATGAAAAGTTATCACAAGTAACGTAAAAATAAAGGGTGAATGAAAATGGTTAGAAGTAATATTAAAGAAGTATCGTATAGATATTTGTTAGCTATATGCACTTTCAATGTTGTTAATTTATATTGTTGTAGAGCGTAAAATATTCACAATAGAACTATCTACTACCATTATATTAGCTTTATAGTTAAATATTTAATAATTACTTCCTAAAATCTGCATCTATTTACAGTATACTTGCATTGCATTTTCGAACTATGCCTAGAGCTTATCTTCTGCCTAAACAAGTATTTTAAGTGGTAATTTTCAATACTGATGGTGATTTTCTAAAGATCGTTTATTTTTAACGTTAATGCCGAATGGTCTATTTGTCTTGGATTCTAGCCAAAGATAAGATGGTTATACAATTCCAGAAAATCTTTAACGAGAACTAAACAGCTGTCCAATACTGTATGACTTCTTGTAGTTCATCACATTTACACACAACCCGTTGAAAATCAACTACGTATTTTCTCGTCCTGGCTTCCAAAACTGATCACTATAGGGTTAGCGTTCTACATGTGTAATTGTTTTAGTAATCTATCACGGGGAAGGAATGACTGAAAAGATTTAAACTAATGATCATCCCACTAGAGTAATCGTTTATTTATCCGTATTTCTTACAGCTGTCATTCATATTTTTATTGTAAGCTCATTATTAATATATATATTCTCATACATGATTTTATCACAAAGAAGTTGCATATTTTTTATTGTCTTGACACCACGAAGAAACAGTCATATTTATCACCCACATGAAGTAAATATAGACATTATTAATTAGGTAAGAGTTAGCTGACTTGAATAGACTACCCAATTTTTTACCTCTGATTCTCCCTAAACAGTGAGTCTGATTAATTCAAACTATCCCTAATGTGTAAACACCTAAATTATTACGAATACTGTCAGTCACTTTGATATAAAGAAATTTGGATTCATGCGAGAAATGTCTCAAAAGAACTAAGATATACGTTATACTTTTCTTTTCGGTGTAATGATTTCCCCCAATTAGTGTTTATTTTATTGAAGTTAGAAATGAATGAATACTTTTGACCAAACTTTAAACATTCATGGCTTTTCAAACTCCAATGTCTTTCTCTAAAGTTTTACAGCAATCGACCAGTCGTTTTCTCCAAAGTGATTTCTAATATTTTACTCCGCACAGACTGAAACAATATGTTTTTGTATTACCCATATATGTTTGTGCTCACTTCATTTTATTGTAGTATGAGCATAGATTGACAATCTCTGCTACTCAGAAGTTAAACCCATTAAATCTTTTCCATGTTCTTAGTGTTTTGAATATCCATAATGTAAAAGCTACTATTTCATACCACTCCTGCATCTATCCATCAAAAGAGCTTTTCCTTTGGGACACAATACACTAACCGTATCTCAATTCCGTTTTTAGAATCCACCTCTGAAGTTATCAATAAACTATTTTAATGCTTTTGTACATTTGATGAATTTACAAAACATCTTTTTTTAATTTTGCTAGTTCAATCAAACAATGTGAGGAATTTCGATAGAACAATGAGAAGACGGAGTTGATCTGAAAAATGTGATGTATTTGTATTTTTCAGATCAACTCCGTCTTCTCATTGTTCTATCGAAATTTATAAAAGGGACTAATTGCTTTAAATGTGAGGAATATTTATTATATATGTCTTAAAATTAAGAAAGCCATAATAGTTCATAACTCAAATTTTACATCCAAACAGGACTTATTTAACTCATTTAACTGCAATAATGTTAATTACAATTTGCTTAAACTTTTAAAATTTCTTTTTCTCTAGTATAATTCTGATTCTTGTCACATCGCATTCTTGTTTTCATTTTATTTCCGTATCACATTATATTATTTCACTTTTGTTACATTACACAGTTTGGCAACTTAAATTCATATGATCTATTAATTACAAACTTCTTCATATGATGATTAATAAAATAATGCAATTATAGAGGTGTCATCTTTTGAAAATAATTTTTCTATGAATGTTGCTACTATTCTGCTTGTTGTTATTTTTGAGGAAATGCAATTACTATACACGAATGAGCATTTTGAGAAAAATCATTTAAAATAAATGTATATAGATGTGAAAGGTTAATAGAATCAGTAGATTATAAGGACTATATATTTGCTTAACGTAACAACATATAAACAAGTTGAATCAGATCTGTAATTCTCCAGTCTGTATTGCAATATATGTATCTTGAACGGATGAACACAATAGTGCCATTTAGCCACAAATGGTTATTAAATTTGAGTAATGCTTTGAAGTAGAATTCAAGACTATACTTTTTTCCTATTTCGCATTTGAAGATAAATTTAATAGATTCAAATCATAGTATAAACATCCACAATGTAATGGAGCGATATCTAGTTGATAATACTTATATCGAACAAAATGCATATTCTGAATCTTACTACTGGCCACTGACAAATCTAAATAAAAATGTGAATTGATATTACTTCTCACTCCACTGTAAAAACGGAACTTTTTAATTCATTATAAACTAAGCATCATATAAAAACCTATTAGTAACATTTTTAAATAGAGATTATTCACTGTTATTTTTTGTTTTAATCGAACAAGTTAAATGTATGTAACGGGAGGGGGGCGGAAAAAGTTTTTTTCACATTCTGCACTCATTACATATGAATTGACTTTATTTTGAGGTTTCTCATTGGTTGCTTACAACTGTATTCATTGTAGAGCGTAACAGTGAGATATGACAGTATGGAGTAATCGACAATGATGACGAAAAGAATTAGAGTAACAAAGATTAACAGTGACCAAATGCGTGGATTTTCTTTGGTTTACTGAAGCAGTAACAAATGAAAAACAAGACCAGATTTATATGTCCAGAAAGGCACAGAAATCAGTTGTTATAACCTTGGTAAATTCACAGTTTTGAATATCACCTAAACTTATCACTATTATTTTGTAATTTTGTGTCTATTTACTCATACGATCCTCACTAAAGTGACTATTAATTCATGTACGCTAGAGCCATCCTTTCATTTATCTGTATTTTCACTCAGTCACTTATCCAAATTTATATAGACTCTTTAAATCTCATGTAAATGTTACGCAAAACACATTATCAATTTCGAATTCTAAATAACTAGAACAGTATCATTTTGTCTTTTATATATATTTTCAAGTGCCTTAAAACCACTTTAAGCTTCTCAAGTCTTCTACGAACACCAAACACACTCCATGTAATTACTGCCTAACCTCCTATCTTTCTTAAATTCGATATTATAATGACTTCACATCTACTGATTACTCCACATTGTCGTATCTCATTGTTGCACTCTACAATGAATAAAGTTGTAAACAACCAAGGAGAAACCCCGAAATAAAGTTAATTCATATTATTCTGCCTCCAGTGTTGTTTTGGTCCTAATAAAATTAACAAAGGAAACCAATGTATGATCTAAGCAATAGTTTTACGTTACAAAAATAAGGCGATATTTATATTTGTCAACTAAACCAACTGGAATACTTATATGATCAAACTGAAGAGCTTTAGAGATTTTTAGTTTAGAAAAATAATCCCAGAAATAAACATGGTTTATTATTGTTACTATATATTAATGTTTATTTACTACCTGAATCAAAGTGTGTAACTTACTACCAAACTATTCGTTAAAGTCATTATTATTATTATTATTAATTCTTTCATACTTTAATAAGTTTAACTTTTAAATTTCAGTTCACTATCAAAATGTTGAAAACATCACAAATGATAAATAAATGAATACAAACAATTTACTCACCCTTCTTCGGTGCTAGATTTTATCACCCGTGTATGAAAAACAAAATAAGAAGGGATGAAAACAAAATGTATGATTTAGTTAAATAACATAAAAATGGAGGAAATATATAAAAGTGGGTAAATACAGTTGAATTTTCAGAAAAGAAAACACTTAGCAACATTATTTTAGAAAAAGTCTTCAAAACAAAAGAAACTTTGTCAGGCATTTAGAAATATAACAATTAACAATTTAATTCTAAATAGGAACACACAAACTGTCAATATGCTATTAAAAGTATTTTCTTTAAAAACAAAGTCCATTAAATATGAATAAACTTTTTGAAATAATACGCACTTGTTTAATTTGTGAATTTGCTGTTTTGTATGCAAAACAAACCATAGTTTAATATATAATCAAATTATGAATACATCACATTTTTGTGTACATCCATTATTGTGTACAACTGAAAATACTCGCCAAAGTCATCAGCTTCATTAAACGTCCAATGAAAGTACAAATTAAAATTGACAAACAAGTACTTTAGAATGTAATTTAATCCCATCATTTATGAGGACGAAATTGAAAGTGAGTTTGTTTACGTAATTTAAAAGATCTCTAATAAATCATTCTACAAATCTTTTGTAGTCTGTCTCAATACATTTAGTTAATAACCAAAAAGGTGTCGTTTATAGAAAGTATAAGGTGACTTACATCAAAATAAATCAGTTCAGATTATTATAAAGAGGCTAGACATCACTAATTATTTAATGAAATGAATTTTTCGGATATCGTTACACATAATAGTTAAGCAATCACATGTTTGATACACTGGTTTAGACTCAAAAAAATGTTACCAATTCCTTCGCTTCTGAGAGCATATTTTGTCACTTTGCTTAACAATAAAATTATCACAATACAAATATGACTACAGATCAACAACCTTTCTTGAAATGACTATCTCAAAAAACAAATAATTTTTATGGTTACCTACCTGATCAAGCTATCTGGTTTAGTGTTTAAACTAGCCCGCTTAATTGGGACAGTTTCAATTAATTCACGGTTATCCAAAACTAATTTAGAAAACACCATTCTTAATTGTTTGAACTGCGAATCGGTAGCTAGAAGAACAGCTTGAAGACTGGCTATATCTTCACTGGCAACAATTAACTGTGATTGTTCTAACTGATTTTCCCAACTAGTATCGTTGTATATTAATTTATTGTTAGTTTGCTTGCACTGATTTGTTTTACGTTGTAAATCAAGCATTGTCACATCAGAAAACAGGTCGTTGTGTAATAATTGATTAGCGAGACGATCCAACTCATCGACGACGTTTAAAAAAAACAGACGAACAAGATGAATGTGAAAATCTAGTCCTGGGACTAATGTTATATCTCGAAACAAAATGCTTTGTCTAAAAAGGCGGACAAATTCCTTTCCTAAACGGCTAACCCTTTCTAGCATACGAGAATGTTCTTCACTATCCGTACATAATCCGTTAGATTGATCTGAAGGATGTTTATTTGTTGATAGACGTTCGCTATCCCAAAGCATTAGGTCAGTAGCTTCTAAATTGAATCTATGTTTTCTATGAACTTTATAAACTGCACGTTCTACTGTCTGTAAATCCAAATTTAAACTTTGTAAAAGACGAGAAAGTTGTCTTAACTGTTCAAATGCTGTACGATTAGCTTCGCGTAGAAATGCCCATGTTTGAAGGAGTAAGCCATCCTGAAATAAAACGTGTATCCGAAAGAACACTAGGTGTTGATCTAATGATAAATATATAATGTAGTTCAACAAAAATACATGTATACACTATTCTTTGAATTTAAATAAAATTAACTATAATAATAACACACGTTTTTAGAGAAAGTTATCTTATGCTCGGCAGTCAACCGACAATCTTGGATTTGACTTTAGCGTGCAGTGTCGTGGGTGAGCAATGCTGAAGAGTCCCTTGCCAAGACGAAACGGTGGCCCAGTGCCTCCAGGTATCCGACAGTTTTCTGACTGATACTATGTCCTGGTTTCAGTGACATTCCCTTCTCCTTAGCTGTGTTTAAAAAGCTGCACTGATTTAAACTCCATGCTAAGTTGGTATGTGTTTTATAAATTCTTTGATCAGAATCTAAAAATTATATGTTAGGTAGTTGAAGATAATAGACTAGAGATTCTAGCTGGCTTATTCCAGTGTAAAAGTATGTCTATGTGCTATGTTCACTTAGTCTCAGAACGGAACGAAGACTGTTACACAATAACAGATAAGTTAGCTATCAGACATTACATGCCATATATGGTGAAATGGGAAACAAGATGAGAGATAAATGGCCACTAATATGACGATTGTTTTGGCTTCCTTAACACTCCATGTACTACAATAACGCTGTAATTGTTTTTTGAAAACATTTTCACGAAGAATTCATTTAGTTTAAAGTAGATGGTTTTTCATAAAGTAGGTAAAATACTGCAGTCCCTTTCTAGTTGCAACATTAACGACACTCAAGAGCATTAAAAGTTTAATTGATGAGTCGACCTACGTTAGACCACCATTAGAAACCTGGAATTACTGGGCGGCCGTCTGGTCTCCTGGTATGGGACTTCTCGGAAGTACACATCCATGATCTCTCACGCAAACCTTGAATCCTGGACCTTCGATCTCGCACGTGAACGCTTATGACACAAAATATTCAGAATTATTTACCAGCTTTTATGAGAATTTAGTTCTTTAGTTAAAACAATTAAAAAGGAGAATAATGAACACATAAACTATTTCAGTTCAATGTACAAAAGCGTTTATTGCTCCGTGTTGACGGTTTAACGACTTATTAGGAAGTAAAATAGTAGTAATATTTTGAAATATCGTTTGTAAAGAAACAAATCATCATGGATATTCTTTTTTGTCCTTACGATGATATTATATTATTTCAAGACTGCTGAACAAAAATAGTTTTCAAACACTTTCATTCAGAAATATTTATTAAACAAATTCTTATGTCCTGTAGTTTATGGATAAAAGTTACTGTTATTGGTCAAACAGTTATATACAGGTATTTTTTAGAGATGCACACACCTGTTATAATCACCATTTTGTTTTATTTCCCACCATAAACTTACTTTTATGATTGAAATGTTATCAACATAAAACGTACAATGTAACATTAATGGTACAATTCACCGAATTCCTGAAGGAGAGCCACTAAACCTCTAAGTAAACATCATTCAAACGGAAGGGATAGTTGCTTATTAATTTTTATCTGTATGTTAATCCAAATAAAATTGTGGTTTAATTATCAAAAGTAAGACAAAATGTTTTTAGAAATCAGTACATAAAAATTTTGAAAAGTAACATAGTGGTTAATTAACTTCATAAATTATTGTAAAAACTATTATTCTGACCATCCACAGAACTCGCTTACACACAATGACTAAGAACATTTAAACAATAAAAAACCCTATAATATATCGTATTTACTGAATTTATTTTTATCTTCATGAATTCAACTTGTAGATAAGCATTAAAAGTCAAATCAATCCCTTTCAAAAACAATGCACCGAATGAAATTAGGATTAAAAATTAGCTACAAGTAGTTATGACCAGATGTAGTCTTAGTCTAAAGATTTCCTATTTCTTAACATTAGTTGCTAAACCTGTGCAGTATTTTTCTCGAGCTGTCAATACGTTAAGATGTAATGATTTTAAACCCTAGTTGATGTGGATAAATATCAATATAATAGTACTGTCTGAATTTTTCGACAGCACTGGAAGACAATAACAAACTTTCTTTATTTTCTATCGCTTACTCTATAAAAACTAATTAAAACAATAATATGATGAGAATTTGTCAGCGATAAAAATGATTAGATAAAGTAATTTCTAATACAAAACAGTAACCTACCCAAATCTCTTTTCTGTAAATATGCAGAAATTGTTCCGATTGATTTATATTCAATTCTTTAGAGTTTTTATGATTATTGTTATTAGGATCATAATCACTAATGTCATCAGAAACAGTTGTCGGTTTTTGGTTTTTCGATATAATTTTGTTATTAAATTGTTGTTGATCAGTAAGTAGTTGAAAATTATTGTTTGATTGAAAGTTGGTTTGATTTATTTTAGTAAATAGACTTAGAGAATGTGTAAATAATAATGGGGATTTTAATGCTTGGGTTATGGATTCTACCGAATAAGATATCGCTTCACAGGGATTATGACATCGACATTGAACTGGTGATAGAGATTCTATGGTGTGATGATAATGGCAGTTGTGTTTAGAAGAAATGAAAGGAATAATTTAAAAAAGATCAATGCAGTATGTCAACTAAATATAGTATAATTTCAAATAAAGTTTCATGTGATTGTTCGAAAAAACATTTCATAGAACAATGAGTTTAAACAGGAATCCTTAAGTTTTTATGTGGTATTTTTCAATAACCTGGATAATTTTTCATTACACAAAACAATGTGTAAGACATTACTAGATTAGATGCAAGAAAATATATGTAACACAGGCAGAATCAGATAAATAATAAACACAAAACACAAGAATAGAGAGAAGGACTTATTTAAAGTCGCTTTGTCTCTGCCCATCACATTAAAAACCCAGGTTCAAGAAATGTTTAACTTATAAAATTAAATAAGTTTGATTTACATATACAGTGGAGAAGTAAATCAAAGTGGCTATTCGAAGGTTAAGATAAAGTAAATACTAAGTGAAAACTCATAGAAGAAAGCATACAAGCTTGGTTATATTAAAGACTATATGATCAAGTATTTACAGAAAACAGCAGTGCAGCGAATAGTTAAATCCTCATTTATTGAAATTATAGGATAAGCCAGTTAATACATTACTTAAGATATTAATCCAGTACTTACATATAGGTTAAAGCGTACCATTAGTGATCATATTAATTCGTGTTTGTTGAGTAGTTTATACTCACCCGAGCACATATGCAAAGCAATAATTATAAAATTTACTTGTGACTGTTTCAGCAAGCACCAAAACGGATTCAAAGTACATGAATTATGGTCTGATATCGCATGACATGTTATTAAAATCTCGATAATGTTGTTGCACATCAACTATCTCATTACACGTACTGTCTACTAATCAGTCTAAACCTAGAATAACTGACAGTCTGTTACATGATAAAAAGCCTAAATTGGAGCAAGTTTTATTGACTGGGCTTGGCATTTTTCTGAACTTGGTTATTACTTCTTTTCATTATACTAGAGCTGACAAGCGGATGCATGTGGAATACCTAGCAATGACAGCAGAAAGAGCCATAAGAAAAGGAATATATGAAAACCAAATGATACAATCGAAAAACTAGCAGGAAAATGTAGCAAACCAAAGCAACCAATCGAAATCAAAGAAGATAAACCAAACACTGGGATTAAAGAACAGCAGAATAGGTGGTTAAAACACTTTGAAAAACTCTTAAATAGATCAGCCTCACGCACCCACCGCATATCAAAGTAGCAACACAGATCTTCCTCCGAGGAAGTAGCTTACACTGAGTCACGAAACGTCAGAAAGTCTAATTTTTCTACTCACTGGGATATTGCAAATACATTGTTTTTGTTTAGAACAATATATCCAATACTCAGTTTATTTGAAATTATCAAGCTGAACCTTGGTAATGATACCTATAATCTAAATTCTGTTTATGTGTATATTATTTATAGGTATTTGACTCTACTGGGTCTGGTTCTACATTTTACATGATTAGTGCACTGGTTCGAATAAAGCTTTCTAGAACTTTACGTCACTGTTATAACTTTCAGATTCAACTAATCAACAGATTATGATCAAATAAACTGTTTTCATATATGTTCAAACTTTAGTGAATTCCCCTTCGGTAAAAGTTGATAGTGATCTAATAAATTAACAACCGAGTAACTTTCTTCCGAAATTTCCATCTAAATTAGTCTAAATATTTTTTATTGAATGAATATGTACTATGCCCATACTCTCAAAAAGGTATAGATTCAGATGAATAGTCACCAGTATCAAAAAAATGTTTTGAATACATCCAATGAATTTAAACTAAAATGGTAGCAATAAAACAGCTTTTGGATTATTCTTTCGAAATGTTTTGCAACTTTAGTGAGTAAAACAGTGACCATTGTGTTAAAGATGAGTGGTTGTTGGAATGAGCAAATTTAGGTCATGATTACTCAAATAAGTTATTTAAGCTCATTAATACACAAAGTTATCAACATTCTAGTTAGATTTCTGTAACTTTTAACTTTAATAAACAAATCTGACAAATCCTTATATCCTTGCAACACATTACAAATTACGAATTAAAATCCGGTAGCCTTTTTTACAAAATAATAAAAATGGCAAATAATTCTGAAGACTTCCCATTCTAGAATAATGTTTTCATTCTCAGTATAATTATCGACAAATAAAAAGACTCAAAATAGATGCTTCTAGATGAAAATATAATGTACATACAATAATTCTTGAATATAAGAATGGATAGGTACATTATTCATTATTCATATGTGAATATAGTTTTCCATAGTCGCAATCATCTGGTAGGTAAATTTAGCCGAAATATATCGATCTCTTGGTTTAGATTGCCTTACAAAAAATATTTATATATAAATTCAAACTATGATTGGTAGCTTTCTGTATCAGAAGTTCAAGGGACACTAATTAAACATACTATGGAAGAAGCAACTCAAACAGTTGTTAAGATTAATGATTATAATTATTCTCAAACAATGCAGTTATGTTAGCTGATGAGTATAACATGTTCAAAACCTATCTCTATATCCTTAGACTTCGTATGTGAAACCTTCCGATTATTGAAGAAACTATCATTTCTTTATGACTTCTACTGTTTTCACGTTTGATTTTTTCAGTCATTGAGAGATAAGAGCTTTATATAATGCGAAACCGTTTCTGCCTAAAATATTTATGCCTAGTCTCAGCGTTAGCCACATTCTACATAATAATGAAAAGTAGTTTAAATTATCAAAAAATACATGGACTTAAAAATAACTTATAGCTTTTTATTATAATCTAGTAATGATCAAACGTTTTGACCATCATTTGTTATATTTAACATTAAAAGATAAACAGATTCGCTAACATTGTTATATTTCTTATTACAGACTGAAGAAGAAATTAGAGTTGATAAATACAAAGTTAATTACTACTCGATTCTCAAATAAACACAAAAATAAAGTCAAATGAAATTCAGTAAATTTTTACGCAACTTATTCATAGATCTCTCTGCGAATTAAATATTGAAGGTCCATATTGATCCACTGTTGAACGATAGATAAATAAAAGGTACTAGGTTCAATTGTTTTTTAAATCGTGCTGCACAACGTTTTAGCAGCCTAGCCTGTGATATTTTCAGACTTGTTACCTGAATATAAAAACAACTATTTATCGTAACTTTCTAATGCTTCTAAGACTGAATATTATTTCTTGAAGTCATTAACTTCGTTCCTCAATATAAAAAACATAAAATTACCTCGTCAAAGTTATCAGTCTTGAAAAAAAGCTCATTGTCATATTAAGAAAATAGACATTTTGATTCTTGGAAAGCCAATTTAACGCTTACAGTTTAATAATTAAAGGTTAGTTAGGTACTCATTTTAATCATATTAGTGTTCACATTAAAAAAAAACAAGTTTTAACACAAACAAACTTGGACATAAATTCATTTGATATTGTTTGTTTTAATCTTGCCATTGATGTTTAGGACTGAAATTGATCAGTCTCTTATTGGTATATGTGCATCCTATGCGGATTACCTCGATATTACCTTAATTCACAAGCTTAATAAGCAAAGGTTACATAAATAAATGGGCCGACCTGCATGAATAAGTTGAAATGAAAACATATGTAGTTAACAGCAATTTACGGATAAACGTGAAATCGTTTTCACTTATTATGGATTACCAAAATAGAATGCTGCAGTGTGCTTAAAGATAGAAAAAGATGTATTCTCGGTGAAGATAAAATGAAAACCAGATAAAAGGATTGATTAACTGGCTTCATCATAAAAATAGAGCGTCTGTAGTTCGTAAGATATGACTCATTGCATTTCACGTAGCACTTATAGGACTGTCAATTTCACTAAAATAAGAATGAAATGCAATAGACACCTCCATTTTTAACAGACCTTCTTAAATTACACCTTTTTATTTCAACTGTAATTACCACTTATTCTGTTAAGTTATTCACTGTTAAATTACTGTTTCGACATGTACTATTGAAGCCCTTTAAAGCTTCCAAACATAAAAGAAATCTTAAAAAATCATAAAACCGTGTAACATTTATAAATGTAGAAATAATTGACTCACCGATCATTGAATTCATAGTTAATCCACATTTCATCATTTCAAAAACAGTACAATCTGTAAGACAACAAGGAATTATCCACTACTACAATAACGAAATAAATAATTTTTCGAGAACTTTTTCGAGGACAAAATTATGATTTCTTGTCACAACAAAATGTTTATAATAATAGTTTAACAATGGTCATTCACAATAATAACAAAATATTATGTCTTGTTTAGAGGATAACAATTTTCTATATCCAGGCATTTGATTTAAAGCCGTATTAGGAATATAAGGTATAGAAAAATTTGTTAGCATTTAAATAATTCCAAATTGAATTTAATAGCATTGAGAGAAGCTACTCAATGACGAATTACTAGTTGATTGCTTTCATACAAAAATTTGTAAAATATCAATTATCCACGATATTTCTTATTTCTTATGTAATATTTTATTAAATCTCTTGTTTATTTTCATACAAACATAAACTTTCTTCACTGTTTATAAACTGTACACTCAACTGTTTTTTCTCATAAAATACCAAGATGTAAACAAATCTACTAATAACCAATGAACTTAGCGCACAAATGGTTGCGACTGTCAATGTGTAAACTGTCGTTTAAGAGAATGAAAGTTATATAAACCTATAAATAGAAGTCGGAGTTCGTTTACAATAAAATACGTAGTTGGTTATCACAAAAAATCAAGATACAGTCGAATAAAAGTATTTGTCAAGGAAATATTTTAACAGTATGTTAATTAAACTGGAGTACATATTTATTTTCTATTCTGGACACAAAACAGATACGCTGTTAATCTTTAACGAAAACAAAATTAATAGGTTACAAAGTGGGAACATCTCGAGAAACATTGCCAAACATTTGAACTTTTTTAACACACAGAGAGAAGCAGGTGATGAATGGAACAATGTACAGACAAGAAATACAAAGGAGAAAACAAGAATTAACAGAATGATAGATCAATATTTATTATCGATTAAATGACATAAAATCACTTATCTTAAGTGGAGGACTCACAAGTGTAGAAAAAGTAGGGAAAATTCACTAAAAATGACATTTGAAACATTCATATTTCATAGTTAATATTTTCTGTTTGATAAATTAAACTTGTGACTAAAGCATTTATAGAATGTTGCATATGTTGTAATTTTTGCAAAATGTGCTTAAATTATATGACAAGTGTTCTCAGATGTCAGATACACCATTTGCTTTCTAGTCATTATCGTATGAGAATAATATTTCAAAGATAGATCTAAGTGATCAAAAATATCCCGTCTCTTTACATTTATCAGACCTGAAGGTTTCATCATAGTTACATACCTGTTTCTTACTTCTATGACCACTCACGTTGAAAAGTTACTTTAAAAGTTCAAATGATTAGACTTAGGATGTCCGTCTAAACTTATTTATTAAAGTAAGTCGACACTAAACTGCATACGAACGTCCACAACCGATTCGTATAACAGATTAAAATAAAGATTAATTTAATATTACTGAATTACAGAACCTGATTAACTGAAAATCTGTGACATAATAAAACCATTTATCTATACTGTGGATATCCGGTTTGATTTCTCATCAACTTTCATTATTCATCTAGCCATTTACTGAAAGCCAAACCAACTTCAGTAAGCAGTGCTATGTCTTTATCTACTAATTTGTTGAATTTTTCTTCTAAATTATGCCAAATTATCAACATTTATGGTGTTATATTTATAGGTCTTCACAGAAATTTTGGAATCTCGTGACAGTTTACTGCCATATTTTGCTTTCAAACATATACAAGTTCTATATGAATGTTTACGTGTTCAGGATTACTTACATGTGGGTACAATTATTATGAGTGATTTTTTGTTGCATTTCACATAATACTGGATCGAGTTACATTAAAACACATACCTTTAGTAAAACTAACCTAACAGAACATCACTTAAATACAGCAGCATATAGTTTACTAAACGTTTTACAAAATATGGTGAAAATAAAACTTAAGACACTGGAATGTGACTGAAGAAAAATGAATAACTATCAAAATGAATCAGTAATTTTTCTAATTAGAAGTCTGTAATAATAATGCAAAAGTTCATAGTTTTTCACAGTTTTAACTATATTAACTGAGAACGTTTTGTAATGTATCTGTTTAAAGTAATTATGTATAATCATTTTTCATTCAATATAGGAAATAAGAATATTTTTAAAAAATATGCTCTAGTCAGTCATTATTGAATTACATTACAATAATATGACATGTCTAATAATTTAAGATAAATGAAATAAAAATAATTATGCAACACCTATACATGAAATGCATAAGTGGTTTCCCCATAAGTATATGTTTTTGGTAAGTTCAGTTAGATCAAATTTAGAAATATAGCACCATTCACGAACTGGATTTCTTGTTCTTGTTTTAATTATGAAACATAAAAATATTTTAGAGTATTTATACGTGGTTAGTGGCATTCAATTTAGTCTACAATCAAAAGTGTTAAATTTCATAACATTTTGTAAATAATAATCCTGTGACTCAGGAATTCAGTAATCTGATATATAAATATTGAGCTTCTGATTCGAATATTATCACACTATTTCAATGGAATATAGCTTTAATGCAATTGCAGTGACAGAAGCTCATTTATTCTTTATTTCCTTCTAACTTGTAAGTTCCAAAACTATTACCAAAAGACATTCTATTAGCTAATTTCATTTGTTTTTATCTAACAATATATTGTTTAATTAGCCACAACTACTAATATTCCAATTTGAGCTCCTAACTCCTTGTTTGTTTTTATCTTGGACTTTGTGATGGTACAACGTATAACTGAATGCGTGCATAGTAAATCCCATGATTCAAACGACTGCCCTTCGTTATTTACTGAAATTGTACATCAAAGAACAAGTATGCTTCATATCAATTGAATAAAACCATTTGGGGTTGCATTATTGAATTCTACTTAGTTTTGAAGCTATGGATTGGTTACGGATTGATACAATGTCTACATACCAGAAATCCGAAAACTTGACTTTATGATTTACAAATAATTACTAGTTTTTCATAAGGCATTATAATTGATTTTAATTCAAAATTAAGATTGTTATGACCATTACTATTATTATTATTATTATTGTGACTGCCGTTAATAAACAATGAAATTCAATCAAACAAAAAGCAAAAGAAACGTGAAAAGCGAAAATCTAACCTGGCAATTGACAATGACATTTTTCTAATAACATTTCTTGCATGCAATCATGCATACAGCTAGCCCAGATTGATTGACTTGTACAATGTTGTTTATAAATCTATAATACAAAAAATCAGACTTGAAAATGAAGAAATAAGTTATCTGGAAATATACTTTAAAAAATAAACCACACACAGATGATACAAGGTGTAAGGGAAATTCTGAAAAGTACTAAGCAGAAATTTTCAAAATTCCAATACAAAAGGTCTCTACAATCGTTTGCTAAGCTAATACTAAAAGCTTTTGTTCTGAAACTTCTTGAAAGGACTAGGACAGGAAATAAAGTGACAATTAGAAAGACTAAACATGAGCATCATTTTTACTTGTAAGTTTTAAGATGAAAAACCATTTCAAAACATTTGAGTTTCAAGTTTTTCTTAACCTCGTGATTTTCAACTTTTCACAGAATGTTAAATAATTAACAATCTTAATCCATACACTATATATGCTGAAATTCATAAATTTTTTTAATTGTATTGACGAGCGGAAATGAGGAAAAAGTTATACGATATTAAAAGTAGGTAATATTACAATTAAGATCATTGCCATTACTTTGGTTTTTACTTTTTTCTTTACATCTATTTACACTAGAATTAATTTCAGAAGAAGGGGGACTTTGTTTATATGATTTAACGTCGGTCTTTTTATTATTACTCTCATTATTATTGGCCATAGTTGTATTAATTCACTATGATTTACAGTATGTAGCTAACAATAATAATATTTATTTCAACATAATAGAAACATATCATAGAATGTTTTGAATGATTTTTATTAAACCTTAAGAAAAAATAATAAATCAAGAGAAACTACTCATTCTTGTTTTGCCCTAAAACAACAAGGAAAATTACAATTAATTTACTCTAATTCATCCATTTAAAGAAATTATATATACATATATATATATATATATATATATATATATATAAGGAGAGAGAGGTTTACTATGATTAACCTATAAGCACTCTATTAACTTTACAATGTGTATATCCATAATTGTATAATGTTGTAGTAAAACTTAAAATTAAAAAACAAGGTTAAAAAACGGTCATAGAAATTGATATGAATGAACCGGAATTTAATTTCAATAGAATGTCAAAAGAATATTAGTGATTTTTAATTTATTTTTATTAAAAAACCAGTCAACTTTACTAGAGAAATACATATATTATATTCTTCTACATCTCTTTGCTCTTTTCTTATAAAACCTAGTGTTGATGTAAGATTTAATGTTTACCTACATTTTTTTACTACTAGTAAGTATGTGTTTACTTTCTGTATCTTACTGTAGTAATCTAGTGATATTTTTTCTCTGGTTTTATCCCATGTACAGGAAATCAGCTTATGTCTAATAAATTTCTACTAGATGTATAGATAGATATAGGAGAATCATAGTAGGCTTGTACAATATTGTATACACATAAACATATATTATGGTCAAAGAAATATGAATCCGGGTATATACCTCTACCTTTTGTTGCATCCTGACGATATAAAGACAAGAAACAGATGCTATGGTAACAAAAAAAAATGGTAGAGACAAAAATGAGTGTACTGGAATTCTCTTACGTGCACAATAATTATATATATATATATATATATATATATATATATATATATATATATATATATATGACTTAAATTTTAAGTGTGATGATAATTAATTAAGAAAAATAGAAATAATAACATCCTTTTTTCATCCAGTTTTTTCTTCATTACAAATACATAATTTACTTTACAGCCTTTTAGTGAAATATGAGTTTTAATTGTCTAATAGATTTTTCATTTTAATAGCAGCCTGTAAAAGTAGTTAATTTAATATTCTTATTAAGTTAACCCAGTCTTCATACAGTTTCAACAGTACGAATGAAGCAAAAATAATAAAAATAATCAAAACCATACATTTTTGAATTCTTGTTACTGCCTTAAATTATGTATTAATTTTATAGAAATAATAAAAAAACAATGTTATGATGATACTTTCAAACTCAATTTAAACAAACCAATAATGCTATATCCAAACGCAAAATTACTTCTCATTACCCAACTTTACTACAGCCAACTTTAGAATTATTAACAGTGACTATTAAAATTGTATGATATTGATATCAGTTACAATCATTAAGTTTGACTATCTACCTTTAAAAATAATCGCCCATAAAATTATATTTATACTTCTTTGACAATTTGCCTAACATATTACATAATTAGTAAGACTAAAAATATTGCTTTATAAAATGTAGTGATATCACAGTAAAACTATAAATCATGAACAAATAACAGATAATAAAAGAATGGTTCGTTTTAGTCGATAGTCAGTATTTACTACCAACACTGTAACTACTTGCGAAAATGTTATTAAAAGCGATTTCAAACATCACTGAGAATGAAAACAAATTATATTAATCCAATGATGCATCATTTCGAAATTCTGAATATTTTCACAAAGTATTCATGCGACTAAAATCAAATAGACACACTTCGATCTGTTCTTCCACTTATTTTTCTCCTAAGCTTATTTCCCCCATTGATATTATCTGTTCAGACCCCAATGTTTGGTCACTCTTGGGGACCACAGAGTTTATCAGTTAGTTTGATATACATTCTTAGGCTTCGTACACTACAAAATAAACGTTCTTCAAAGCTCCAACAAGAACAGTTAATCATTTATATTATCCTGACACGATACAGCTGTGATGTGTACTAAACTCTGAAACAGTTTGACATGAACAAATATAACTATTTTACACCAAATAGTTCAGCGAATTCCAAAAGTTAAATATATTCCACCGTATTTCAGAAAATGATATCTATATTAATGCAATTATAATATCCCACATCCTCCCAATCGTGTCAATAGGTTTAGTTAAGCAAATAATTTTTACATTTTAAACATCTCTTATACCAAAAGAAGCCTGAAACAATTTTTGTTACGAATGGTAGTACTATTTCTATTGACATAATGAGGCAAAACAAAGAATGAAATGAACGTCAGTAAATAATCCTGACTTTTGCTTGTAGTAAAACGAGAGGAGGAAAAAGCGAACAACAGGAACATATCGAAAAAAGAGTTTATATATTTAGAAGAAATGTGATTTACAGAATACAATTATAAGCTAAGAAATGAATTCTTAGTTCTCCATAACTAATATTAATAATATATGAAATAAATTCTTTTTTAGAGCATATGCATATTTCGATCATACGCAAGCTTCAAAACCTACATTTTATGAGACATTCGATAAACCATAACATACAAATCATAACATCCTGTATATGACCACTAAATATATGAATTATGCGACAGACAGTAAATTATGGAGTTCTTCATTTGTACGATGTTTCTTATTTCATTTTGAAGCAGTGCCTTATTCTCATTAAAAACAAAAAAATATGATATTTAGTTTTAACAACACATATGTGTAGAAGGGAATTAATCCGCTAATAAATTTAGGGAAGTTTATGAAAAAAATTGTTATTACGTCCAAAATTATGCTTTCAGATCTTTTACATGAAGTAAATATTTATGAATATCGTTGTGACATTTTTAGATAACCTAAGGGACAATACAGGTTGTAGAGCCGAATTCCACTGAGTTTTCTATTACACTGTCATAATAAAATTGTGAAAAATGATGGACTGTAAAAAGAGGAATAATAATCGTCTTAAAAAATATGTAACCAAACTTACCCTAAGAAGTTTTCCCTAAATTATTCTTATCTTTGAAAACACGAGAAAACAAAAAAATTAATCCAGTCTTTCAAATATGCCGTATATATACATATATCGTAATAGAGAACTATTGTTTACCTCAACAACCTTAGCAATTAAAAAAGATTCCATTATGAATCCAACTTAGTCACAGGTTAATTCAAAACGAACTGAAACTGGACGTTAGTTTCATCATATTCCAAGACATATCAACTGTCAGAAATGAAAGTAGATGTTCAATAGTAATAATCCTTGATAATCACACTGTTGTTCAAATCGTTTAGAAGTATAAAAATTAAAATAGTGGTTAAATATTGACATAACATTCCATCTTAGAGCTTCTTCCGTACTTACTTATTACTTACGCCTGTTACTCATCGTGGAGGAGCACAAACCGCCCACTGGCACTCCCCATCAAACTCTGTCCTGGACAATCTTTTCCAGTTCTTTCCAGTTGTTGTTCATCCTTTACTCATCTGCTTGTATTTCCCGACGTAATGTGTTCTTTGGCCCTCCTATTTTCCGCTTCCCTTCAGGATTACAAGTTAGGGCTTGCCTCGTGATGCAGTTTGGTGATTTCCGTGATGTATGTCCTGTTCATTTTCAACTTCATTTCTTGATTTCCTCCTCAGCTGAAACCTGGTTTGTTTCCTCCCATAGAATTGTGTTGCTGATGATATCCGACCAATGGATGTTGAGTATCTTGCGTAGACAGCTGTTTATAAATACTTGTATCATTTTGATGGTGGTGGTTGTAGTTCTCCAAGTTTCAGCTCCATACAGTAGGACTGTTTTGACTTTCGTATTGAAGATTGTGACTTTGATTTTGATTGACAGTGGTTTTGAGTTCCATATGTTCTTCAATTGAAGGAATATGGCCCTTGTTTTGCCAATCCTCACCTTCACGTTTGCATCCAATCCTCCTTGTTCATCGATGATGATGCCCAGATACATGAATGTTCCCACCTTTTGCAGAGTCTCTCCATCAAGTGTGATTGAGTTGATGTTCTCTGTATCGTATTTGAGGATCTTGCTTTTTCACTTATGCTTGTTAAGGTCTACTGATACAGATTCTGCTATTACATTAGTCGTCTTCATGTGCATTTGTTCGTGTGCATGGGATAGGAGCACTAGGTTATCTGCGAAGTCCGGATCGTCTAATTGGCTCTGAGCTGTTCATTGTATGCCGTGTTTTCCCTCAGATGTCAAGGTCTTCACAACCCAGTCGATCACGAGAAGAAAGAGGAGGGTAAAGAGTAGGCAGCCTTGTCTGACTCCAGTCTTTACTTAGACTGCATTTACCAGCCGTCCTCCATGCACGACTTTGCACTATAGTCCGTCGTATGAGTTCCGGATAATGTTGACAATCTTCTCAGTAATTCCATATTGTCGAAGAATTTTCTATATTGATTCCCTGTCCACACTGTCAAACGCCCTATCATATTCAAGGAAGTTGATGTATAGTGACGAGTTCCACTTAAGTGACTGTTCGACGATGATCCGTAGTGTCGCGATTCGGTATGTGCACGACCGATCCTTACGGAATCAAACCTGTTGATCTTGAAGTTGAGTGTCTACTGAGTCTTTCATCAGGTTCAGCGAAACTCTGTTGAAACGACCAATTTTCATAGGTACGTGGAACGTCCGGACAATGTGCGAGACCGAGAAGACCAGCTTCATCTGTGATATTCTAGAAATTAAGCTTTTGGGGATTTATATTTGCTTGTGCTTATTGTCCCCAATTGAACACTGACACTTTGAAACGAATCATGTAAGTTAGCATATTTTACGAACACACATTGTAGTGAACAAAACACGAGTGGGAACAATCGAATGTATTTAACACAAAATCACAGGACTTGTTAATAAAATCTAACAATCATAAAGTAAATGCTTAATTTGCAAAATGTCCATCACTTGTCTCAAAATGACTCAGACTTCATTGTTCTTGCATTTTCATACAAATCGCGTTCTGTTTCGACTTTTTACTGTTCGATCCTCTTGTCTCTCTGTTGCCAGACCTTCTGTTCACGACTAACATCATGTACTACCTATGTCAATATAAGTAGCACACACCACAACATCAATACAAATTATAACATATCCTTTTAAACATTTACCTGAAATGTATTTGTATACAAATCAAAGGAACGATATTCAAAGTATCACGGTTGTCTGAAGCGACAGTTATTCTTTTAGTTGAATAAACTGAATATATTATCACAAAATATTCAGAAGTATTCTGTAATTTCGCTAGAGGAATTTTTAAATACATATAAAACTAATGCATATGTTTCATCACAACAGCTTAAAACTAGAATATGCATCCAAGTAACAGTTGGATCCACATTGCTAACATGACTAAATATTTCCTTTATTCAGTATTTGAACACTTTAGTTTGGGGAATCTGCCATCTATTGACCTTAAAAGTGGTTTATTTAATTCTTCCTACCCAAAAGAACTTGCTCCATACTCACTAAGAATCGCATAATAAATAAATCAATTTAGCCAGACTTTCCTTAAGGTTAAAAAGAGAAAAAGTGGAAATACATTTTGAAATGTTAATCAGTGCATGTCAGTATTTAACTAACACTAAACATTAATACACGTTAGTGTTTGCTTAAAACCCTAGCTGCTTTCAATGAAGCTATTTATAACATTTGGAATTATTATCTTCATTCGACTAACTCAAAGCCGAATGCTGATTCTCATTTAGCATTTTCGTTTACGTTCAGTTTACTTCTTACTTTCACTTATCTCAAGTTATAAATATACATGATATTTTTTAGACAAATAGTATTTTATTTATAATACCATACATATCATTCAATAGAGAACACCTATACCAGTTATTTCTAATATTTTTAAACTAATAATACCAGTAATTGTCATTTTGTTTTCAACCAAACGTATACGATTCTAATTTAGATTAATTGAATTATGACATATTATTACAGCAAAAAACTAGATGGAATTAACTTAATCCATTAATCATTGGTTTATGAATTAAATAACCAACTAAATGTTTGTTTTTTTTACTTTGAAATCATTTATCAATCAATAAAGACTTACAAATATTATTGTTAGGCTTTATAAAACTAAAGCAATTCTTATTAAGTAAGCAAGAAGGATGAAACATAACTTGTACTTATAAAATAATATCTTCATGGCTACAAACCAGGATGACGTCTATTGCTTTATTGTCCCATCCAAAATAAGTAAATTATTGTTCAACTATTAAAAAAATACTAAGAAATTAAATAACAGTGACTATAATTCATTTTTGTATTGTTTGTTTAAATCTTCTTATTGATGTTCAGGATTGTGATTGATCAGTCGCTTATTGGCATGTGTACATCGTGTTTTAATACTCTTGATACTGCCTTAGCTCACAAGCACTATAAGCAAAGATGGATTGTGTCTATCTAGACTCAGTAGCTAAGTGGATAACGCGGTGGCATTTGAAGAGGACGGTACTGGATCCGAGTCCTGGAGAAGACATGAACTCTGGGATGGAGGTACATCCAACTGACAAGTTTCAAATAGGACGAAACGACCGTTCTGAATTCCAATGCTAGCTACCACTAATCTCTGCTTATAATATCAGTGACCTTGTTTATTTCAACCAGATGTGGAATAATAAATAAAAATTTTAAATGTGAACATTTAACCTATTCCTATACAAAGATTAATAGATCATTGTGGAATAGAAGTTCTTTTGAAACTGATTTATTCACTATACAAAACTGATCTTTTATTTATATCTGCAAATTTTATGAAAAAAATGCACAGAAATTATGCTCTTAGACCTAGTGGTAAACAATATTAATGAGTATCATAAAGGTAATACTAAAGTGTGTAACTGTATCGTCCTCATATTGTTTTGCCAAAAGTTTCATTCCTTAATATTTTATATGCCTCATAAATTTTTTAAGAATTTGAAAGCGAGCTGTTAAGCAATTTTAATATGAAATGAAGAATTCGAAAGTTTTTATTTTTAATACATCACCTATCTGCTAAGACAATTATCATAAATAAGTTAATTATTTTCTCGACGAAATATTCCTACAGAAGATTGATCCTAGTCAAAAGTTTGGATATTTCCTAATTTTACATATACAACTATTATTTTTATTAAATAGAATATCTATATACGTGGAAAGTAGCAAGAGCACTCTAAAAACTTGTTTCTTACAGTTAAATTTGTTCTTTGAAACTATTTCAAAAATCAACAGAAATGTACGGCTCAAGAAACGAAACATTCTGGAGTAATAAATTTTTTAAGTGGGATAGTTTCAAAAGCATCGTAAAGATTAAGTTCTATGAAAGTTAATACAATAATTAATCAATTATGTTCATAAAAATCCTAAAGCATCATGTAGTTTAACAAAGCATTATTCACCTTTTTAAGGCCAACTGCACGTAACATAGTATGAAATGTTGGACCAGCATAAACAGCAGTTGGTATTAATGCCCATAAGGAATCACCATATCCATGTAGTAAAATGCGAAAGCCAATAAATCCTTGATTCGGTACCAAATAATCGTAACTTTGTGGATCTAACACTAATTGAATTTCGTCTATGCCTAGAGATCGAGAAATTAAAAATTTTTTATTACAATAGTGTTAAAAGACTAAGCATAAAATGTATCATCCTTGATTGTTTAGATGCATAATTCTTACCTTCAATGTGTTTGCAATTCAACGAAACAGAGATATAAAAGTTGTCTGAAATTTAATCGAATCAGCTGCGGAAATAATACAAACTGTAGTTAGTACTCGTCAAATTCAACTCAGTTACTTTGTACTAATAAGGATGATGTTTTATAACAAATAAAACTAATCATTTAAAACACGACAATAGATAGGAGGGACACATATTTATGGCGAGAAGTTACTGAGTATTTACACAATACGAATTCACAGCTTTCAATCGCACATTTGCATCTTTCGGTGTGTTCTGTAACCTGCACTGTCAACGCCGTGCTTTCAATGTATTGGAACGCTAAACACTACTTACAAACATCCTTGTCAGTAGCGCCCACTACAGTAACACTATTATTAGTTTGTTTCCCTACAATAACTTAAACCTTCTTAAAATAATGACAGGCAAACCTATTCTATTAATAAATGAGAGTTCATAAAGCAATAGGTTTACGGAACTGTGTTTACAGCTTATAGTTATCGTTATCACTAGGTGACGATCGTACCGTACTGTAAATAAGATGAAATCGAAATATGTAGATCTCTGAACTTCTAGATCTGAGGTTTCACTAAACAATTTTTAGCATACTGAGTGTGCAATATAGACGAATCGTATTTCCAAGTAAAGCATGCTTCCACTTCTTTCTTAACCATGATAAATAAGGCCAAGCTATAAATATTAAGGAGATAGATTGAAGTTTAACATAATATCATGAAGACCGATTCAGTTGATAATTAACGCAATCATAATAACATGCCTTGTTGTGATCACCTGTTTCCGAATAAATTTTACTCCTTTCTGTTTATCATGTATGATAATTATTTTACCTAAAGTGATTCATATACAGGTGCTACACCGTGTTCACTCGATTCATGAAACGATTGGATTTACCAGAAGTTTGTCAGGAAATACACTTTTTTATACAAGATAGTATTTAGTTCAGCCAAATGTTCTTTTCCTGTCCTTTTGTGACTAACAATAACAAAGTCCTCATGAATTCAGTGAAAGACTAGAATATTTTCAAATGGATTCTTAAAGAATTCATTAAAAATGAGGGTTTTGTGGATATTGTAGTAATTTAATATTCTAATTCATGAGTCAATTAAAGCCAGACCACCATGGAAAACCTGAAAGCACTGGACGGTCGTTTTTTCCTAGTAAGGGACCCCTTAGCAGTGTATATCCACGACCCTGCTCAAGGAATTCCAACCCAGGGCCTTCGATCTCGTGCGCGAACGCTTAACCTCCAAACCACCGAGCCGGAATCCGACAGTATCGATGTCTAACGTCAACCAATCCACAAAATTACGCCACCATCCACCATCATTGAAGACAATGGTGGACGGTTAGAGTTATACATTAACACCGATGGATGGCAGCTCAGTGATCTAGAGGTTAAGCGTTCGCGCGAGAGACCGAGGGTTCTGGGTTCTTATTCCACGAGCGGGATTGTGGATATACACTGCTAAGGAGTCCCTTACTAGGACAAAACGACCGTCCAGTGCTTCCAGGTTTTCCATAGTGGTCTGGCTTTAATTGACTCATGAATTCAACCATTAAATTCACTTAAATTCGCTTATTTGACGCAAGAGGAGTAACTGATTTATATAAAGCGAAAGTCTCATGAATATTCGACAAACTAGAATTATTTACTAAATGTAAGTATTTAAGAAAGTTCGCATGGAGAACATTTAATTGACTTTAGAAAAATTCATGTTAGTCAGTTAAATACTGATTTCTGTTTAAAATAATTCCTAACCAATGGCAAAACAATCCCCGAGAAATCACTTTACTTTATATTCTCCCGAAAATATCACTTATTACTTCTGTTTAATTAAAACATTGAACATCTATGACTGACTGGTTATTTTTGCATATAGAAATTTTCTAAGAGTTGTGATTAGTCTTGACCATTCTTCATAATACAATTTGCAATATAGGCATAGTGAAATAAAGTAGCTGTTGATATAAACCTCCTTCAAAACCATTCATCTACAAAGTGATAAGGTCACTATATAGTAAGCATTACTCAATTTAATAAAATCATAGTGTTTTGACTAAAAGCTATCTATCAATCCTATGGTGACACGTATCATTTGAACTTGGAAATTTTTGGAGGAAAGAATACTTAGTAAATACAGCTTCAAGTAATTGGTATGAATTGATAATTTAAAGTCTACCGATTATTGACCTTATTTTTGAGCCATAACTCCTTCAAAAATCTACCAAGCTGGTTTTGACTTAGCGAAGTTATGTTACTGATTTTTTTTCTTATGAAACAGTATTTTAAGCACAAATCTAATTTTATCAAGCATTTAGGTTGATATTTTTTCCTCTACTATTATTTGTCTTTATTACCTGAACTCGGATAATCAGAATAAACTAGAAACATTTGTGAAACACTGGTTTGAGGAAATAAGCAAACTATTAGAACTACTAATAGAGTCTAATATAGAACAAATGAAGGTAATGAGAAAAATCTATATACTTGCCTATAGTATTTGTAATAGTAATAACTGTTGTGATTAATGTATGAACTAAAAATTTGTTACAATTTACTGTTTAGTAAAAGAGAGAGATTTCAAAACCTGTTGATGATATCACATCGTTTGTTTGAGACCAGTTGAACCGTGCTCAACGAAACAAAACGTCTTAGATTTTCACAGTTACTACTGATTGTTGTTGTAATTTGTTTAACAGTAAAACGTTTGTTCGGTGTTGTGTTATAATAACTGATGTTTTCGTAGATTTCTTTTTGCAAATCAATTATGAAAAATAAAACAAATACAACTGAATGATAGGAAACCGAGCAAGCTAGTCAAGTTGTACCGATTATCCATATATTTACTTTATGTAATCATTCTCTATGTTAACTTGTACATTGTTTAGTCCTTTGTGTTATTAAAAGAACTGATCATAAGGGCGAACACAAAATTGTCTAATTTAAAACTTGTAGGTGAATAAGTTCGAGATTAAACTACGAAGACTGATTGGTGCATCTATTTATTCCGAACTTTGTGCTACAATTTCGACGACTGGTTTGTTTATTTCATGCTAAAAACCTGGATAATAGTAATGTGAAATGGACTGTACACTGACGAAGATAATTAGAGAATTTATTAAGATACCAGTTTTACAAACAATATGAGGGTAAATGTGTTCAGTTAGATTGGATGCTGTAAATCTGTATAGCGAGTTTGGTCTATTAAGCTTTTTCATATATATGGCCTATACTTTTATATGAAGATCATTATGTGAATGAACAATGAAACATCCCTGTCTTTAAATTTTGTTAGCTTTATAAAGTGATTTCAGTTCAGTAGTTAATCATTTTCATAAAAAATGGGTGTTTTCTAGTTACTCCATACCATTCCTTATCAAATTTGCTTAATATCTGTTAGAGCATTACATTCATTGAATAAACAGTATACGTATGTTATTCAGGCTAATCAATACAAACAACTACCTAATGGTCATCAATCATTATTATAAATTTTGATACACTGTTCTATTGAAATTATAGAACTCAAAGGCAAATAAACTTATTCCTTACTACTGCTTATTCATTTTCCTTCCCAAAAAGTAACTTTTAGATGTTAGTTTTTTAACCTATTACCTAATTTTACTAATAAAATTAATTTATTTACAACACTTTTAAGCGATATAAATTTATAATGAAATAATGTAAAGTAATTTGTTTTGTTCGTACTATATGCAATGAAATTATGTTCTAGTTCAACGCACAACTTGCTGCAAAAAATATTGTTCAAATCGGTGAAATGACATAATTTAACTGATCATATCAATCTGTTTTTTGATAGTTAAAGAATAATCTTGCAGTCAAAAATGCCTTACGCAAATCATCTTGGTATTAATCGGCAATAATTTGATTTATTGACATTGTAATATAAATATGATTCTCTACTCATGCTTATTTTTCTAAGAACCATGAATAACCAAATAGCCATATTCACGACAAACTCTAGTATCCCTTCGTATTTTTCCTAGAAGAGTTGTGCTTATAATCTAATTACGCAGTTTTCTGTATCAATATTATTACATTTATTTTAATACTTAATTATTTGTTTGACTATATCAACAGAAAGGTTACGCAATTAATCATGCTGTATAGATCATGTTCTGTTGCCGGAACTGTGATATAGTTCCAGTCTTTGCAGTTTTAAAATATTATCACTTTTTCTTATAAAAGGTAGACTATTCACCATAAATAAATATTCAAAATACTCCATAATCCAACAGTAATAAAAATTCTAGTCGTTCAAACCTACTTATTATTGATTAAAGTATGTACTGGCTTCTTACTAATAAAACAGAACCAGTAATATTAGTTCTATCAAATCAAGCTATTAATTTGTATTTTTATTGTCGATACAGACTACAACAATTTGTTCTCATCTTTAGGACTTTTTTGTGAAAATTAAACCCTATCATTGTTTTCACAGTTTTTTATCATTCACTTGTTTTCATTGTTTAATGCCGTCTATGTGGTCTGATGTAGTGTATAATGAATGTGAAATTCTAAATGATTTATCGATATTCCAATTCATAAATAAGTAAATAAATAAATGTATCAGTTCGTCTATTAGTAATAATAATTACTACTATTATCTTTATTGTACAATTGAACTGTTATGATTGTTGCATAATAATTAAAGTTCTCTACAAGAATGTTTTCTCAAAGTTTATCAGTCTTTTTACTTACAAAAACAACTTTTTTTAATAATATTATTATTGCTCTAGGCATATTTTTGGAAATGAATAAATTTCATCAGTGCATTTTAGGTAAAATTGACCAATCAAGTATTTCACTGTAGCTAGATTGTTTATAATTAATGTTTAAAGAAAGGCATATTACCATTATAGTTAGTATATTTCTGTGAATGACAACTATTACCAAATACTGTTGTATGCTTAATTTCACTAAGTCAACGTTTAACTAAGAAGCTAACAACAGCATTGAAAAATTACATTAATTCCAGTCCCATATTAAAAATAATGTAACATTACTGGTTGTTTGTTCATACTGGTAAAGATAGTGTTTTTTTATAACTATATGAAAGAAGAACGAAATTTTTAACAAATTCTCTCTTGATATGTATAGTAAATATCATGTAGACTTGCATTAGTACTCCATATCCCTGAATGCGGTAGTTATTTTTCAGGTTTTCAATTGAAAAGAATAATAGTTCTTTTTAAAGGATAGATATAGTGTGGATGAAAAATAATGATCGGTCATAAACAGAGGATTTCGATAACTTGAACAATGCTGACCATACGTTCATATGAAATTAAGTACAGAAATTTGAAAGCATACTTTTATTCTTGCTTTCTAAAACCAATTAAAGGCAAACAAATGGCTATTTGAATGTCTTGTGAATACATGTAAACTATAGGGAGCGAAATTTTAATCATGTGAAAGTGAATACTCGAAAGTGATAATTCTCGCGTTAACTTACCGGTTAAATCGCCAGCTAGCGTATAACAAGCGCCATTCGGTAGAATGCTCTTTGTAAAATTCAGTACGGAACAATGTCTTTGACCAACTTTACAGCTAATTGAAACGATAACATACATTAACTTTATAGATGCTTATTTATTATTTATTTATGTAACAACTTTTAATAATAAAAAAACGTATATGAACAGTATCCAAGTGACTAAATACTTTATACAAGATTATTCTAAGACTGTTGAAAAAAGAGCTTACCAAGATTTGAGTTTCTTTTAAATAACCCTTAATTCAATAATAATTATTTTATTTTGGCTGAAATCATGAATCCATCAATGTTAGACCACCACTGAAAGCCTGGAAGCACTAGACGACAATGGAAGATGGCTACGCAATATCGTGGATTAGTTTGAGTTAGACATTAACACAGATGGATCCCGGCTCAGTGTTCTAGAGATTAGGCATTCTCGTGTGCGACCGAGGGCTCTGAGTTCGATCCCCGCCGGTGGGATCGTGAATATGCACTACTGAGCAGCCCCTTACTAGAACGAAACGGCCTTCCAATGCTTCCAGGTTCTCAATGTTGGTCTAACATCAATAGACTTATGATCCCGACCAAAACTTAACAATCTCCAAAACTATATTGTTAGTTCTCTTGTTTGTTAAAAAATTTGAAACAACTAGTCATTTTGACAACTTTCGATAATGCAATGAGAAGGCGAAGGTTATCAGGATTATGTAGTTTATCTACGCAATACATTCCGAACAATCTGATCACATATAGACTTGTTAGGACATTTTTATATGAAAAATAAAAGGTCAACCAGACAAACTAAATGCTAAGTGGAAGCAAAGAATAATAATGTACATAAAAACAATGAGAAAACCATGCTGGATAATAAATCAGTATTATCAGGGTAGGTTAAGAGTAAGAACAAATCGCTCCCCCCTATGTACGCACATATATGTAAATTTATAGACACAATCGCTTACGTTCTGTTTGGGTTTTTGGTGAAACATAGACCTTGCTTTTTGAATAATGACGAGTTGGGTTGCATAAAATGTCCTATCGATGGCTAATTTAAATCTCCATTTCAACACGAGGCTATCTGATTCGAATATATTACACAACCCTGATAACCTTCGTCTCCTCATTACATTATCGCAACTTAAAATTCTGACTTGAAGTAATTAAAACCGATCTATATGCACTTAAGACTGAAAAACTTAATCCGACCCAAAATTTCAGTATGTTAACAAATAAATAAATAATTGCGAGCACTTTACCAGAACATAATGATACTCAGCATTGAATTTTTCATTTTTTTAATGATAGTAAAGCCTGAGAATTTCGGATTCATAGAGATTCTAAGTATTTGTTGTTAAATATGACCGCAGGAATAAAATATAGACACAGAACTGCATGCATGAAAGTTCAAAACTCTAGACAACTTAAAATATGTAAATAAGAAAACCTTTTTAGTGTTATTTGATATGTACAATGCAAAATGTCTCACAAAATATCTGTTTAGCTTTTGTAGTTAAGACTGTCTCGACAGATATCGCTAAACCAGCATATATACCTCAGTTTAACGTGAATAATAATAATGATTATATATATGGCCGAATTAAAAAAATTACCAACACATACCATATCATCGCAAAAAACCATTAATGCGACATGCACAAACACTTCATAATCGATTTGGCGAGTGAACAAAATACTAATAACCATATTGTTTGCCCTATACCATTTCTATGACTTCCTGCAAAACAAAATTTTCCATGTATCCGAATAATATGAAGACACAATCATCCTTTAAACATTTATGTTTTATTTTAATATGGTACTTTTTGGTAGTACTGGTCGTGTTCAAAGTTTTTCCCTATAACTCAAAAATGTTAATAACCTAATAAGTACGACTATTAGCATTACAAAAAGGTAAATGCTTCACAGTCAATGATTAAAGTTCGTTAAATAGCAGACAAAGTGCTCCACATTCTTCCTTTCCTATATGCTTTCAACGGAGATAAAATTTTACAATACTAAATTTTTGATGCCCAAAACTAGATCATTTGATTCAAAGAACAAGTGTAACGTGTGATCATTTTAGAAGTCAAATAAATGTTCCTGTAGAATAGAAGGAATTGTTGTAATAGGATTTCAAAACCATTATTGAATACGTATATGGATATATATATATGTGTATGTCCACTTGCTGTGCAGTAGAATTCAATTGTCTTAAGTCATAGAAATCGTTCAAATCCTTCAGGAAAGTAATTTTATAAAACAACTGAAAAATACACGAACAGAATTTAATTGGTCTTGACAATAACCAAGTCAAACTTCCTTCTTTAAACGATGTAGGCCATGTCATTATAATGAATAAATTTTCATTTCATTCCCTTCAAATCAAGTCTAATATTTAACTCACTTTATTACCCATTATTATTACCTTGACCATATTTTTTTTAAATAGTCAAAATATATTTTGATTTCCGAACATATATTAAAGCAAGTCAAGAAGCAAAGCTAACGCAAATTTAAAGATTTACTAAACCACCTAAGTGTCATTATAATGGTTCATGGGTATATTCAATTATGCGATCAAAGCCCTTCAAAAATAAAATAATAAATAAAGCCCTTCTAAAACAGTGACGATCAGTGATATTTACTTTTTTAGTGCTGTCTGTAGCTTTTTTCTCGTTACATTTGTTGTTCTTGGCTTCATTAACTTGTATTTTAACTATGATGCTATAGATCTTTAATGTTTACGATGTGATGACTTTGGATGTGTTAATACACCCTTGTTAAATAATTTCAACGTGTCTCAAAAGGGTCACAAAATATAATTATTGGTACTTTATACGATGAAGAGTCATCTAAATTAGCTAGAAAAGTTTGCTTTTATCCACTGGAAGGACTGTCTATTTATAATTAGTCTCGCTTCGCTTTGGAAAATATCACCAATATATTTCCACCAGAACAATAATTCGACTGAACTAAAAAACCACTACAGTTGAGTTTGTTTAACCACTCATCATAACGTTCTGACATAATCATCTACCAGAAAAGGTTTATAATAAATAAAACTCTTTAAGATCCAGTGTATATCACATGAAATAATTTCGAAGAATTATAATGCCGAAATTTGTGTTCCATAGTACAAATTATACATATTATACATACGATATCGTCAATAATTATAGTATATTTGGGAACGAGAAAGTTGATTACAGTAGTGGACACTTATCTATTGGCTATCGTTTATGCTTCGACATACTTTACCTTCTTAACATTTGATCTATCTGATGAGATGCTTTCTCCATGAGCTTGAAAATTGGCACTTTAAGTTTGCTTTCCGGGAGGTTTTCACTTGAACGTCCTTGAAAAGCATCCGAGAAAATTTCATAATCAACACCACGATCCTGAGACTCAGCTGACTGAATATTGTACAGTTTAGTTCCCCTTAATTAAAAAGATGTAACTTAATGTTAGAAAGAACCATTAGAACATTTTTTACAGAACCCAGTTTATACATTAGGTTTATGAAAAAGTTATCATTTAGAGGCGAGTAAATTCTGTAATGCTGAAAATTTCATAAAATACTTGATAAACAACCAAGCCGCCATATTTGTTGTTTTAAATCAGTCTTGCATTTAGATCATCAGCGTACATTAGTTATAAATCCTATTTTAGGATATATAAATTTTACGTGCTTGAGAACTGACTGTTGCATACTTACGAAACCAGTCATCACCAGTTCATTTATAAAAGTTATCAAAACATTTGCGATGCATCGTGTTATTGGAAAGCACACGAAAGATTAATGTGTAGATCTGGTACACAGATGTAGTCCTCATTTTCTTTTGTACAGAGCATAAAGATTAGAAGTTTGATCAACTTTGAATGGCTTTTCTGGCAATATTAAAAATAATTTATTCTTTCACAAACATAAAGCAACATATTCACTAAAAATACAGTTCTAAAAACGATAAATGTATCAATGGTAACTCATTACTTTATATCATTCAAAAAACCCAAAGAACTACATTTTTAACCTTTTAATAAGTGGTCATGCTTTCAACCATATCAGTCAGTCAGCAACAACGTAGAACTTCATACATACGTACATCAGTTCAAGTTGCCATACCACATTAGCACAGAGACACAATTTTCAATTCAAATCTTGTAGTGGTAGAGGCGGTAACAGTATAAGCAGTAATTGGAAAGATTAGGGATTGAGTTTGTTATTCAAGGAGCATAATCTCGTGAAATAAATTTGGAAAGAGGAAAAAAGGAACATGAAAAGTTCAGAAGATTAGAATTTCCAGGAACACAAAGAGTGTGGTGCGTGCTACTTATATTGACATAAGTAGTATATAACGCGAGTCAGGAATGTAATGTCTGGAAGCAGAAGATTTGGAAGATCAGGAAAGGAAGAACGGGGATAGCAATCCAAGAGCAATAAAGTCCGAATCAATTATTGAACATTTTGCAAATTAGATATTATATTACGGTTTTTTCTATTTTACCAATTAACTCTGTAATGTTGTGCAAAATATGATTCGGTTGTCCTCAACTGTGTTCTCCTTCACTACAAGAGTGGATGCATCTGAGCTATAACAAACGATTTTGAGCCATGTCATTCAAGGTTTCTAACCATCGGTTTCTATCATCTCGCGGATCCCAACCAGGTAGTCTAAACCTAGCAACGTGGCTCAGTTCACTTGTCAGTGACTTCATAAATTTGTGCCATGTTTTGGACTGGCCGCACTTTGTTTTGTTCTAATCTGATCCTACATTATAAAACATCGCACGTCGTGGTAGTCAGTGGTTGGGCATACGTAACACATGTCCCAGCCATCTCAACTGATGAAGTTTCACTACTTTATCAATTGATTTGCCATCCTTACCTAGTACCCGTTTCCTAACAACTGCATTACTTACTCAGTGGTCCCAGGATATAAGAGCAATGTTTCGAAGACACCTATGATCAAATACTAGTAACCCACAAATATCCTCTACTCTTACTGGCCATGTTTCACTGCCATAATGCAGGACGGAACGAACTGCTGTGCAGTAAATCGGTCCTTTGGTTGATAGATGGATATCTTGCCCACACCATAAGTGACGCAAGTTGGCAAAAGCTAGTCGAGCCTTCTGTATCCGTACTGAGATTTCGTCACACACCAGACCACAAGGGCTGATGAGACTTCCAAGAGAAGTGAAGCGGTCGACACGCTCAACTGCTTCACTCCTTATCAGTAATTCAGGTATCGATGCAGCCCAATCCTGAAGTAGCATTTTGCATTTCGAGGGGAAGAATCGCATCCCGAACATGTTTGCATCGTTGCTTATGATGGTCAGAAGACTCTACAATTTGTCAGCGTCTTCACCAAAAAACTATATCATCGGTTTATTCTAAGTCAACAATTGAATCTCCCGGTAAGTGTTCAACTCCTAGAAATTTAGATGAGGAAAATGTAACCTCTAAAAGCACTTCAACGACAAAGTTAAACAAGAATGGAGAGAGTGGACTACCTTGACGAACACCACTGGAGGTAGTCAATTGTGATGATAGTTCGTCATAAGCTCTCACTCGACCAGCTGAGTTTAAGTAGAGAGCGTGTATATGGTTTGTGCACTTCTGAGGTACTCCTTACAGTGACAAACACTGCCATAGAACCTCACGATCATTCATATAGTTCCACGTTTAAGCTTTGCGGATAATTTCAGTCATTTGTTTTCAGCGTTTAATAACTAAAAAATTAGGTCTTATAAGAACTGTTTTGCCTCGCTGTCAAAATTGCTGCAAAGCTTTACATATCACGACTGATCTATGAATACTTCTAACACTCGGCTATCAGAAAGATTAATTTTGTCTATTATACTCACTGTATTCTTGCTTCTTATGTGATATTAGAGTGTTTCTTTGTAAACTTAAGGGAAGTCTATTATTTTCTGGCAGTTTTTGAGAACATTTAAAAATTATTTAGTATCAGGTATTATTTAAGTGTGAAGCAACTTCTGTGTAGGGTTTATTCAGATCGCTCATTTAAATCTCAAATTATTTTATGGCATTTACAGAAATAAATCCACTTACCTTGCTGGATTAATATTACAGATACTGATCAAAGGAAATGGCAAATTACTTTGATGATCCTCATAAGCTGAAATAATCATTTTTGATGCCAAACTGTCATAATGCTTCAACCAAACATGTACTCGATAAGTGATCAAGCAAGCTACTGATATGCACAGCAAAAGACAGATTAGTCTAATTGAAAAAAAAATATAGCCTTTACTATTAAGCGCAACATCGTAGCACTTGTCTCGAACAATTTTATAGTGCCCACACAGAATTTGGAGTTAACAAAATACAAAGAAAAAACGCATAAGCCATTTTTTCAAGTGTCATTTACATTAAATTCCTATGAGCACATTGCTTTAGCAATGTTATTAATAAAATCTAAACTGTAATGATTATTGTTTCAGGTATCAATTTTGTACGGAGATATCCTGAATGTTTGTAGCCCATAAACAACTTTTGTTAGTGCAAAACGAAGTCTATTGAACAAACACAACGTGAAGACCTTCTAGTTATTAACATCACTGCCTTTAGCCGAACAGTAATAAGCATTACTGTCTGGTACTTTGTTATAGCTGCGTATAGCCAGCGATTCGCATACATTACAATGACATTAACATGCAGTTTGTAAACAGGCAATAAATTAATTTATCATGCATTTTTATGACGTTTTCAACGAACTCTATGTGTTTTATTCCCAGTGTACCACCACTTTTATATATCGCCGATGACTTTTTACCATCCATTTCAAAAGTAATAGCTTTCAACATTTCGAATTCAATTTTTTCCTACAAATGAGTTTGCAGATCACTCACACAAACTAATAATAAATAAAATAATCAGTTAATAAACAAAGTCCTTCTTTGACTGCCTATTCGTCCTGATAAAAAGGTTTAAAAAGTAAACAAACTACCCTATATAATCGTATGACCAATATATCGTCCTAAGTAACTGAAATGCCATGTATTACACTTTATTTTATGGCACGTTTACCATTATCGATTGTGTGTGTTGTTGTATAAGAGACAACGATAATTATTATGGCAACAAATTTTCAGACACATATTTGCAGAATTGATGCAAACATTAAAACATTCAATATAAATCACCCATCATATAAAAATACGTTTCTACATAAAAACTAAAAATTTATATTCTGGAATGCAGAATAAGCAATGCTTAAAAATGAGTCAACGGTACTTTAAATTTGCCATAAATAGTCATTGTAATGATTACTATTCGGTTACAAATAAGATTTTTTGAGGTATAAGTAGAAGAAAAAGCTGAAAAAGCCATGGGAGATAACTCTTAATGATTACTTCTTGGCTCCAACTGATGTCCACTTGGGGCAGCAGTGAATATTCATCATACATATTAAAATACGCGCAAATATAAGTGAAAGTACAGATGCAACAGTTGTATTAAACAATCAATACTGAACCAGGCAAACTAAACACTAAGCAAGATAAATTATTTAAAAATACAACGTCAACATTTGATCACTTGGTCAATTAAATGCTGAATACATTTGGCCGCTGTTATTGAGCTGATATTTAACTAAGTTTTGGGAACTTCATCTGGGAAATATTAAGTGTTTTAGACATGGATCCTCTGGAAAACCGGAGTTGAACAATATAATATGCTATTTATGACTGTATACAGAGTATAGTCCGTTTGAATCAACACATACCTATTTGAATAAATAGTCATGGGCGATGGCGTTTTAACCATTTTCTGTTAACTGAGTAACGACTTTTAGAATTCCACACCCTCGTTTTTGTTTACGATAATACAATACTTTAAAAAAAACCGACACAAACAGTCCAGGCTATGTTCACAAATTTCGATGAACCTCACTAACTGACATTAAATGGACGTCCGTGCCTTTTTGGCATATAGTTGGTTATATGAGACTTTGTTACCTACAAGATGGGCCACCATCTAAATCTTCCAAACTTTAGGCTGGATAGACTAAATTCGTGAGGGGATAATAAATAGATAATAATTAAATCCTATCCACAGTTTTGGAAAAACTTGACATAACTAATTGAATAATATCTTTTTTCTCATCACTGTATTGCAATATTTAACACTTCCAAGGATTCCAGGTGCACCATCGTCTTGTTACTAAACAACCACACTAATAACTCTGACGACGATTGTCATAACAATGTGGAATCACTGTACGGAATATCTATCTGTATCGATCAACTCCTTCCTTTCTTAACACTTCAACTGCAACATACGCAAATCCACTTTCTTGAAAACACAGGGCTTGAGGACAGGTGACTGGATCCACGGAAGTTCGCCCGCCAGGATGGTCAAAGGCAACGTCAAAAGTTCATGTATTTTAGAGTCCGTTCTTTTGTAGCATATATTCAGTCATGCTATTTATTTTTTTAATTTCGAAACTTTCATCTCATACTCTCTACTTAAACTATCATTCTACTCTTTAGTCTACTGAAAAACACACTTCATCGGCGTTGTTATCAGTACTTACATTATAATTACAAACACGACTACCAGAGGTAGAGGTCTAAATTTGAAACCTGATAATAAGTCAAGATACCTGTTTTCGGCAACAGGACTATAAGAAGGCTCGAAGAGAAGCAGGATAAATTGTCTCAGTGTAGTGCGCACGACATATACTTACTTACTTACTTACTTACGCCTGTTACTCCTCGTGAAGGAGCATAGGCCGCTCACCAGCATTCTCCATCCAACCCTGTCCTGGGCAATCCTTTCGAGCTCCTTCCAGTTCCTATTCATCCTTTTCATATCTGCTTCTATTACCCGACGTAATATGTTCTTAGGCCTTCCTCTTTTCCGCTTCCCTTCAAGATTCCAAGTTAGGGCTTGTCTCGTGATGCAGTTTGACGATTTGCGTAATGTATGTCCCACCCATTTCCATCGTCTTTTCCTGATTTCCTCTTCAGTTGGAAGTTGGTTTGTCCTCTCCCACAGAAAGTTGGTGCTGATGGGATGCCGCCAACGGATGTGGAGTATCTTGCGTAGACAGCTATTTATAAATACTTGCACCTTCTTGATGTTGGTTGTTGTAGTTCTCCAAGTTTCAGCTCCGTACAGTAGAACTGCACTGCGTCTGGACCTCCTTGTTCATCGATGATGCTTACCAGGTATGTGAACGATCCTACATCTTCCAGAGTTTCTCCATCAAGAGTGATTGGATTGCTGTTCTCCGTGTTGTATTTGAGGACCTTGGTTTTCCCCTTGTGTGTGTTGAGGCCTACTGATGCAGAGACCGCTGCTACACTGACTGTCTTTATCTGCATTTGTTCATGTGTATGCGATAGGAGGGCCAGGTCATCTGCGAAGTCCGAATCGTCTAGTTGATTCCGAGCTGTCCATTGTATTCCGTTCATTCCCACAGATTTGGAGGTCTTCATAATCCAGTCAACCACCAGAAGAAAGAGGAAGGGAGAGAGTAGACAGCCTGACTGACTCCGGTCCTTACTTGGAATGCATCTGCCAGCTGTCCTTTATGCAATACTTTGCACTGTAGTCCGTCGTATGAGTTCCGGATAGTGTTGACGATCTTCTCAGGAACTCCAGTGTCGAGGGAGTTTCCGTAGCGTCTTTCTATCTACACTGTCAAATGTCTTTTCATAATCAATGAAGTTGATGTACAGTGATGAGTTTAACTCAACTGTTGGTTCGACGATCACCCGTAGTGTCGCAATTTGGTCTGTGCACGACCGGTCCTTACGGAATCCAGTTTGTTCATCTCGAAGTTGGGCGTCTACTGCATCTTTCATCCGGTTCAGCAACACTTTGTTAAAGACTTTCCCTGGTATTGACAGTAGTGTAATGCCTCTGTAGTTTTCACATTTGCTCAGATTTCCTTTCTTTGGAATCTTGATGAGGTGTCTTTCTTTCCAGTCCATCGGCAGTTGTTCCTCCTCCCAAATCTTTTTGAATAGAAGGTGAAGCATGTTTGTAGTTACTTCGATGTCTAACTTCAATGCTTCAGCTGGTATGTTGTCAGGTCCTGCTGCTTTCCCTCTCTTGATTTGTCTGATGGCCATTCTGATTTCTTCCGTCGTTGGTGGATTGATATCTTTAGGAATGTGTGTGTGTGTGTGCTGCTTCGATATCCGGTGGATTCGTTGGAGCCGGCCTATTCAGGAGTTCCTCGAAGTATTCTACCCATCTGTCTCCCTTTCCTTGAATTTCAGTGATTGGCTTGCTTTCTTTGCTTTTGACCGGTCTCTCTGGTTTACTGTATTTCCCTGATAGTTTCTTCGTTGTATCGTAAAGTTGTTTCATATTTCCTTCTCTTGAAGCTTTTTCCGCCGTCGTTCCTAGTTCTTCCACCTATTTCTTCTTGTCGGCTCTAATGCTTTTCTTCACTTGCTTGTTTGCTTCTGTGTATCCAGTTTGTGCTTGGACTTTCTCTGCTCGTGTTCGGCTGTTGTTAATTGCTGCCTTCTTGTTCTTCCTTTCTTTGATCTTGTCCAAAGTTTCTGAACTTGCAAGATGTCGCATGAGACTATTTTGTAAATAAGCCTTCTTTTTGTGCAGAACACCACGTATTTTAATTTTTGAAAATAAAGATCTGTGGCCGTTACTCCAAGTTCTCTCTTGGTGTGAGGTTCTTTTCAAATCAGCTGTGTCGACCGGTGGCACTCGGCGGTGTTCTCTTACTGGTCGAGGCAGCAGCACTTCGACAAACGTGAGCATACTAATTCTTCTCGCTCCATGATATTTAGACTAGGAAACGCCTGAACTGCTATTTGTTGCGAAAGGTGGAGATAGTCAATGGGATCTTCACTCGCTTTCTGGTAACGTGATAGAAATTGGGTGGTCACCTGCTGATCACACGCGCTAGAACTGATGATGGAGGTGTCTATGGCAAAACGTGTCGAAATCTATGTTGAACCGCTAGTGATTCCGGACAGGGTAGCACCCGTCACGGCCCCCCACCAAACGCCACTACTTGAAACCCAACCAGAATATTCTATATGGAAAGCGAGAGTAATAGAATGTCTACGTAAGGTCTCGACGTCAGAGCACTTCAATAATTTCTCATATTACCTAGACGATGGGATGGCTAAAAGACCTCCAATTCTGAGGGCAAACACCAAATGCATTGGACAGGTTGGATGCAACTAGAAGATTTGGACTTCACAGATGACCTGGCCCATCTATCCAATACACAGTAACAAATGCAGGTCAAGACAACCAATGTGTCACAAACCTCTGCATCAGTAAGCTCCAACATACAAACGAGAAAGAACATGATCCTCAAACACAACACAAACGCCAACCTTATCACAGTTTCACGTACCTTGACAGCACAATCGATGAACGAGGAGGATCCGATGCATACATAGGGGAAAGGATTTGCAAAGCAAAGACAGCATTCATACAGTTGGAGAACATGTGGAACTCAAGACAACCTTCAGGCAACATCAAATTCAGAATACTAAATACTAGTTTCAAAACAGTTCTACTGTATGAAGCTGAAACTTGAAGAATTGTAACAACCATCAACCAAAACATACAATATTTACTTATTTGAACACTTAAATATCGGTACATTGGCATCAAAAACACATGCACTGCACGTATCATTTGATTTATGTAAGGGCTGTGATGCTGACCTAGACGGCCAAACCGATGCAGAACAATTGTTATTAAGTATTCGAATGGTTCAAATGATTCTGGACGGAATAGAAGAAACTCACGCTTAACGGGGTTCCGCATCTAGTAACAGTGAATCACCGATGCTTTCAGGTAGGAACCTAGTCATATTATTGATAAAAGAAGAAAAAGAAAAAGAGTTGGTAAATCATAGTAAGATATCATCCTGAATCCTTAAGGATATGTAAGGTTTTCTCCTGAAGGACTCCTAGATAGTCTCTTGGACTAGCTCAGCCGGTAGTGAATTCCAGTATTTGGATACTCTTAGGGAGTAGAGGGTATGCATACAGTCCGTTCTGCTGAGTTGCGTCTTCATTTGATAGGTGTCACCCTTGAGTTTGTAATGAGACTAAGCCTGAGTAGGTATATAAGTGTGTACTCAGAATTGTTAAGGATGCTGTAAGTCATTAGGTTACACCTAAGACGCCTATATAAAAAGGCTGGAACGGATATAAAAACGCCATTACTCAAAATTTTCACATTATCTTCAGTGCCAGGTACACATTCCGAAACCAGTAAGGCAACTTATGTTGTCCCCGAACACACATCAGGAACTATAAATACCACATCGGTCATAACACACACGGTGGAACAATTGATGGAAGATAAAAATATTAATACATTCTCAAATAATAGTTCGTTACATGAGGCATGCCAGTTTATAGGCAAGAGCAAATTGTTACAAATGATACAATTTTCACCGTAGCAAATTACTCAACCGGATTGATATTTTATGATATAAATTTAGATGGTTTTATTAGGAATCATATTGTCAGGAAGTTTAGTCCTAACGTGATTTGCATATATCAAACTTTTGCTGTGTTCTTACGCAACAAAAGTACCATTTCAGTTCTAAAAAATCTATCCTGAGCTATACGTTCGGTAGATTACTTTTTTTTTAGTTTCACTATATTTAATAGTTACCTGTGGTTTTGCCTCAGCTTACTATTCGGTTTTTTTTGTTTTTCGCGTTTAGACTAGTTTCAGTTTATATCACTCGTTTTGTCCGTTTTTGTCCGTTTTCAGCGTGCATTTTAGTGTCTTTTTTAAAAAGGTCTTAAGCTTTTGCCTGCATCTATAGCATAGTTTGCTTCAACACCGTCATGAAAAACTCATGCAAACGTCCGGGATGCCGTTTTGCTGTCACAACTGGCATGCAGTGTGACAACTGCAAAGGTTGGTTTCACGAAGCATGCACAAATCTGACAGCAACTGCGTACAACAAACTCAGCAAGTCAGACCAAAAGTGGGTATGTGTCACGTGCAACACGGACGCAGTAGTCTTGCTGAGTAACATCATTGTCCTACTGACAGGTCTTCGAAACAAGCTGTCAGTTAACTTGGAATACGACAGTAAAAAAACCGATATACAAACAAGAGCGCGTAACGGACTCAAAAATAGGGATGTCGATAGGTATGTCATCGATGGAGCATCCATCAACACTAACGACGACGTGTCGAGGCTCAGTACCATCATTACGTCGACGGTACTAGACTCCCTAGGCAAACTCGGGTCTCCCAGCTCAGGGTCGCTGAACACAACAGTGGTTCCCAAAAACCCTGCAGGCGATTCGACCCACGTTAAGAGAGCCCAAAAGAACCAAGCATCACCGCCTAAGCCGAGCAACCCAAGTGTTGCTGCACGGAAAATAACTGGTGATTTAGTCGCACAGTCTACCCCCAAGACTGTTCGTCCGGTCAATAAAGAGCCCAAGATTCAAAAACGCACACTGACCTCCAAAAAACAAGTTATTAAACCTGAACCCATCGTGAAACCTGGTAAATTAACAACAGTTCGTGACGATTCTCTCATTATCATGAACCTCGTCGACAATCCTGACCTTCCTCTCAGTCTACAGGATAAAAACGACAGGATGCTGTGGGGTGAATTGAACAAAAAGCTCGAACTTCCTAGAATAGAGCCTTTGACGGTCACCCGGCTCACTCGAGGAAAGGATTCTAAGCATCTAAATCACCCGAGGCTTCTCCGAGTAACACTTAAGAATGCTACCGACGTAGAGGACGTCTTGCTAGCAAGTCACTTACTGAAATCATATGGTAACGTAAGAATATTGCCCGACATACCGTACTCCGAGCGCAATATCATACGAAACGTCCCTAAAGAATCTCGCGAGAAGTTCTTCCGCGGAAGAAACATAATTGTCCAAGGTATACCGGAAAATGCAGACCCTACTCAATCAAATTCTGACATCAGGGAATGGAAATTCATCAAACAGTCCTTGAGGCTCAAACACATACTGACTCAGCATGTGACGAGACTTGCCAAGAAGGACGGTGATCTTAGACCCCGTCTAATGAAGATAACCTTCCCATCTTCCCACATGGCGGCTGCAGTTCTGGAAGCATTTCGTGCTAATAGACGTCGATTGCCACCTGGAATCCACATGCACCCGGATAGGCCATACGAAGTCAGGACCAAGAACAAAGGCAAGCTGGAGCTGACCATTCCACTTGTGGACTGTCTAAACGATAAAAAAAACGTGTAAAGGACAGGGCCTACCACCTCGGCAAACCTCATATAGGTGGGCTACCTGTCCATTCACATAAGGTTCATACAGAAAAACAGGACGAAGCTCATGCGTTCCAAATTGAAAGCATAAACTGCTTATATATGAACGCCGCGAGTTTACCAAACAAACTGGATGAACTACGTGAACTTAGCAACGCTAACAAGGCCCATCTGATAGGAATATCTGAAACCTGGATATCTTCTCAGTTCTCGGATCAAGAGTTAGCATTGCCTGGGATGACTTTGTTCCGCAACGACAGAAAAATAGGAATTGGGGGCGGAGTAGCCATATACATAAGCTCTTGCTTGGAGGTGCACCAGGTTCACAACCTCGAGTTTAACAATCTTGAGGAATCCATATGGTGCTCTGTAAGGTTGTCTAGTACTTCCAGGTGTCTAGTCGGAGTCATTTACAGGAAGCCAACTGCCGACACCGAGTACGATAGTCGTATGCTGGAAGGACTATCCCGCTCTATCCGTCTCGGTTTCACACACATCCTGATTCTAGGGGACTTTAATCTCCCTAGAGTCAACTTCGCGGAACACACGTACACTGGAGGCGACAACTCAACTGAAGCTCGGTTCTTCAACCTCATCGATAACTTGGGCTTATATGAAAATGTGAGGTCGGCAACTCGTTGGAGAAACAGTCAGACACCATCGCGCTTAGACTGTGTATTCACTAACGAAGAATTCCTAGTCGACAACCTCTCAATCCTGGCTCCTCTGGGAAAAAGCGATCATGCCGTCATAGCCTTCAGTTTTGTTATCAAAACTAAGCTAAGGTATCCCAACAATAATTTGCGATGGAATTTTAAACGGCTGAATGTGCGAGCTCTACATGACCATCTACAACAGGTGGCTTGGGATGTTCACCCTCAAATCGATGTGGATGGTCATTGGGACCTCTTGCTGCACACGCTCTTATGTGCTACAGACCATTCAGTTCCTCAAACGGTTCCCAAAAGCTTCAAGCCACCTACAGTAATCAAGAACCGTACCCTTCGCCTCCTAAGCCGCAAACGGCACTGTTGGGCGGAATACAAACGAACTAATAACGATGGAGCGTATAGGCAATACAAACATATCAGGAACACATGCACGAAGGCTATAAGAGAAGACAGGCTTCAGTACCAAACAAAGCTTATGGACAAATTCGCCTCTAACCCTAGAAGCCTATTCCGTTATGCAGCCTCTTTTCGTCAAGCCAAAACAGGAGTTTCTCAACTGCTAGGTCCTAACGGCCCGACCAACAACGATGGCGACGCCGCTAACCTTCTGGCGGCCCATTACTCTCAAACATTTCAACCGGCTGATATCAACTTTATTGACGACAGTTTCATCTGCAATTCCACAGGACTTTCTGAAGTGGACCTAAGCGCTGACTTGGTGTTCCGGAAACTGCAGCACTTAAGACTTGACACTTCTCCTGGCCCGGATATGGTTCATCCTGCCATACTGAGGGAGGCAGCCTCAATCCTGGCAACGCCGCTTAGCGTGATGTTTTCACACTCGCTTAGCCAAGGCAAATTACCGGAAAATTGGAAGTTGGCTCACATCACACCAATTTTCAAAGGTGGTCGACGCAATGAACCTTCAAGTTACCGGCCGGTAGCTCTTCTGTCGTTACCTTCAAAACTCATGGAGTCCCTAATATGCGACGGTTTAAATGACTACCTACTGTCCTTAAATTTCTTCTCACCCCAACAGCATGGTTTCAGGAAGGGTTACTCTTGTATAACTAACCTGCTGACTGCGGTGGACAGATGGACAAGCATCCTCGATTGCAAAGGAAAGGTTGATGTCATTTACCTTGATTTCTCAAAAGCTTTTGATAAGGTTAACCACTTGTGTCTTATCAACAAGCTCAAACGACTAGGTATCAAACCACCTCTAATCGACTGGCTCACTTCATACCTAAAAAATCGACACTTTAAGGTTAGGGTTAATTTCACTTTATCTCAAGCTATGGAATGTCCTAGTGGGGTCCCCCAGGGCTCAGTACTAGGGCCTCTTCTCTTCTTGATCTACATAAATGATCTTCCTCAACAGGTAACGTCAGACTTATTACTTTTTGCCGACGACGTGAAACTTTGGAGAGAGATACGCAACCAAGACGATATACAGGCACTTCAAGAGGATCTGACTCGACTTCAAAGTTGGGCAGACGATAACGGACTTACCTTTAACACTTCAAAGTGTAAAGTAGTCCATCTGCGACATGTCGCAAACTACAGTTACAACTTAGGAAACTCCTCTCTAGTAGTATCCCAAGTCGAAAAAGATTTAGGAGTCCTGGTGCCCCATGACTTAAAGTCTTACGCTAACTGTGACAAAAATGCCTTCCGAGCAAACCTTGCACTGGTAACGTTGAGGCGCATTTTTGGTCAGTTTGACGGAAGAACTTTCCACACAATCTTCAATAGTTTCATCCGTCCCCATTTAGAGTACGGAAACATAGTACTCCCCCCCTCACTCCAAAAGGATAAGGTCACTTTGGAGCGTATCCAACGGCGAGCCACGAAATCAGTTCGAGGACTCAAATCTAAGCCTTACGAAGAACGCCTCCGTTCACTAGACCTTTACCCACTAGAATATAGGCGTCTTAGAGGTGATTTATTAATGGCTTATAGTATTCTTAACACTTCTGGACATCCTCTTAAACACCTACTTAAGCTTAGTTCGAACAATAACCTAAGGGGTAACACCCAGAAACTGGAAACACAACATAGCAAGACGGAATGTAGACACAACTTCTACTCCTTAAGAGTTGTCAAAAGCTGGAACTCGCTGCCGGCCGAGCTAGTCCAAGCGACTTCTCAGGAGTCCTTCAAGAGGCAACTTGACCTATTCTTAAGGACTAAGGACAGCATCGCACTATGATTTACCAATTTCTTTTCCTCTTTTATTGCTAACATACCTAGGTTCCTGCCTGGAGGATTTGGTGATCCCCTGCTACTAGACACGGAAGCCTGTTAAGCGAAAGCTTCTTCTACTCCGTCCACAACCATTTGAACCATTTGAAGTATCACAGTTGACGCGTTTTATGAAGGTTGCGTTGCGACGTGCAACTAATGTACGAGGATAAATGCATGTAAAGTTGAGGGCTTCTACAAACCACAAACTATATATCCCTCTGGAATATATAAGGTTTTGATGATGGAGCAGGACGAACTCACCCGTTCCATATCTGTTTTCGGTGGTATATCTCAAGGGGGCTGAAAAAGGGTGCAGGAAAAAAGAAAAGACGAGGAGAAGAACACACAATGTTCATGAAGGAGTAGTTAAACTATGACTGTTCAGTCTAGTCCTCTTTTAATAAGACACCTATTAAACAAGAGCATTCTAACAGGTTAAGGAAAATAAGTGTAAACTAGGTGTGAGATATCGGGACACCTCAGAGGACATAGCTGGAGAGTAGAAAAGCTAAGAACGACCAAAATACCCGTGGCATACAGGTTTTCACACCGAGTCATCAATACTTGGAACCTGCTGCCTGAAGCAGTGGTGTCCGCACCTTCAATTGACTCTTTCAAGAGAAGACTGGACACTCACAGAAGCATACTAGAAAAGGAATAACATAGGCCGTAGGCCTTCTGTCCTTACTACACAAATCTGAATCTGAGTGGATAAACAACTGACAAATGGAGGTGGTTCAGAAAGAAGATGAAAGTATGGGATTGTGTGTAGTTATAAAATATAGTGCAGAAAACAGTTTTGTGATACGCAAGTGGCTGACTCCCTTTTTTGTCAAAGCTATTTGAGCTTCTTTATATGGTCTTGAGTAGGCTTCGTTTTTAGCGAATTGTCTAGTGTGTTTCTAATAGGATTACTCGGTAGGAAGTGAAACCAATTCAACGTTCCAAACACTATTTAATGAGGTATTTCGCATAACAAATCAGTATCGATATCATTAGTTCGTGACATTCCACTAGACCATAAGGAGCCATAATTAAACAAAATGCTCTGCCCTACAGACATTGGTAGATTGAAGTTATCTCCCCACCATCATGCTTGCTGGTTAGTAACGCCACCCTTCCTTTTTTTTTTATGTTAGGCTCTCTTAGATTTGTGGTAAGTATGAATAATCCTTTAATCAAAGCCCATAGTTGGAATACACTGTCTCTACTAATTTAATGTTACGAGCAAATCAGATGGTTAACGCATTTGTATTATGGGTTAGATGTCACACTCCTATGAAGATAACTAATGGTAAAAGGTAAAAAAAAAATACAAGTTAGATTATATGTGGCTTAAAGATGGTAAGGACTACTAGCAAATCAAAGGATATGAAAGAGTATAAAACTGTAAAATTTTCAGGGTAAAAAAAATAAAACTGAGCAACTCACAAGACTTTAGGACATTTCGAGCTTCGTATGATCGGCCTTAGTTGATCAGCATCCATAAAATTAGTGAGTTATCTGTTCTACTTTTACTCCTAACTCTAAATCTCAACAATAAGTTTACGAAGTTTCTAGCCAAACTGGTTCATTGTTTTACAACTTAACACTGTTTTCGCCACAGTATGAAGCAAAGTGTGGGAAACCGGTATTAGGAACCCGACTGTTAGCGAAACTATCTCAGAAAAAGACGAACATATTATACATTCTCAATCTAGGAGATTGGATCGATGTGTAGAACTTTTTAGGGATCAGTTCAATTGGTCTGCAGCCACACTTTGGTTTCCCACGATCTCCAGTAAACCTGAATGGCGAGGGAGAGCAGCAGGCCCTGACAGGTTTACTCCTGAGATTTTTAAGGATGGTGGTCCAGTATTAGCAGTGAGGTTGACTGAGGTCTTAGATAGAATTTGGGAACTGGACGCAATTCCATCTGGCTGGTCGTATCACATCAGACCAAACTACCCTCAATAAGTGATTACAGCTGATTCAGATTGAGACAACTTCTAAGCTAAAAATAAGTAGTGTAATTCTTGCATAGGTAAATCGCAGTAAGTTTCTATCCGAATGTGAAGTATCTCGTTTCTGGGTGTAAAGTCTTTTTAAGAATAACGCATTCAGTCCCCAGGTGTTTTCAATCAGTTGATTACGGGCACCTACTAGTAGGAAAGGTACACCTGAAAAGGGTCCAAAATTTCGTTAGCTTTTTTCACCGTTATGTCACCTCCTTTCATCATCCCAATTACAACGCTGTCTAGCTGTTCTTTCATTGAAAGATGAATCGGGGGGACATTTCGTCATCTAAAACTTGTTAATAAATTAAGCTACACCATATCGTCGGGGAATCGCAAAACAAAGAAAGGGTGAGCTATATGCACTGTGGAAGTTTGATTAGAAACCGGTTTTTGTTAATGTTTTAGTTTTTGATAAACATTTTTACTAAAACAATTACTTCTTGTCCATCTTATTTTCAGCTGGCTTCGCAAGTTTTAACAGATGTAACTGTAAGTTTTTTGTTCGCTTTATTGACAACACTGTTATACCGTTGGTACGTCATCGACGTTTTACATAGCACGATATTTGCTTGTAAACTTAAGAATATTTTTATTTCTGTAGAACATTGTGAATGATAGTTCAACGTGCTAAGGCTACTAAGCAGTGAAGAGAATATGTATTAATGAATAATTTTTAACTTTATAAACGTAATAAACATTTGAATGTGTCACGAATCAGTCTTTTAATTACACTGATAGATCAATTAACGTTAAGTTTCTTTGGCACTGCGTAATTGAATGAAAATAACGGAATATCGGAGTAAAAACTAGGTGGTTATTCTCGCCTGACTTTTCCCTGATATCTGTAGGAATTTGTTGAGAATTATTGCGTTAAAACGAATTTGCAAAAACTATAGTGAGATTATTGTGAAATTTTGAGGAAAAACGCAAAATTCATGGGAAATTTTGGAGAAAAAAACCAAATTAAGGGGGAATTTTGGGGTTTTATTAATAAATATAGGCCGATTTCCCAAAAGTGTCATGAGATCCTGGGGAAATTTTGAGATTGGGAAGTTTAGGGGATTTTGGGGCTGTTCATGAATAGCCCCTATCTATTTTTTTAATTGATGTGTTTCTGTTTGGGCATCTTATTAGTCCGGAAACAATTACTTCGGTGTAAGTTCATTACTTATTCCACTTAACACGGTTCTCGCATTTTCTGTATTTAATTTTAAATGAATACGGGGTTGATAAGTCCTCGGTACATCCTTTTGTGAAAAGCACATCTCGAAATAAAATGTTCATAAACCCGTGAAATGATCGTGCCACGTTTCTGAGACTGAATAACAACTGAATGAACTCGAACGATCCAGGTGTGGTAATGGTTGTTGTAAAGACTTCATCCTCAGCTACTGGGATATCGTGATATGCTCTGACTGTCGGTCTCAGTATATGTAGTCAAACCTTTCAGACTACGTAAAATCAGTAGCAGTTGGTTCTGGATACCTAGCTGGTATAGTGTGACGGCTGAGGGCTCTGTAATCTCCATCTGTAGAGATGATGTCCATTGGCTTACAGAGGAATGGATAGTATCCAAATCTAACTTAGTTCAAGTTCAGGTTTAGCGATCTTAGATTTATCAGGAGCTAATCTCTTGGAAACACAGGCATGGGTTCATTTTAATGTGTTACTTTTAGCTTATTTTCATAAGCTTGAGGATTTGATTTGGCCAAGTTTTGGAATTCTCCAATCATATCCTGGAGCTTTGTAGTTCCTATCAGCAGTCTGTATCAAATTTAGAGAAATGACGTAAACCTGTGTAGCTCGAAGTTTATTTTATTGTCAAAAGGCGTCAACTAGAAATTTATATTCCTCTAAAGAGCCTAATCCAATCATTTGTAAAATCTAAGTCTCTCACAGTGAACACCCAGGGGGTCATCTAAATATTCCAAATCTAATGTCAATCTTTTATGCAAAAGTAGCGATTTTAGTTTTATTATTAGCCTGAACGTGACTAGGGTTATTTGTTGACTCAGTTCGGTTTCATCCTTAAAAGGGGATGTAATGAGACCGGTTCCTAGCCGCATGATCCTTAAAGATACAATGAGATTTATATTAGTGATATGGCGGAACGAAAAGGCGGAACCACGTCCTTAGCCCATTGTGATTTTGGTTCAACATTACTTCTGTTTTTAATCCAATATGACTACTCACCGTAATATTTGTGCTTGATTGTAATGTGACATTTTACTGACCATAACATTGATTTATTGCAGTGTGATGTCTATTCAAGATATGTTTTTTGTATTGGATTGACGCGAATGATATGCAGCATGCAATTCCGTCTTCATTTCACATATGACATCTTCGTATTTAATGGATGTACAAATCAATATATAAACAAGTGTATCTTCGATTAGGGTCGTCGTGTTTTTCGGATAAGTAAATTTTCACCTGTGCCAGTCTTCTTGTTTTTACTTCACATCTTGAGTATTTTAGCAGTTCCTCGTTTTCAAGTATAAATATTAAGTGACGCGAATATAACGATCGACTGTCTAACACTTGGAGGTAGGAAAAAGGTGAAGGTAGAAATACTTGATAGGAACTACATGACTAGAGCATGCAGGCGTAATCATTCTACGTATTCCCTTGCTCTTTAAATTAGGTACATAATTCTATCTCCGACCGGAATGTGTTCTCTAGAAGTTCTTGAAAAGATCCGCTGACTTTCAAGATGAGTCACTACAGACAGTGACTTCGACGCAAGACCTCATCGACTAAGTAGTCACTTCATGACAAGTCCACATTATCGGATAATAGCCATTCTGGAAGCATAAATAAGTGCACTAATATAGGCCTAGACCTAGATTCTACATCCGCAGGAAACACTAAATCACAAAATGTAATTTATCCTTATATTAATAATAACTTTGCTGATATTTATTCATGTTAATCCGTCATGCTATTAGCCTACTGATTAATGTTCACATGCGCCGTCTAATTGTAGTACTCCAATTGAATTAATCCAATCGACTAGAGAAGCCAATCAATCATAGTTGTATTTTAACTATTATGTTTCCTTAACAAGCTTTGGTAGCATTTAAATGCTTTGTGAAAATGGTTTGTAAAGATACTGACCACAACAAAATATGGTCATGAGTAAGGCGGATAGTTGGAAACGACGAAAAAACGTTTTATTAGTATAAGTTCGCCCGGTCGTCGTCTACTGCTAGTTAAAATGGACACAAAAATACAGCGATTGTAGGCGTCATATAATGGCTGAAGGTAGAGATATCTTTACTCTTTATGCTGTTACAAATAATGAATTCCCTAAACTTATCTTTCAACTTGTTTTTGTTTACATGTCTCAGTTTATTATCATACTTTAGATCATTACTGATACTTAGTAGTTAATGTTCCTATTGCGTTATTGTTAAGTGTTAACTTATTGATGTGAAGAGAAATAGAAAAGCGATATTGAACAACGGAAGCCATTTCCTAGGACATCGCTTCACTTAGTTCAAAGTCTCTAAAGTACTAATATTTGTCCCTGTTTTATTTTATGTTGGAAGCTTTCGTGTAACGTATATGTCACTGTAATCTTTTCTATTCCAAAATTACTGGAATCCTGACGTAACGTTTGCATCCCATTTTTCTACTCTAATGCCCTAGACTGGACGCAACTGTGTTTTTCTTATTCGTTGTGAGTTGTAGTTTTTCTAATCATACATCTAACTAGATCAAGAGTAAATCGAGTAATTTTCCGTCCAATTCTTCTCTTTCCTGTCTTGTTAACCTAATAATCAGGTAATAGGTCAGTTATAAAAGTTTTCTTTTCTCTGTTCTTAACACCCTCCAGCCACAATTGAACTCACGCATTCTCCAGCCTCAAGACTTTAAACTAGGTTGAGACAATTCTCTCCTGTACATTAGTGGGCAAACGGATCAATGACGTAACACATATACACTTAGACTGTATGAAATTTTGTATTTCATCGACGTTACTATACAGTTAACAAAATATGCTTTATGTAATTTAATGGGTTGTATAATCTCACGTACATAAGAATGATAGCGAATTAAATAAAATTCTATTTGAAAAACAATTATTCATTTTACTTCCAACAATGGTAGTTCTGACTTCATATTGACGAACGGAATAGTTCGACCAGTGGAAAAGTAAGTGATCATTTTCCTCACTGATATATCCTCAAATGTACTGGAGGTTGTATAGTGATAAAAAATGTTTGCAAATATTGCAGCATATTCAACTGCAGAAAATATAGTATAAGCTAGAATAGAAACATCAAAGATGGATGAGTTGTTACTAAAATAACGGATCAGAATTTATTTGTGAATTTTGAATGAAAATATTAAAGCTATTCGTACGATAAAGCGAGTAGACAAGTAGCACACGCCTCTGTAAATATAGTGTAGCATTCGAGACTGAGAGGCAGTTTGGTATTCTTCAGATTGTATAAGTTTTATCCAGGGAGCACATAACACATCCGGCAAATATCGGTTTGTATTTGGCTTTTAATAAACTCAACAAAGGTAGTTTATTTTTAGGTATAGGCTGTTCCACAAACGTTTGTGTTTAATAACTTGATTTTAAAGTATATCCACTATAAATATGATTGTACTTTCACAGATACCACTCAACTACGCCATTTGGGAGAACCTATCAACTCCTGGAGCTTCTTTCCTCTCTTAGAAGTGATTACTCATATCATGAATATCCATGGATATAAATTCAAATGGACAGAGTGAACTACGTAGTTTCAAGGTTCACAGTAAATTTGTTAGCTAGTGAATTAAATTCGTAAAAAGATTCAAGATTACTACACAGTTCTGGATTGTTTTACGGTCCTTACTAAACATCATATTAGTATTAAGAGAACCATTTTCTACATTCACACTACACAGAGAAAACTATTGAGAATTTTCCCTACGATGAATAAAATAACTAAAATATTAGATAGGTACTGTAGTTTATTAAACGTACCATATGGAGGACAAAATGTCATGTGAATCCAATAACACAGTACAAGAATCAACAAACAAATTAAGTAGAACGTCATAAGATATATCTTCTTTCCTAATATGGTACTCTGGAAAACGATGAAATCATCGGTATATTTAGATAGTAAAATATAGGTGCATGAAACATTTATGTAAAGCAAATGATTCAAGAAGACATGTGTATACACGGTTGGAAGTTAAGAAGCCGAAAACTTAGCCATAACATACACTTCTTCATAACTAAAAGTTCAGGTATATTACCTCCTACAAGCGCTTTCGACTTCGTTGTGCCTCACCTTCAACGTATTTTGTTCACACGTATACAGTGTGATCCAACCACATGAAAAACGTGTTTATAAAAACGCATTATTGGCAGCATTTCAGTTTTAATCACGAAAATACTTTAGACCAAGTTGATGTGTGTTCAGAGTTTACTGAAAGCTATAGATGTTACTTTAATTTGTGAAAGCAAAACTTGAACGTTAAGTCTAAAATTATCTTCTCGATGTTTTTAAACCTTACCTGGGTGTTAGTTAAACTTACATCAGAAACTCGGTACATTCATAGAGTGACGTTGAAAGCGGCTTAGTACACATTTGTACAAAGAAGGTAAATTATACTTCATAAATATGTCCTGGATAATCGACCGTCTAAAACGTAGGTGTTGGTGGGAGTGTATACCTGCCCAAGCAACCACGCCTCAGCAAAATGGGAAATATCAGTTGCGAGCGAACCGTGAGATTAAAATTAATTTATACCTTTCTTTCCACAAACTAATTCTTTCCTCCCGTATCATACTCTTATATGCAGTCGCCTTCTGTATATTACTACCACTGAAGTAACTGCTTCTATGAATTTGGTGTTCTCCTTCTTGTGCTAACTGTCTAACAGTATGTTGGGAAGTTATATCGAGGTCTCGTACACTAGATGATTTCATTCACATATAGCTAGCTACTCATAGAAACTCGAAAATCACGACAGAAATATTCACACCCTGGTATTTCGAGACCTTTTTCACTATCCGGTTATTCGAGAAGTATTAAATTAATGTTACCTAGCATTTTATTATCATCACTGTAGCCTGGAAGTCAATCAGTAGGAAATATGGAACATCTCTATGGACACCACCCATAATACCAGACTCGTGGTTTTAATTACGCTCAATAAACTTCCAAACAATATATTCGCTAAATGAATAGCTTAACTACGTGAGCAAACCACTCAACTAAATGACAACACCGTCGGATGAAATTCTCAAAGTTAAATCACTGGCAAGACCGAATAGAAAAACATGATACATATTTCATTATTGGCAATCAAGTTAAGTTGTTTTTAGAAATTGGGTTAAATTATTCTTACCAGAAAAGCATTTTCAGTTGTTTTAAGCCTAAGTTGTAATACGTAAACATCTGTTATCATGTAGACCACCGAGAACAAAGCAAAGGCACAGAAGTAATTGCGATGCTGAACTGAAAGGAATTGTTGTAAAGTTGACGCTCACTGTAGTTATCAGATGAAGAAACAATGCTAAGCATATTGAGTGAAAATATTTCAATAAAACTTGATAGATATGGCAAATTGGAAAGGGATAAATGACCGCCTGAGAATGAATTGAATTTACGGGAATTTATGTAACTATTTAATAGAATCAACAGCCTCCAAGCCGAACTAATAAGAATCGATATGATCCATATCGTCTTTTGAGGTTCATTGCTGCCAACAGCAGCGCTTAGGGACGGTAGAAAATTGGCATCCTACAAAACTAAAGTTTTCGTTGTAATAAATTTACCGTGCAATGAGTCTGGACGCATGAATTTGTAGCCAAACATAATAGAACACATATTACCAATGCACCTGCTGGGAGTGATGAGGCAGCAATGCAAACGTGCCGAAATGTTGCAATAAATAGCATTCAGAAATACAAGCAACCGTGTAAATAATGTAAAGGTCCGGATTTAGCCACAAGGCACTTTGTGTACTAGGGGAGGATGCAGAGTAGCGAGAGAAAGGCTGGAAAACAAAAAAAGGTAAATCAACGATTCACCGAGCGCACACAACGCACTTACGTTCAATAACAGAAGCAATCGACAACAATCAGAAATAACACAAACCTCAGATTGGTTGGGGTGATTTGATACCTAATCGTTCGAGCTTATTGCTAAGACATATATGGTTGATCCTATCAAAAGCTTTTGAGAATTCAAGGTAAACGACGTCAACCTTTCCCTTGCGATCAAGGATGGTTGTCCATCTGTCCACTGCAATCAGCAGGTTGGTTATATAAGAATGACCTTTCCCGAAACCGTGCTGTCGAGGTGAAAAGTTTAAAAATAATAAATAGGCGCGTATACCATCGCATATCAGAGACTCCATAATTTTTGAAGGGATAGAGAAAAGAGCCACCGGTCGGTGGCTTGAAGGTTCACTGCGTCGACATCCTTCGAAAATTGGTGTGATGTGAGCCAGCTTCCAAGTTTCCGGTAATGTGCCTCGGTTCAGCGAGTATGAGAACATCACGCTAAGCGGTGTTGTCAGGATTGAAGCTGCTTCACTCAGTATAGCAGGGTGAACCATATCCGGACCAGGAAATGCTGCAGTTTCTGGTACACTAATCCAGCGCTCAGGTTCACTTCGGAAAGTCCTGTGCAGTTGCAGATGAAGCTTTTATCAATATAGTTCATGTGGGTCGGTTGAAATATCCGAGAGTACTGTTCGGCCAGGTTAGCGACGTCACCGTCGTTGTTGGTCGGGCTGTATGACGGAATAAGCTTTTGGGATTGGACACAAATTTATCAATAAGCTTTATCTGGTACCGAAGCCTGTCTTCTGTTATTACCTTAGTACATATGTTCCTTACACGTTTTGTTGCTTATATGCGCCGTTGTTGTTAGTTCGTTTGTATTCCGTCCAACAGTGCCTTTTGCGGCTTAGCAAACGAAGAGTGTGGTTCCTGATGACTGCAGGTTGCTTATAGATTTTGGGGACCATTTGAGAAACAGACTGCTTTGTAGCACATAAAAGCGTGCGCAATAAACCCCAATGAGCATCCACATCTAGTTGAGGGTGAATTTCTCAATCTACCTGTTGTAGATTGTCCTGTAAAGCTGACACATTCAAGCGATTAAAATTCCAGAGTCAGTCAGCTACAACGTAGGACCAGGCACATATATGCACCGGTCCAAGTTGCCATACCTCATTAACACAACAAGATGGACACCGGATTCATAAAAGTAGTTAATTCAGAGGTGGTAATATATAAAAGAAAGACTGCAATAAGGATACAGTACAGGAAGGAAAAATTAGTTCGTAGAAAGAAAGATATGAAGCGATTTTAATCTCTTAGTTTAAGGGAAGACAGTGTATACACCGACGCCATTGTGATCGATTCTGAGCCATATCACCAAGAGTCTCCAACCATTGGTTACGATAATCACGCAGACCCCAACCAAGTAGTCTGCATCTACCAACATGGCTCAGACTAGAAGTTAGTGACTTCAAGCAGAGCCTGTTGTTGGTGGGGTGTCTTAGCTGTTTTACTGATAGAACTAAAGGCTGTGACGGCGTGATCGCTTCTCCCCGAGGGAGCCAGGATTGATTGTCAATTAAGAATTCTTCGTTTGTAAATACCCAGTCTCCATCGAGTTGCCGACGTCACATTTCCGAATAATCCCAAACCCTCAATAAGGTTGTAAGACCGAGCTTCAGTAGAGTTTCCACCTCCAATATACGTATGTTCCGCGAAATTGACTTTAGGAAAACTGAAGTCCCCTAGAATCAAGATATGAGTGAATCCGAGGCGAGTAGAGCGGTATAATCCTTCTAGCATACGATTGTCGTACTCGATGTTAGCAGTGGACTTCCTGTAGATGACTCCAACTAGACACCTCAAGGTGGTAGACAATTTCACTGAGCACCGTACGGACTCATCAACATTGATAAACTCATGGTTGTGCACTTGATGTACCTCCAGGCAGGATCGTAAGTATAAGGCTACTCCACCCACAATTCCTGATTTTCTGTCATTGCGAAACAAAGACATCCCGAGTATTTCTAGCTGGTCCGTAAGCTGAGAAGATAATCAAGTTTCAGATGTTCATATCAGATAAGCATTATTAGCATAGCTGAGTTCACGTAGCTTATCCATTTTATTCGACAAACTCGCGGTGTTCGTGTATAAGCAGTTTATGCTTTAAATTTGAAACGCGTGAGCTTCCCCACCCTGTTTGTCTGTATGAGCCTTATGTGAATGGACAGGTAGCCTACCTATACAAGGTTTCCCGTGTTGGTAGCCCCTGTCCTTTCCACGTTTTTTATGATCAAGACAGCTTACAAGTGGAATGGTCAGCTCCAACTTGCCTTCGTGCTTGATCCTGGCATCATGCGGCTTATCCGGATGCGTATGGATTCTAGTTGGCAACCGATGTCTATTGGCACGAAACGCTCCCAAAGTTGCACCCGCCATATGGTTGGATGAGAAGATTATCTTCATTAGCCAGGGTCTAGAATTCCCATCTTTCTTGGCTAGTCACATCACTTGTTGAGTCAATGTTTTTGAGCTTCTAGGATTGCTTGATAAATTTCTATTCTCGAATATCACTTTGTGTGGTCAGGGTCCGAGTTTTCCGGTACACCTTGCATGATGATATTTCTTCAGCGGGAAAACTCACGAGATTCCTTAGGGATGCTCCGGATGAGATTATCCTTAGAATACGGTGTCAGGCAGTATTCTTACATTCCCATCTGATTTCAATAAGTAACTAGCTAGTAGGTAATCCTCTATTTTCGGAAGTTCAGGCTTCTTGTTTAACTCTTCCCAGAGCATCCTGTCATGTTTGTCCTGCAAACTGAGGGGGAGGTCAGGGTTTTCTTTAAGATTCATGATTACGAGAGAATCATCACGAACCGTTATTGTTTTCGCAGGTTTTTGGGTGCGTTCAGGTTTCCCTACGATACTTAGGATGTTCAGCTTCTTAGACGGTGACACCTGGTCATTTTTAACGTTGTTAACGGGGGTTCAATCACCTACAGTTTTTGGGAATTACCGTTGCATTCAAGGATCCTGTGCTAGAAGATTCAAGTCTGCTGATGGAGTGTAATACCGTCGATGGTACGGTGGTGCTGAGTTTCAGCATGTCATCACTAGTGTTATCAGATGTTCCAACGATAGTAGCGCTGTCGAGATTAATCTTCTTGTTTTCATTGAGCGTCTTTGTTTGTCCACCCGTTTTAAGACCTTTTTCAAGGTTCCTGACAACTTATTTCGCAGAATTGTTAACAGGACAATGATGATGTTCAGAAAAACCACAGCATCCGTGTTGCACATGACACGTACCCATCTATGATCCGACTTACTGAGTCTGTTTTAAGCAGTTACTGTGAGATCTGTGCACGCTCCGTGGAACCAACCTTTGCACTGCATGCCAGATATAGAAGTAAAACTGCAGCTGGGTCGTTTGCATGAAATTTCATGACTATAGTGACGTAAAGTGTTGTATAGACCCTAGAAAAAGCCGAAGATCGTGAAAAAACAATGCACTAAAAACAAGTAAAAATGGATAAAAACAGGTGGTGCAAAAGGTTAGGATACATTAAAATTAGCTATGACGTGAAAAGCTGAAGAACCGAATAGTACCCAATCAATCGTTGCTGAATTGTCTACTTTCCGCCTAAATATACGCCACATTGTCCTTTCTTCGCCTAAATACACTCCGAATTGTCTACTTTCCGCCTACAATTATAGGCTATAATTATAAGCTTAAGCCCAAGCTCTCAATTTCGGGGAAACTCGAGTTTCCCCAAAATTGACAGCTTGGGTCCCGGAGTCAAATGACCACCAATGTTTGAGGGAGCTCGGGTCGGGAGCTTATAAGCTGAGGCAAAACCACAGTTAACTATTAAGTTGGGTAAAACTCAAAAAGAAAGGTAATATACCGAACGTATAGCTCAAAACAGGTTCTTGAGATTGGAAATGGTACTTTTGTTGCGTAAGAACACAGCAAAAGTTTGAGGGATGTTACCGCACCATTTATGCTTGGCGCCAGTCTATGAGCCTCAAATTGTTTCAAGTGGTTCTTAACGGAACAGAAGAAGCTCACGCTTAACGGGCTTCCGTATCTAGTAACAGTGGATCACTGATAACTCAAGGTAGGAACCTGAGCATATTATTAATAAAAGAAGAAAAAGAAAAAACAGTTGGTGAATCATAGTTAGCATCTGTAAGCTTTATAGAATAGGACAAAAGTGGATTACGAAAGTTCTCAGGAAAGCCACCTTTCGAAGGTTACATTTGCCACAATTGAAGAAAGGAATCTGATTCTAGACAACTCACGTAAACTGATTGGATCCGGAATATACGTCCATGAGGATCTCACCCTAGCTGATCGTGTTAAGAGACGAGCTGCAGAAGTAGAAATAAACGAACGCCGCCGAAACAGTGAAGAAAACCTCGTTCTTGAGGGTTTTTAAATGGTAAAAGTTTGGAGCAAAACGATCTCGAAGCTACTCTGGATGGCAAAAGAAAGTTCTCCACAGACTTAAAGATATGCTACTCAAATGCTCATAGCCTACTAAAAAAATGGTGGATAAAGAAAGACTGGATGTTATGGCTGTGTCAGAAACTTGGTTAACGTCAGAAGTATTAGATAATGAAATTCAGTTGGTCGGTTTTTTATCCATTAGGGCTGACAGAGTAAACTGTAGGGAAGGCAGGATTGTCCTGTACACGAAAAGTACCTTAACCATAAGAGCAGTTGGGTCAGTGACACGTGTTTCAGAAACATGTGATCTTGTGCGATGCAAGCTGAAATATAGATGGCAAGATATTGAATTAGTTGTAATATATCTCAGTCCAGAATGTGTAGTAGATGATTTTCTCCTAAGTAAACCTAAGTCCTGGTGTAACAAGGGTAAAAGCCTTGTAGTAGGCGACTTTACTAACTTGCTTCAATTAGAATTGGGGTCATCAATGGCGTCATCTGATTGCAAACTGTTAGAAACCTCAGTTGGATTAGCTTTACTCGAACACATTATAAATCCCACAAGATATGACTTAAGGAACTCTTCTCTTTTAGATTCAGCCTTCACACATGGTGATGACATTGGTCAAATGACTTTCCTCCCACCACTACGGAGAAGTGACTATGCAGTCATATTATCTGAATTCATGGCTGAGATTGCCTGTCAAACAGTTGCCTGTCCTAATATATGGAAGGCAGATATGGAGGCAATCAACTCCGCAGCATCGGCGGAAAACTGGGAAATTGACTCAAGGGTATCAATACAAGAGGCATGGACTCATTTCAGGCAGTTATACAATCAGGTGACTCAACAATACATACCCTGGACAGTCCCAAAGAAGAAGAAGCACGGCCATCCCTGGATGGGCCGGGATATTCGACGTTTACTAAGACAAAAGAAGAAATGTTGGAATGCTGCTATCAGCCTTGGCACAGCAGGTGCAATGAAGCGCTACATATCGGTAAGACACATGTGCATAACTAAAATTCGGGAAGCTCAAAGAAAATATGAAATGCAGTTGTCACAATCTGCACTCAAGCAGCCTAAGAGAGTATTCTCATACATAAACTACAGAACAAAGATGCATCATTGGATTCTCAACCTAATTAAAGAAGGGAGTGAATCTGAAATGATAGAGGAAGATCAGGAAAAAGCGGAAGCTATGGCTGACTATTTTGAGGCATTTTTCATTCAAGAACCTTTTCTAGACAAAGAACTAGGTCAAAAAACCACCTACTCGTCGTGGACTTCGATCAAGACGATGTGCTTAAGGCTCTTAGCACCTTAAACATGGAAAAGTCAACAGGACCAGATGAACTACACCCCCAAATCTTGAGACATATTGCACAATATATCGCGGCACCACTGGCTGATATTCAATATGTCACTTGACCAAGGTGTGTTACCTATGGACTGGAAGGAGGCAATCGTCACTCCCATACATAAAACAGGACCAAGACAACTTCCATCGAACTACAGACCTGTAAGCCTCACCAGTGTTGTAGTTAAAATATTGGAAATAATAGTCAAAAAGATCGTAATGACTTATGTGGATACCAACAACTTATTAAACAGTGAACAACGTGGTTTCAGAAAGTTTTTGTCTTGCACAACAAACCTCCTTATAGCAAGGGAGTTTTGGATAAAAGCTTCAGACAACGGAAACTCAGTGGATGTCGTCTACATAGACTTCAGTAAGGCTTTTGACAATGTACCAACAAATAGACTGCTATTGAAGTTAGTAAACCTTGATATTGTCGGACCTCCTTTTAAATGGCTTAAGGATTTCCTAGTAGACAAAAAGTAAGAATAACTTCCAAGTGCTCCACCTGGAGACCAGTACTTATTGGAGTACCTCAACGTTCCGTCCTAGGTAGCTCAGTGGATGATTTCGGTGGAGTTTCGGTCTCTGAGTTGGATGGTTTAGTTGTGGAGCTTTCACCGTTCTTCTGGACGACATCATCAGCACAAACATCAGATAGAAGTGAAGTGTTCGAATTTCTCCACATGTGGTGCACATCTTGTCCTGTACACCTTGTTGTTGATTGGTTCTTGTTGACCTTTGACCTGTCATCGTTTATTTCTTTGTTTGGGTTGTATCTCCCACTGACTTGATTTTCGCTCCTATGACTGTGCATAAATTTCCTGACTGGTCGAGAAACTCTATCGGTTTCAGTGTACTTGTTGATTGCTGATTGACCAGAGTGCCAAGCTCCTAAGAATTTTCTGGTGTTTTCGGAATTGCCTCTATCAAAAATCACCACATTTTTCTAATCGAATGAGTGACTGCAGTAGTCTACGTGCATTGATGTAAGTGAGGACATATCATGGCGCCACGGTCAAACACAGGACTAAGCTTAAGGAGTTATTTAAATGTATACTCAGAATTGTTAAGGATGCTATAATTCATTAGAAGGTCACCTCTAAGATGCTTATACTCCAATTGGTAGAAATGTTCACTGATTAGAGGCTCTCTTCATAAGACTTGAGTTTGAGTCACCAAACTGATTTCGTGACTCGCTGTCGGATACGTTCCAGAGTGTCTTTATCCTTTTGGAGTAAGTCAGGAAACGCCATATTTCCGTACTCTAACTGGGGTTGAATAAAACTGTTGAAGATCAAGTAGAAAGTTCCGCCGTCGAACCGGCCAAAAAATGCGCTTGAACATTACAGTGCACGTCTTTTTTTCGGAAGGCATTTTTGTCGCAGTTAGCGTAAGGGTACGCTTTTACAATAAATTACAAGTTTTTATAAGCAATTGTGTACGCAAGATACTCAATGTTCGTTGATCGGATACCATTAGCAACAGTCTACTGTGGAAGAGAACAAACTAGCTTCCAGCTAAAGAGAGATCTCGGTAAAGATTTTGAACATAAATAGGACACACATTACTGAAATCAAACGGCATTAAAAAGCCGGGTGCTAACTTGAAATCCTAAAAAGAGACGGAAACGAGGAAGACTAAGGAACACACTGCACCGGGAATCGGAGGCAGACATTATAAAACTAAGTAGCAACTAGAGGGGAATGCCCATGACAGAATTTGGCAGAGAATGCTGGTGGAAGGTTATGCTCTTCCGTGTGTGTTAACAGGCGTAAGTATGTACTTTACAAAGATATCCATAGCACTCAGTTGCTGTTCTGTTTTGGAATTCAAGTATTAAAAACACTGCTATTATATAAGTAACCCTTAGTGTAAATATTTTTTGTTAAAATAATGTTCCTTAAATCATCCCCATTACACTCAATTTTATCGAGTACGTTGAAACGAACTACATGTAGCAAGTAAAGGCTGATGTGCATGAGTACCCTGTATCAACAAATAAGTTTTCTTAATATTTGTACGCAACCCTCTCACTAATTTTTTGCTAGATTATGGTTAAAAGCAACTTCTTTGTCATTCGCGATATGGACGTTTCACTGTTCCCTTTATGTAAATGCTGTTGAACACTGTATATGTAGAAATTGTCTATAATTTGTTCTCACTTATTGTCCAGCATACATATGATTTTTACGACCGAAGGAATTGAAAGCGAATTTTCGAAGTATATAGTACACTAGTAAGTCAGTTTTAGATAGAAATTAACTGTTTGACAGTCTGACCCTTTACCTCTAACTGGGGAAAATGTGACATTTTTATGCAATAATGACAATATTCACATCGATTTTCCCTATGAATTTCCCCATAAGTTTGCCTCCATTTCCCTCCCTGTTTGTTTCAGTTTGAGTATTAAGTGAAAGTGCATCTGTAGAATTATGGTCTACTATGATATTAGTACTGCTCTAATAATAGACCTAATCCTAAATTTGTAGATTTGTCATGATATAACTGCCTAATCTATAAGACCTTACGTGGAAGTTACACCATCGACTACACCAACTCACTGTATCGTATCAATTACCAATACATGATGTAGAACAAGGTTAGGCTAGAGAAAGAACAATATATTTAATATGAATAGAAGATAAAAGACAACATTCAGCAGAGACCACGCCTGCATGACCGAGTCATGCCGTTCGATCAACTCTAGTCCATTCAATTCATTCTTCGCGCCTTCTCCATTGTTAGGTATTTCCCCGAGTTAAATATTGAATATCCATTTTCTGAGTAGTCTCGTGTTCACAGCTTTGTGGATTGTGTGGCTATTGTCCAATGCCACTACACATTCTACGTACGTATTGATTCTTTGGCTCACATTTTCACCAGTAATTTTTTTGGATTCTGTTACTGCTCCTCACACCAATACACAAGGTATCTTCACGCCAGACGAAAACCTGCCGAAGGCTATAGTGAAGAAAACATGTATATTGCACAACAAGAGCGGCCTGCTTGAGCATCTGGGCTACCTGTTCCTGCCGTCTAGATATTTCAACAAGTTATCTATTTTTGTTGATTTTAATATATGTTTAATATTATGTTTATTAATCGCATGATCTATTCTGCTGCGTTTCTGAAAAGTGTACAACCTTTCGTTGTCAAAGTTACAAGAAACTCAATAAGAACCAATGTGGTTGCTGGCAATATACAGCGAAAAGAATGCACATTATTCAGATGTTCATTTAGTTAACTGCTAACATCTAACTGGCGATCATTCGGTATTTATCGCCAGAACCGACAAAGATGAAAGAAACGGAAACTTGTTGAAATACTATACGCTGAGAATTCTATATTGTACCAAAAATATAATATTCAATAAAGCTGATGATAATAATAATAAGAAAAATTTGAGTGTTAAGTTCTTAAAATGTTTGGAGTTAATAAAGTTATCTATCAACATCCTAAGCAATTAATATAAGACTGTCTCTGAAATAAAGTATAAGAACAACCAGCTTCTAGTGAATATTGTGTGTTGGAGCATTTAATGTGATTAGTTAATAATAATAATAATATATCCTCAAATAACAGTTCGTTACATAAGGCATGCCAGTTTACAGGCAAGAGCAAATTGTTACAAATGATGCAATTCTCACCGTAGCAAACTACTCAACCGGATTGATATTTCATAAGATATAAATTTAGATGGTTTTATTAGGAATCATATTGTCAGTATCACAGTAGACGCGCTTTATATGGCTAGACGTAGATTTATTATTGTTATTATTATTAATGGCTTCAATCAATACTATATTTTGGTACAATATAGAATTCTCAGCACAGCGTATTTCAACAATTTAATTACGCAAAAAACAGTAACAAAGAGAAAAATAAAAAGGGGGTAAAAAACCCGGAAAACTGTACAACTTTCCAAATAAGATACATTTAGCTTACCAGCTTCATTTGAGTACTTCTACTTTTACATTCTTTCTTTCATCCCCCGTAGTCGTTTTAGTTGTGAAGATGTAAGTCGATCAAAACTTAAAATGGTTTCAGTGGGACAACAAATATCAAAACAGAATTTAAGGTAACAAGTGATAACATCAGTAGGGATTTCCAGTGAGTCATCTGTAAATAATTCCCAGTTAGTCGTATGAAACATGTTTTTTAGATTTTGGACATTTTCTTCTGAGTACTTCCTATATTTGACTTTCTTGGTTTGATGTAAGAGTGTACTCTTCCCAGACTTTCCATATACTTTAGGTAGAACACGAATTATACAGTGATCTGAGCTAGACAATGGAGCACGTTTACGAGTCGCATATATACCCACATCATTAATGAAGACGAAGTCTAGATGAGCATCCAAACGGGTAGGAAAATCTACTACATTTTGGTGACCTAGTGACGTAAGGAAGCTACAGTCACATGAATTGAAATCACCACATACAACTGAAAGTGAATCACTGAAGGCAGTAACAGCGAACTCAGTGAATTCATCAGCAAAAACAGATAACGCAGATGATGTGCAGTCTGGAGTCACGTAGCTATTGGTAACACAAACATATTTGCATTTATTCAAATGTTTTGGACGACATCTTGGAGTTAGACAGTCGATAAAGTCATTTGAAAACTTAAAACACACAAACGAAGATCGACAACAGTTTACGTTATAAACGTAGCTACACCGCCACCACACCTCCTTTTATTGTTTGATCGATCCTGACGATAGATTTCGAAATCACGTAAAGATACTAAGCAATCAACCTGTAAATCATTTAACCAAGATTCTTGAATTGTGATGACACCACAATTACGATACATATTTTGACTTAGTAGGAATTGCAGATAGTCCACTTTGTTGATTAGTGATTGGCAGTTAGAATTTTGCAGCTCGGGAACCCACATACGAATAATGTTCATTCTCTTTAACACATATTGCCAACCACTACGATGTCTTTTATAGTACTTTTTTGTAACCTGTGCAGCGAAAGGTCGTAGGTATTTCATAAACGCGCCTGAATAGGTTATGCGATTAATGGACATAATGGTAGGTTAAAACAAATGAAAAACAAACAACTTGATCTAATAATTAGATGGCAGAAACAGGTAGCACAGATATTCAAGCAGGCCGCCGTAGCCTTCAAATGTGGCTGCAGTCTATAAATGTAGATAATAGATATTTCAAAGTTCAGTTATAATAACCAAAGGCAATGGAGAACTAGAGTCAGGTGTATAGTAGTGTACTTACGAGCAGTTAATAGTGTGTGTCATGTTGAGTGTACCACACCGAAAAAAAGTGTTCAAGTCATGCACTTAAACAACATGTGCCATTATTTTATGGTAAATAAACAAACTATGAAAATTGACAAAATAAGCGCAAATAATATCAGAAACTATTAACAAAATAAGTTTGTCATGCCCAACTATACAAATTCTATTTACAAGGGGACTTTCAAGGTCACTTCAGCGTTGCTATATGGTTGTTCATAAATTATAGTTTTACAAAAATTTGGGGAAAACAGCACAAAAGTCCCGAAATTACCCCTTCAATCGTGGTCTGAGTCAACTCCTATTTCAACTAGGCCCTTCGAACGAAGTAATAATTATTACTAATTAGTAAGTATTATTGCTGTTTATACAGGACTATAACCACATGCTTTTATATGTCACAACTAAAACTTATGCACTTGAACAGTTTCCCCTATCCAACATTTCCATAAATGTTAACATCAACTTTATTTGCAGGCATGCCTGCTATTCCTCTTGTTTTTTCTCTCCCATGTCAAAGTAACATCTGAAAACTGAGACAGATACTCATCTTTATCGCTGCATGATTTACGTGATTAAGCATTTCCTTTCATGGACGTTTGTTAATAGACTTGAAATCGTTATTTCCCCTTATCTCTATGTTTCAGCCGCTGATGTGCAATGTAAAACCGTCTCAATATAACGGCTTATTATCAATGCTTGGACCCAATTTTAGATATTCCCTCCAAGTGTATTAATGGATAACTTTGGATTTTATGCTGTCGTTGTTGTGACCGTTGTGTTGTGTATTACTTTCAATAAATTGAAGCGAATTTTACATAAACATCTACAAAAGATTCGTAGTATTAGTGCTGAGTGCGAACCACAACGTTCTAATCATGAAGACCTTTTAGCAGTAATCAATCGAAGTGTAAGATATTCGTTTAAAGGATTGTTTATCGTATTTAGGATATCAAAGTATCTATATTTTACGGATCTCAAACAGGGACTGCTAAAAAATTTGCTATTAATCTTGGTCATCATCTTCACAACTGCGGCGTACGTAACTTGGTGGTGGATTTGAGACAAACAAACATGGTAAGATCCAAATGTGCAATCTCCTGTTATTCCATCTCATGGTGTATTGAATACTTAGGAAGAAATGAGTTTTTCAATATATGAATTATCGGCAAATGTGTTCACTATTATTGAACATATGTTCAATAATCTGTCGTTATGTTCATTTGTATGGGGTATTTACTATCATACTTGACAAATATCTTGATTTAATCATCATTATAGTACTAACTAGAAATAAATAGAGTTTTCTTTTAAACACTCGTTCCTTAGTGCACTGTTTTGACTTGATCTAATCAGTTTTGTTTGAAGCTTTACTTAGTGGGTTATTGGTTAAGGCGAGCTTCTACTTCCTTTCCATCTATTTCGGCTTGGTCAACAGCGTTATACCATCAGCCCTCACACTTCAATTATGGCTCATAATCTGACTGATAAGTTAAAATGCAAAACTTTGCTTCCACATCAGCTAAATTTTTGTCTATGGTTCCTTCCATTTGTTATGCGTTTAGGTAAGGTATTGTATGATGGAAAATAAGAGGAACAAAAAATTAGATATGTTGTTCCTTGAATAATTCAGCCTATCATTTCATACATTCTAAGAGTCAAACGTTCATCTCTCTTCGTAATATTCGTCTAAATCTATTGACTGTTGCTTTTGGTTTTTTTCTCCTTGAAAAAATATTAAAGCCTCAAAGTTGTTTTACTTAAGTAAAACAACATATACCTTACGTAATTGTGAAAGGTATATGTGGTCATCTCGACCCATTGTCATTTGTAAATGCTTCTTTACCCGATTAAAGTATTTAGTATATAATTATTACACAGTTAGATGTTACCCAAGTATCATAGAATACCAGTTATATTACAGATTGGATTATGCTTCATTTGATTAACAATAGGAACTACTGTAAATTTTTTGTGTCACACGATTGCTTTAGAGCTGTCACTCTTGTACCATAAACATGATATTTCATTTCTTTCAACAAAGTGAACGAAATAAACGTGTTAGTAGAAATGGGTTTTATCTGTTTATTTTCATACAAGTTATTTGGTAATTTTATTCAAAATCAAATGTAATGTAGTCCTTATTGAGTGTATATAACAATCAACAAGTTATCTACGAATTGATATGTGGGTGCGAGGTCTTGTTACCTAAAAAGTAACTTTGCAGATAGCTAGTATAATCTAATCTTATACATCTGTTTAAAATTGCGCACCAACAGTTCACACAAACTACTAAGGCTCATTAGGTTCCTGATTTTACATGTTTCTGAACAGAATTTTAAAAGTTCTGTATTCATGGACGGAATAAATGGTGATTTCGTGAAGCAGTGATGCATAAATTCTCAATTTTACATTTCTATTGTGAAAAATTGTATGATATCATTCCTTTTTGATAGTTACCGTAGAATTTCCATGATCTACGTCTTCGTTATACACCTCAGTTTGGGAATATCTTTCTAGGATACTGACTACTACCAGTAATTCCGAAGATAGCGTATATTTTGTCGTTCTTAATTTCTATATTTTATGTACTTACTACTACATTTAGCAGAAAATACGACTGCTAATTTTATAATTATTTTGATTAAACCTAATTCACTTAAAATGTAATGTATGTATATTGTTCTAAACTAAATAGGCTTTTGTTTCATTTAACGTAACCTAGTGGTTAAATCACTCGATTTTCAACCATAGAGTTGTGGGTTTCAACCAGTTTTTCCCACTTCAGTGTGGCAGACAATATCATTAGCCCTTATATGGGAAAGTGTGATTTAAGCTAGGGTAGATATAACTTAGCCAGTGAGTTACATTAGTCGATATTTTCATACGTTGTTTATCAGTTTGAGTACCCGAGATTTATTCTGTCCTCCAGTTATGCCGAAGTTCATTTTACAATCTTTCATATATATAACATAAGAACTTTATTTATTCTGTTAGGACATATTAGTAAATTTGTCTATGCTGGACACCTGCGTAGCATTGTTCGTTGTTGCAACTTATGGTGAAGGTGAACCAACAGATAGTGCTCGACATTTTATGGATAATCTGAAGAATTCTTACCAGAAGTTGGATAATTTACGCTTTGCGGTAATACTCTTAGTATTCATTAATCGTTGTTATGCATAAGTTAAGTTTTTTTCTTTCAGGATGCCGATTCAAAGTATTGGGTTTTACTATAAAGATATTAAATAACGCAGAATACGTATGAGGGAAAACTAGTTGTTGGTCAGAATTGTCTTAATACCTTAACATTCAAAATAAATTGTTTAGACTGTTGTGTTTGTCGATTAATTGTAACTTATTAAAACCCAAAAAGTTGTTAATTCATATATTCCTTGTAACGAAGCTTGTCTGACCGTGTATTGACAGGTCGCAGTCAAGTTGAGTTTGGCGGTATACAAGTTCATGCAGTATTGTGTGATTGGTTGACCAGCTGTTAGGCGCTATATAATTAAAGATTTTTGCACTCTACTCATTATGAGACTATGATGCAAAATATTAATTAACTAGTTTTCTACTTTGATGAGAATAATGCTCCAAAGATGTAAATTTTCATATCTAGTTGTGGACCGATTATAACGATCAAGTGAAATCATAAAGGTCGCCTACAATATAACACCTAATAAGTTTCTTATTTCAGCCCTAGTTATTAGTCATAGAATTGAAAAACCCTGATCTTTAACTAGTCAAGAAAACTCAGTTGTGTTACGCAAACGGATAAAACCACTCCAAAATACAGCTCTTCTGCTTATTGACTAACAGTATGATTATGAATTGTGGCTACTCAGTCAGTCGGCTACAATATAAGACCAGGCACATATATGCATCGGTCCAAGTTGCCATACCGCATTAGCACCGCAAGATGAACACCGGATTCATAGGAGTGGTTAAGTCAATGGTGGTAATATAAAGGAAAGGTTGCATATAAGGATATAGTACAGGAAGATAGAATTAGTTCGTAGAAAGAAAGATATGAAGCGATTTTAATCTCTTATTTTAAGGGAAGATAGAGTGTATACACCTACGCCATTGTGATCAATTCTGAGCCATATCACCAAGAGTCTCCAACCATTGGTTGCGATAGACACGCCGACCCCAACCGAATAGTCTGCATCTACCGATATGAAGTTACCGTCAATAATGATAACTCGAGGTTTGTTTTCATTTTCAAAAAGTCTGGAAGTGTCAGCATTTCATCGAAATTGTGATTTAACCTCAAAGTTGTGAAAAGGAGTTTAAAAGTTCCATGTTTTTCATAAGTTTACTAACTTCTAGTGATTCAGTGTAACCTGGTGTAAATCTCTGTAGATCTCTGTAGAAATCTCTACTGTACATCAAGTAATGAACATATGTAAAAGTAATGGGTTGTAGATATAACTTTTCATGGACAAAATCTTTGTTTGTCTAATTTTTGAAAACTTTAAAATCCTATCTGATTATAGGTTTTCGGATTGGGCAACAGTATGTATACATATTTCAATGCTGTTGGAAAGTCAATCGACCGTTTGCTTACCAAACATGGAGGTAAACGTTTACAAGCACTGACTTTGGGAGATGAAGTGGATGAATTAGAATCTACGTTTATAAATTGGAGGAGTCACTTAACTTCGTTATTGATCGGCTTTTTTAATCTAAATGACCATGATAGAAATTACTTAAACAAGCAGTATAAACGAATATACTCTTTAAAATGTATTAACTGGAATGTCCCGCTTGTTTCGCACTTCGTGAATATGTTTATAAATAAGGCTCACGTTATGGAAACGTTGTAAGTTTTCATTTTTAAGCACTAAAGTTGTTCATAACCATTCAGACTCAGAATTGCAAAATAACCAGTTTAAGCTGTATATTAATAATTTCCATCAGGGTATCCTTCCAAAGTAGACTTAAGCTGTTACTGTCGTCACTAAAGAGTAAATCAATGTCTTTCACCATCGAATACTAACAGAAACTTCTATAATTCTTAAAACAACTACGAAACAAAACAGTAATAATAAATTGAGTTGCTTCTAAAGGTAAGATCGATTTGTTGTAGTCTCCATCACGTAATGACATCAGTCATTAAAAACATAGGAAGTGCTGGACAGCTATCTCGTTCATCCTAGTATACAAAAACTCGACAGTGTTCACATGTACGCGACAAAGTCAAAAACAGAACCTAGGACCATCCGGTTTCTGCCAGCTCATTGTTTACACGCCTCTGAGTTGGAGTCTAGCGATCTCAAGATCCAACTTAAATTAATTCATAGTCTTGCTTGCACATGTACTTTTGCGCCGCATATATATTCTTATCCCACGGGGTTCGTTAATTAAAAATCACAGTAGACTAACTTTTTTGAACGAGAATTCATGGTAAATGCCATGTTTATTCGCCGTTTTTGATGTTCATAATCACAGATTAGTTTTGGTATCATTAACGAGATGAAAACACAATAGAACATGGTCCTAAATTGAAAAAAATGTATGTTCATGCAATTCTACAATAATATTAAACAAATATGTGAAATTAAAAACTTATTGATTGAGTTGATAGTTGTTTTCAATAAATTCATCAGGTATTAGAGTTATATGTATGTAAGGTGGTGGTTTGAGGTATTCAAGAGGAAACTCTGGACTTGTGTTTTGTGCTACTTGGGACTCGCCTGCAAGGTGTACGTTCAATCTTGGTGGGACTGATATCCCCTGACGAGTTTGACCCTATGTTTTTATAAGTCTTGTGTTACGATTGCAAAATAACATATACATGAAAAAGTTAACTGAACTATTTCATGTTGAAAATAATAAACTTTTGCGTCGGTTAAGGTTTAACTACACCCGAAATGTTTTATTTGTAAAGCCTGATGATAAAGTTATTGAAAATGGTTGTGCACTCAGGTATTCTGTTTTTCTGATGATTGTGTCTCGATCTCTAAACTGTTACATGACATTCGTTACGAACTCGCCTTCAAAGTGAAACTATCAACGGACAGTGGTTTTTTATTACTAAGTAGATGTAAAATAACTGCTTTCATGTACCCTGACAAATAATAATCAATTAAAGAAAGTTAAGTCTTTCTTAGATAGTAAAGTACGAGCAGATAAATTATATGACAAAATAATAGTTACTTGTAAGTAATATTGTTACATTACACAGGTTTTACAAACAATGACTTGTGTTTTTGACCCAAGTGACTAAAAAATGTTATCAATCTCATTCTGACATTATTGTATACCATGCCGATAGACATCGTTTCAACTTTCACCTTGTTGTGTCATTAAACAAAAGAAATAATGCAAGGAAAGTTTGGACAAAATGAAAGGAGTGATATCAAATCCTCTAATGTAAAGTGACTTTTAAGGTAATCTCAAAAGTAGACGGTATGTTTAACATACTAAGCCTATTAAGTCGGTGCAAATGTTTTCCGTTATTAAGCAGAGGGGGTCATGGTTTAGTACTTTATTTGTAGTGCTTTTGGTTAGATGCATCAAATAATTATCATTTCCATTTTATACCTGGACGTTCTTCAGAGTTTTGATAACTGACAATCATATAATTTATTGGATTCGTGAACACGAATGATTTGCATTCTTTGAAACTTGGAATTCAGTTATCTCAAACATGTGTTAGACAAAGATGAATCACTCGAACAAATTAGTAATCCTGAAGTAATATTTTACGTTTGAAGGGAGAAAACCATATCCGAAGCATGACCATATTATTACTTAAGGTGGTCAGAAGACTGAAATTCATCAGCGTCTTCACCTAAGTGAACCATATCTGCGTATTTGAAATCATCAAGTGAATCTCCTGGTAGAAGACTCCCGTAAAGTCGGACGATGAAAGTGTTATCTTCAAAAGAATGTCTATGACAAGGTTAAATATAAATGGAGAAAGCGGACAACCCTGACAAACATCCCTTGGAGTAACCACTTCCAACAACAGTTCGTCAGACGCTCTTATTCGACCAGAAGTTTTCGAGTAGAGAGCCTGTATAAGGTTAATGTAATTCTTTGGTACACTTTTGAATGATAGACACTGCCATAGAACCTCACGATCGATAGAGTCGAACGCTGCCCTAAGTTTAACGAATACAACTACAGTTGGACGTTGATAGGTTTATCTGTGTTCAGAATCTGCCGAAGTGTAGATATTCGGTCTATACATCCACGTCCAGATCTGAAACTAGCCTGGTTTTCTTGGGTTTGTTCTTCATGAGATCTAGTCAGACGTCGAAGTATTATTGCGGCTAATCTTCTAGACACTATATTATTTAAAGTGATTCCTGTGTAATCGTCGCAAGAGGACTTTCGTCCTTTCTCACGGACTGGGACGATCAGCGATCGAGACCAGCTAGGTGGGCTTATGTTTATTTCCTAGATTTTAGCTAAGATTTCAGTTAATCTAACTGTCTAAACTTGACCACCATCCCTAAAAGTTTCAGGGGTTAATCTATCAGGCCCTGATGCTCCCCTTTGCTTTAGGTTACTTACAGCCTTTTGAACTTTACTAATGATTGAAGGTCTTCAGGTAGCTTGAGGAAAGTGGGTAAATGAGTTGTGACTGTGGGCCAGCTGAACTCACAATTTTGTTGCATAACGTACAAAATCCTCGTGTTATATAGCTTTTCCAGGTTTACCTTATTTAGCAGACCAGTGTTTTCTCTTAGGTTTTAGATGATCTAACAACCATTATAATTGACTTGTGAAGCTAAAATATATCACGGTTTTCATCTGTGATTCAACAGTTTATGTGATCTTAAAACTTATTCAGAATTAGTAAGACATTCTATTTGAGTCGTTTTTGACAATGTTGTTTATTCAAACGTTTTGTTTGTACTCTATTCAGACCTATTTATAAATTACAAAGATAAAAAAGAAGTTAGTGCCATACTTTTTCAGGCTTACCATATCTTATTCATATGACGTGAATTAAATTTTAGACCATATGAAAACGACAATTATTTCTATGCTTCTGTCGTTAAAAATCAAGAACTGTATCATGGGAGTTCACGTTCTTGTCGCCACATTGAATTGGATGTGTCTGCTTCTCAACTTAGGTATGTTTATTCATTATCACCACCATTTTATTATGTTTCTAATATGAAAATGGAATTATTTTTATAGTTTGCAGTGTAGATTGAACATTAAGGTTCATTATCACTGATACTCTAGTTCAAGGTTCTTCAATTTAGTCGCCATACGTCATTAGTTATTTTTATTATATTTGCTTTAATGATAGAATTCTAATTACCGTATCGATTTTTGGTCAGATCTTATTTTGTGGTGAAGAGGTACATAGTGAAAAAAATACTGAATTGGACTTCTTATTTAGCATTCATATTGATTAGTCAATGCTGCCAGCGACTATGTAGTCCTATTATTTCTGACTTCATATTAACTTGAAAAATGTTATTTTAAAAATCTAGCATTTATTGTTCAGCTTTCTATCTGTATATGCCCCATCAATTAGCTACGGTTATTTAATTGAAAGAATATGAAGTTGGAAACTTTATAGCAATTGTATCGAAGCAGCATGTAGTGTTTACTCCAGAATTTTATACATTAGTCGACTGTAACGAATAAAATGATATCTTTTGACAGGATCTTTTGCAGGTTGGTCAGCTAAAGATGACGTAGAATCGAGCATATATTTATAATTATCTATTATGTAAACACATAAACATTAGTACAAGCAGTTACCAAATAGATATGCGCCACATAAATCATTCGATTTGCGCGAGGGCTGTGATACTGCCCGGGTGCCCAGTCCGGAGCACGTGGTTATCTTAGGAGGCCACACCCGGACCCTTCAACCTAAAGATCTAGTCCACAAGACAGTAGAGCAACGTGAGGAGATGCAGTCCCATGGTAGCCGGTGACTAACAATAGGTTCATACGCCATTTGTTTCCTTAGGATCCTGGAGCCCATGTGCACCACTGGTTTAGAATAAGTACTTGCCAACCCCTCTTGGTGGATCCTCCGTATCCACCAACATGGTTAAAGCGCCGGACATTTGCTTTTCGCCCTCCTTTTCGTAATTGAAACCCACGCCGCGGGAAGGTAGTGAGTAGGACTTCCCTGAGAGCAGTTGTATGTACGTAACCATGTGAGAGCGGACTCTCCCCACTCTCGGCCATAGTAGGGCATTTGGGGGATTTATATATAGTTTAGATGTCTTTAGCTTCATCCTAATCTGATTCTGCACCAGTTAACATCGTTTATCGGACTAGACTGTGGTTAGTCATACGCATTACATTTCGAAATCACCTCAGCTGATGAAGATTCACAACCGACCTACCGTCTTTATATCCTGCCCTAACCTCAGCACTTTTAACACGGTCGTCCCACGAAGACACGTAATTGATTATTAGTATTTTACAATAAAACAGAAAGGCATAGTAGACTTATGCTTAATATACTCCTTTTCTCGATTAGAGATAGACATCTCTCCTGCAGCAATTAACTGTTTTGCGAGGAAGTGGTTTAATCCTTTTGATCCTAAAGTTTGCCTGGCATACATTTGTTGACGATAGTATGTGCAAATGTTTCTTAAAGAAAATGCCTATTTAATTTCTGTGTAAGTATGAGAAATACTAATTGAATAAAATAACCACAGTTTTTGATTGATATAGCTCCAATTGTCTTAAGAATAATGTTGATTATAGTTTTCTCTACTCCCATTTTGTTGTCAGCCTTTGACTTCCTGAAAACACTTATCTAGTTAAATTAACAATGGCATTTAGTAAACAGGTCCTTTGAAAAAGCAGTTCTTAACTTTGTAGTCTTAATTTTTAAAACTTTAACAGCGTCTATCCTTTTTTTTAAAAAAAAAAGCAATCAACAGCGAGATTTCAATGTTCTTGTCTTAATGTAAGATGAAAAGTTTATCATCAAACAGCTGTTATCTTATTTATTTGAACACAAATATTGGTACAAAGAGGCACCGAATACATATACGCCACAAAAGTCACTTGATTTTTATGTGGGCTGTGATGCTGTCCACTTGCTCAGACTGAAGCAGAACTGTTATTTTAGCGTTCTTCAAAGTTTTCTTTTGAAAATCACTCAGTTTTTTTCATAATCTACAACCCCCTATATTTCCGATTGTATTTTTTTGCATTTTTAATAGTTACTATTTCATCAAGGTGGCATGCTTACTGTCTGTTGGAGTGCTTTTTTGTTTTAGGAGTGTTAAGTTTTATAAAACTAAATGAACTGAAATTATATCCTAACCAAGAGTATCAACATAAAATGTTAATCGTTTTATTTAGAATCAACAGGTATATATATTGTTAGTGTCAATTTCATAAATTGTATTATTTAGTAATTTCTTTTTTCGTATTAGATATAAAACTGGTGATCATATTGCAATATTTGCACCAAACCCTTTAGATCTTGTCGAAAAAATTGGTGGTCTCTTAAACATTGATTTGAATGAAATGATTAGCTTAGATGCTGTTGATCGTAAGTGTTTCCAGCACTGTTTTATCGTAAATTTTTCAAGAAAATTGAAATTTATGTTGCACATTCCATACCATTGTTAAACGAACACAAACCAAGGTAAATGTTACTTTCAAAAAGCTGCAAAACAAAATAGATGACAATCTTCCATATCGTTTATGATTAATATTTGAACTTTTAGGTTGCATTTACTCTTAGATTTTTTTTAATAATTATATTTGTGCGCTGTACCCACTAACTGACAATCACTAGATAGTTCATAAATTCTTAAATATATGCATTCCATTAGTTTAGTCATTTAAGTTTCATTCAGTAATTAATCAGTTACAATTTTACTTCGTATGCAGAAGTTTATTAAGGTATGTTGTACCATTAGTTCACGTACACGTTAACGATGCTTCTCTGTTTAATACATTGTTCCTTATACTGAGTGGTTAAATGTACAGAAAATGTTTCTTGAGTTGATACTCATATGTTCAAATAAAGTCGATTAAGATCATTAGATTGTTTACATAGTTACACAACTCATATCAAGTTTTCGCTCATTGTTTTAAAGTGATTTAAGATACTTTTCAAATTTTCTATTCTTTGTGATCTAAAATGTAAGATGATAGTATGCCAACTCAAGTTGCCTCATTTCAAAGTCTCAGTTTGTAAAGATAACAAAATGTTTAGTTCAGGACGATACAATTAAGAACTATTAGACATAAACCTATTGAAAAGGAAGGAAGCAGAAAATTACTACGACGTTAGGGACTAGATCTTTTGGAAGGTGATCATTTCTTGAGTAGTAACAGTGGCTATAGCTTTTTATAAATGTACTTGAGGTTTCTTCATTCTTTCTTATACATTCCTGATACTTCATGGATTTATGTATTTTATTTGATTAGCTTATAGTTTAACAAAGCATCCTTTCCCTTGCCCATGTACCTATCGTCATGCATTTATGCACTTTGTTGATATTACTGGACCTCCTGGAAAGAGTTTATTATCTGCATGTTTAGATTCAGTCGCAAATCCTGAAGAATCACAGTTTGTTCAGCTTCTTATTTCTGATAGTGAAGATGGAAAAGTACGTTCTATCTGTTTGTACGAAAAAACGTTTCATGGCTTTCTTTAAACAAATATCTCTAAAACCCTAAATCCCTATGCATGTTAACAATTTGTTGTCGACAAATCTCTGCATCATAGTATTTGGATACAGCCGTTGCTGTACTTATAGTCTGTTTATTAAATATTTAATAACAAAGTTTTGATTATTGGACATCATCTCTTGGTTGAATTTCGTTCTTCTTTTCACTTTGGATAAATACTTACTTATTTACTTACACCTGTTCTTTTGATGTCTGCCTCTCACTTCTGGTGCATTATGTTCTTTGGTCTGTTTCTTTTCCTTTGACCTCAAAGATTTGAAGTTAGGGCTTGCCTCGTGGTGCATTTTAATTGCTTCATCAGCGTGTGTCCTATCCACTTCCAACGTCTTTTCCTAATTTTCTCATTAGTTTGAAGCTCCTTTGTCCTCTGCCACAGTAGGTTACTACTGATGGTGCCTGACCAACGGGTCTGGAATGTCTTGCATAGACAACAGTTCATAAATACCTGTAGTTTTATTGTGGTTGTAGTAGTTTTCCAACCTTGCAAAACTGCTATCCATAAAAAATTACTTGGGATAATACTTCCTTTTAATCACAATAAGCCTTATATTTGAATGCTTAGGCAATAGACACCTAAATGTTTCTTAGTCCCCAGAAATTTTGCAGTTTTAAACCTCGAACGAAGAACTGAAACCGGAAAATGTAGAAGAGGTCCTACTTTGAGGCCTTTATGGTAAGATGTATGTGTGGATTCGTCACTTGCTGGTCGCACACACCTGTAAAGAGGTATCTCTTCTTGAAGTGCCGTAAAAATGGACTGGGCTAGTAGTAGTCTTAGCGGCCCAAACAACAGTTGTTTAAGGATGAGAAACATAGTCCTTTGTAAATAGTTTATGGTTTACCCGCTCCATATTTTTCAGCCCTTATCCTCAGCGCTGGAATCCTTAGACCGAGATTTGCTATTTTCACCGCTGATCTTGTTTAACCTTCCGCTACAGGGAGTTAGCGTTGCTTAATGAAAACATCTTACTACAATGACATCCCTGTACAATCAGCAATTGTTGTAAGAGACGATTTGACTGAGGTTAAAACTATCGGAGCCATTTTTCTACAATTTTACTTGTACATATATTAACTGGTTTTTCATTAAGTACCTTAGTTTTATTATTTTCTTATTACCCTAGTTCCAAGCTTTTATTTAAACCGTTATCTGTTACTACAGCATCTTACACTCATAAACTAGAACCACTTACTTGTGTATAGCAATACTTCTACCTAGGACCTTAGATCCATTGCTTTTCGTTTTATATCAATCCAAGTGACCAACGTGGGATGATAAAACCTCAAGAAAAAATTATTCCAGTCAAAGTAGCTTAATTCACTTATTATGATAGACAAGTCTGACCATGCATCTAATTAGAAGTTACAGTTTGGTTTAGTGTAGACATTTCGAGCGAACGTAATAATCTCAGCAGTCACTCAAAAATTGGTTGTCAGTTTTAACCCTGTACTTTTATAATTTGTGTGAATAAATATTCTTCATAATAATGTAGTTTTTTTATTTAGCACTTAACAAATTCATTTAACAGTAATCACAGAATGTTATATATCTAAAAGAAACCTGATTTTACATCGTCATTTAGAAGTTTATAAGTAATATGAACGTAAAAGTCTTATCACAGTGAACAGATAAATGGTGCTGTATAACAGAATTGACTTCGGTACTACACTTTTTTTTAATAACCTAGTTATTAAAAATCCCTTGCTTCTGTATAAAACGTCTTAAAGGAAACATACAGGTTATCCCATTCAATTTGTGCAGCAGAATAGTGAATCGTATGCATCCTTACGTTGAGTAGATTTATAAATCTGCTGTCTGGAATATCAGAGAAATATTAAATAATTGGGATAAATCAAGTCAATCACAGACTACTGGTGGGACAAGCCTGTAAAGCAGTAGAATATCAATCTTTATCATCAAAAAGCTGAGGGAATGGTTTAAGAATATGGTTCATGTCAAGTAGACTGACGTGGTTTACATCTTCACATGCTAATCGATATGATGTGCTAAACTCGCTAATCAAAATTTCCGATGTTAAATCTCCCAAACTTGTCTGCTATCCTGACTACAGCCTAGCGTCTTTAGCCCTAACCAGTGAAGGGTTCTGTCCGGCACAATGAACCCTGAGCTAACGTAAGCTACACCGTTATTGGTCGCCAATCTGCAATTTGTTCTCTATCCCCAGCCTTGAGTCTGGAAGAGAAGTCGACAGTCAAACTCATTATTATTATTATTATTATTATTATTATTATTATTATTATTATTATTATTATTATTATTATTATTATTACCATTATTACTACTTCAATTACATGGCTCAGTTACTCGACATCTATCTCTAACATTCATTAGCTTTTATACTTGGATTGCCAAGCCCTCAGCATTCCAAACACGAATTACGTTAGACACGATTATACCATAAGTGGCAGAGAGCAAAGCAAACAGAATATTGCGTCATATATGTTACTTTGTGAAGTAAGCTCTAAAGCTATGGTTTCATAGTTTGTAATGTAATGTGCAGATTATAGAGTCACTATTTATCTTTAACCAAGTAGGGTTTTAAAGGTAACATTTAGAATAACAGTATGGAGTTTTCACTGTTTTGTTTGACATGATGATGTGACGATATGCTAATCAACCTAATAACTAGCGCTGATTTATCGACTAGTTGATTGTTAGCTGTCTGCAGGATTTTGATTTTTGGTCGTAATCATAAAGTTTTATGCTGCTAAATATGTGTATGTATATCCGTAAATGTCTTTTTTTGCATTATAAAGTTTTAAAAAGTTACCTAAGATATGCTATTTTTCATTATTTTTCAAATTCTTAATAATTTTAAAGAAATTATACTCAAAATGGATTTTAGAAGATCATCGTGGATTAGTCGATTTGTTACAAGACTTAAAATCATTTCGACCACCAGCTGATCTTTTGTTGGAATTGTTGAACCCTCTGAAACCAAGATTGTATAGTATATCATCATCTTCATTAGTTCATACAAATCGAATACATATAACTGCTGCTATACTAAATTACAAAACAAACTCAGGTCTGTATTCATGATTCTTAAGGATTTTTGAAGGGGAGAATACATTTAATCTATTTTGCATATTAAACTAATTAATGATTTGCTTAACTTGGAGTATACACGATATTGATACTGATGAAACACATAATTCTTTAGAATACAAGGCGTAAATTTAGTGTTTGGTATGCGTTCTGCACATGTGAAGCTCATGATAATGATTTCATGTCTAGAAATCTGATTTATCTGACCAAGTCTCCAGATAATACTGTGGTTTTTGTCGAAAACACTTGTGATTACCCAGTCGGTGGTAGAATTCATACATAATAGCATCCAGGTTGGTATGCTTTACGATGTACACAAAGAAGACCAACTATCATCATACCATTCGTATTGCCTGTTAATTTAACCTTCTGCCTTAACATCATATCAGTCAGTGTTCATATTAGCTCTAGTGGATTCTTATGCATTCGGTTTCGGTGCTTATTTATTTATTATTTATTTGAACACATATATATTGGTACAGGATTGCGCCAAATATATATGCGCCACACAAAACAATGAGAATTTAAGAAGAAAAAGAAAAAAGTGGGGAACGTAAAAAAATACTAAAAAAAAACAATAACGAAGAGATTGGTGTAAGTTAGAGTAATAATAATAGTAATAGTAGGGGAACAGAAGGGTACAATCAGAAGAAATCTTTCAGTTAAGGAAGATACAACCACGTTTTATGAAGAAAGTAAAAGAAGGTTACAGCAGGATCGCCACTGGCTTCTATTCTGAGCCATATCTGATAACGTCTCTAGTCATAGTATCGCACCATCTCTCGGACCCCAGCCAGGGAGTCATGAAGGACCAACAGAAACCAGCCGTACATATATTTCTTTCACACCACGACATCATTACATACACTGACCACCTCTCCGCTTTTCCCAACCAGTCCCAGCGTCGGCAAATACTGCACGAAGTGGAATTCTCTGGGATGACATTCGTAAAACATGTCCAAGCCACCGAAGTCGGTGTTTGAAGATGGTGAAACCGATTGCATTATCGTCTCTGTGCCCGAACACACGATGCCAAACCTCTGCATTACTAACATGATTTTGCCACTGGGTGTCAGCAATCCTTCGGAGACAGCGATGATCGAACACAGAGAGTCGTCTAACGTCCTTAACTCGGAGAGGCCAGGTTTCACAAGCATAGAGCAAAACTGCTCTCACCGACGCGTTGTAGATCCGGCCTTTTACAGCCAGACTAACATCACAAAGGCGCCAAAGATGGCCCAGATTGGCATAAGCCGCTCTGGCTTTCACTATTCGTGCATTGATCTCATCACTCACGCCACCATCAGCACTTATGCAGCTACCCAGATACACGAACTTCTCAACTACTTCTATCTGCTCACCATCCAGAGTGAGTACAGGATTAGGATCCTGCCAGTCTTGTAGAAGTACTTTGCATTTCGAAGGTGCAAAGCACATACCATACCTACGGACACTGATTGCCAACTGATTAAGTGCGGATTGCATGCCTTGGGCATTATCGCACAGTAAGACAATATCGTCCTCATACTCAAGGTCGAGAAGTCTTTCTCCAGGCAACAGATCCACACCACCATTACTTACATCCATCAGAGCTGTTTCCAGAATGTCATGGATGGCAAAGTTGAAGAGGAATGGTGAGATTGGGCAACCCTGCCTAACCCCATTGCTCGAATGGAACAATGGAGAAAGGTGTTTGTATGCCCTCACTCTGCATGAGGTGTTTGTATATAGGGCTTTTAGGATGTTAATAAACTTCTCAGACACACCCTTCTTCAATAGACAATACCAGAGAACAGTCCTATCCAACGAATCGAAGGCAGCCCTGATGTCAAGAAACATTACGATTGTTGACCTTTGAAAAGTATGACGGTGTTCTAACATTTGGCGGGGGGTGAAGATATGATCAATACATCCTCAACGAGAACGAAACCCAGCCTGCTCCTCGCGAGTCAATCTTTCACGGGTTCTGAACAACCTACGAAGTATGACGGAAGCCAATAGCTTGGACGCAATCGGAAGTAGACTTATCCCCCGATAGTTGTTACAGGAACGACATAAACCCTTTTTAAAGATAGGGACAACTATCGACTCATTCCATGACGTTGGTACACTCTCTAGCTCCCAGACCTTTGTAAACAACGTCGTCAGTTTCTTTGTCAGAGAGTCACCACCATCTTTAAAAAGAGCCGGAGGCACGTCATCTGGGCCAGGTGATTTGTAGCGCTTCAAGAGTTGGAGTTCCTTGCGGACTTCCTCCTCGTTTGGTGGATCAGTCGTCACCGGCCATGGAGGGTAGGACAGTCTGACCGATGTTGCCGGAGCAGCAGGCCAGTTAAACTGCCCTTCGAAGAATTCTGCCCATCGTCCATGACGTCGATAGATGTTAGTGATTGGGATCCCATCATCCTCACAGACTGTTTCGCTCACACCAGACTTCTTGCTGCCAGTGGCTGGGATGGTGCTTGGTCTAGCTTGTTTAAATTTTCAATGGTACGTGACCCTGGTGAGCGTAAATAAAGTGTACTTTTAAGATGACAGTTGAATCGCACATTAATATTAGTTTATTTGTCTGTTAAACGTGAGATACAGCACGTATCAATGCCATGCTTGTTTTGATCTATAACAAGACTGGTTTATTGATAGATCTACATGGAGACGCGAACGTTGAAAGTGAAAAACTTTTATAACAGCCCCGGTTTTAGAATAAGTGGATTGGATATTTCAGTAGTTAAAGTATTCAGTGTTTTAATAAGGCTTTTACCAAAAATGCACCTATTAGTTGTAATATAATTGGAGTTTTTGTAGGTATGATAAACCTTCTAAGTCACTGAAAAGAGTTGGTTTCAACAATTTAAAATTCCTATATCATTATTTAGTTGGATTCTCAACTCTTCACTATTGTTGAGGAGTTTCACGCTGTTGTGACCAAAATAATTTGTCAGTCAGTTACCAAAATAATTACTTTCCATTAACTTTCTGATAAGTAAAGTGAATTATTTTTCAGAATTTAATCCAAATATTTGTTTTACGAATGTTGGGTATATTATAGCACAGTAAAAATATTTCTAATTTTTCGTGATGTATCAAAATAATCTTTTCTGGTATGATTGTTTTGTTGTTTGTATATTCAGGACGAATATTCAAAGGACTAGCTACTAACTGGTTGAAATCCTTGCAGACAGCAGACACTCAGAGACATTTGAAAATACCTGTCGTCATTCATACCAGTAATTTTAACTTGCCGCGGAGTCGTAAAATCCCAGTCATTATGATAGCTTCTGGGACAGGACTGGCTCCGTTCCGTGCATTTATACAAGAGCGCTTAAAGATGGCTCACGATAAAGGTGATCCACAGTTTGAATTCATTGGTGTTCCCTAAATGCATCGATTTATTATAATTTTTCGTAGAAAATCATTACTACATATATGAGTTCTATATTTGTAGCTTAGGTCAACTAAATGTTTAGATTCAAACTCCTAGGATTTATGGATAATTAGTCATGAAATCTAAAATTATTAGTGCTTTTTTATAGAAGAGACACTACTATTGTCACTGAAGCTTGTGATTTTCCGTTTCTTACACTTTTGGGACCAGCTTGACAATTCTATTTTACCATACGGGATTATTGTACATGTGTCTTGATATTGTTTAAAATAGTATTTATGCTGTATCTGGTGATAATTATCGATAGAAGTAAGGAATCCATCAGGAGTGCCCACATCTTTGTCAACATTTTCCTGATAGAAACGCGCGTGATAAGTTACACGAAGTCAAGTGTTCAATTTAACTGCATTAGGGTGTGAATTTTATTCAAACCAATTCTTTGAGTTTAGATGTTATAAAGTGGGAATGTCTTGATTTAATTGTCTCACTTCATAGTCTAAATGATGATAATAACAATAGCCTATCAAAATTGGATTGACTTTGTAACTTGCTTACTTAAAATCGGGATTGTTTTGTAATGATTATTTAAATGTCACTAGCTACAGAGAAGTTGGTTACTTTTCAGTTAATTGATCGTGTTATGATTTTATGTCCGGCTTTTTATCACGTGATTTATCCGCCAATCAAAATACGATTTATACAATCTTAGCACTGTGTCAAACCAATAACCTTCGACGGTATGAGCAGTCTGGCGTCCTTGTTGGTCCTATGTCCGAATAGCCCTTCCACTTGAGTCCAGAACACAATACCAGCTTCTGCAATATGAATCGAATCGTTTATTTCAGATATACTCGGTTTATGTATCAACCAGACAGACCACAACGTACTATAAAATAGAAAATAACATTTGTACAATATTTGGCCAAATGTGGCTGTGAACTTGGGAAGCAGTAGTCAATAAACTGAACATAGCTTAAGAACCATAAATCGTACAATAATATATTCTAGGTCAAAATAAAGCTTATAATAAGAGGAATATAAATATACATAATCTAATTTTTGAATAGTTATACCATAAGAATATATAGATAATATTAGTCAATTAATGTCTCAGAAGTTACTCGTGGTTTAATCTTCGCTCGGATATAACAGATAGTCGCCATCAAATACTGAAGATGATATTCTTATGTGATTATATTATGTAGCTCATAAAAGACAGACTTCGAATTCGAAAATCTATAGTTAATATAAATCAATGTTAAACTATAAATGTTTAATGCTGTTTTATTTGTAGTTTTAGTGACTGAATTTATCATAATTCTATTTTAAAAAAACTAACCAGAGAAAAATATATTATTACGTACTGAATAACCTTTTCTTGAATTTATTAGGACGATCGGAAATAGTGAAATCCAGCCTAGTGTAATTGCATACCACGAATCTGACACATTTGTCTACGTTTGCAGCTAGTCGTATTTTATCAGTTTGTTCACTATTCTTTACGATATACCATGCATGTCTATTTTTTAGTTGGCAAGAATGGACAGATGGTATTATTTTTCGGTTGCCGGCATGAAAATGAAGATTTTATTTATTCAGACGAATTAAAACAAGCCTGTTCTACTGGCCTACTTGAAATGTTTACTGCTTTCTCACGTGACTCTCCCGATGGTAATAAAGTTTATGTTCAGCATAAGATGCTTGAGATGGGTAACATGGTGTGGAAACTTTTGGATGAATGTTATGCGTATATTTATGTATGTGGGTAAGTAATTTTGAACTTTGCTCAACAACATTTGAAGTTTGTTGTGAAGAAATTCTGATATTTGTTGTCATTTCGCGGCAGGTGTTGTGAGGTATCTGTATAATGTATTTGATTACGGAAAAAAGTATGTACATTGGTCGGTAAAGTATTATTTACACTAGATTTTTTGAAAATTCCACTTCAATGTCATATAAATATTAAACACAGTCCGTTGAAACTTTATAAAGCTCATAAGGCTATAAGCTTTTCTTAACCTTTTAAGATTAACCATGTATTTACTTTCACCAAAATTGCATCATTCGCACTACTTGAATCTCAAGTTTATAAACGCTATTTGCATATGCCACATTCATAAAGCGCCCCAAGATGATAAACGTCAAGTCCTTTGTAATTTGGTAATGAGTCTTTTTTCTTGATAATATTTGGATTTTTGTAGGTCACTTAAATTGGTTATCCTTTTCACATAGTCCAATATTTTCCTATCAACCGTAGCTTTATTCAGTTTTTAATTCTTTCACGCTGGAGGTGCTTTACTAATATAATTGTTTTGAGTTACCAGTTTTGAATCCCCCAAATTACGTCTAACTAACCAAGTTTTCGAATGTGTCCTATTTATATTCGGAAGCCTTTTGAAAGATATAGTTTATCTATGTTATCGGAATTCTATTCATAGCTCACTGATCAGTGTCATTCAAATTATGTCCATTAAGCGAGATTAACCAATGGTCCTTAGATAACTTCAGGTGGTTTATAATAGGGATCACTTGTGCAACTGCTTATCCTAATCATTAGTCTGAACTAAATATGCTTTTCGACATGTTTCCTAGGGATGCCGCTGGTATGGTGCGTGACATGCAATTGTGTTTAATCGAATTAGTAGTACAACATTCCAAATTAACAAGAGAAGCTGCAACCAGCTATATACTAAACCTACGAAAGCAGGGACGATATCGTACCGATGTATGGAAGTGATTTTGAATAAGCTTCTGAATAATATGTGTAGTGTACCACATTTTTCCATGAACCTTTATTGATAACCTCTAATTAATAAAGTCTTGTTAAAATATCTAGAACATTTATTTCCATATAACTTGGGTGAATTGTTTCAGAACTTACATCAGCTGTCACAATCTGCAGATTCCAGCTTGGGTAAAGCAAATAAGACCTCCCACTTATGATTTTTTATTGAAATACACTTGTAACAGTAACGATTTTTCGTCAGATGTTCTTTACAAATATATATTCAAACAGAAACACAACGAGTCATTCCTGTACTGTCATTGAACTCATCTTTTAGTATACGTGTGTCATAGGTTATGATCTGTGAGGATTTCCCAATAAAAGCATAATGGAATGATAATTCTTTTTAATTTTAAAAGAGATAGTAGTGGTACTATCAGGGTATATATCGAAGAAAACCGTCGTCATGAGCAACGCGAAATGTTGAGGAGTAGTTGGAAATGACGAAAAGACGAGGTTTTATTAGTGTTAGTTCGCCCAGTCGTCACCTACTGCTAATTCAAATGGACACAAAAATACAGCGATTGTAGGCGTCATATAATGGCTGAAGGTAGAGATATCTTTACTCTTTATGCTGTTACAAATAATGAATTCCCTAAACTTATCTTTCAACTTGTTTTTGTTTACATGTCTCAGTTTATTATCATACTTTAGGTCATTACTGATACTTAGTAGTTAATGTTCCTATTGCGTTATTGTTAAGTGTTAACTTATTGATGTGAAGAGAAATAGAAAAGCGATATTGAACAACGGAAGCCATTTCCTAGGACATCGCTTCACTTAGTTCAAAGTCTCTAAAGTACTAATATTTGTCCCTGTTTTATTTTATGTTGGAAGCTTTCGTGTAACGTATATGTCACTGTAATCTTTTCTACTCCAAAATTACTGGAATTCTGACGTAACGTTTGCACTCCATTTTTCTACTCTAATGCCCTAGATTGGACGAAACTGTTTTTCTTATTTTTTATGAGTTTGTTGGGGAAGATATTATCTCCAAAACTCATATTTGTAATTTTATCATATCGATTAAATGATTAAATAGCAGTCAACTGATGAACTCATTGATTAATGTTTAAAAATTTCCCATGACAATATCGATTATATATACTTGTATATATACGTTTTAAATTGTGTTTGTGGGCTCGCTCGTTTTCTGGCTGTTTTGCAGAATATATTTTCCATACCAAGCTTGGACTTCTCCTTCTAGGTAGCGGGGCTGGAACGCATCAATAGCTAGATTACTGGTCTTTGGTCACTGAGTCTTGTTCTCGTTCGTAGATTAAGTGAACTCGTGAAGCTTCAAACCTAACAAAGTTGTAGTCTTTCTAGTCATACATCTAACTAGATCAAGAGTAAATCGAGTGATTTTCCGTCCAATTCTTCTCTTTCCTGTCTTGTTAACCTAATAATCAGGTAATAGGTCAGTTATAAAAGTTTTCTTTTCTCTGTTCTTAACACCCTCCAGCCACAATTGAACTCACGCATTCTCCAGCCTCAAGACTTTAAACTAGGTTGAGACAATTCTCTCCTGTACATTAGTGGGCAAACGGATCAATGACGTAACACATATACACTTAGACTGTATGAAATTTTGTATTTCATCGACGTTACTATACAGTTAACAAAATATGCTTTATGTAATTTAATGGGTTGTATAATCTCACGTACATAAGAATGATAGCGAATTAAATAAAATTCTATTTGAAAAACAATTATTCATTTTACTTCCAACAATGGTAGTTCTGACTTCATATTGACGAACGGAATAGTTCGACCAGTGGAAAAGTAAGTGATCATTTTCCTCACTGATATATCTTCAAATGTACTGAAGGTTGTATAGTGATAAAAAATGTTTGCAAATATTGCAGCATATTCAACTGCAGAAAACATAGTATAAGCTAGAATAGAAACATCAAAGATGGATGAGTTGTTACTAAAATAACGGATCAGAATTTATTTGTGAATTTTGAATGAAAATATTAAAGCTATTCGTACGATAAAGCGAGTAGACAAGTAGCACACGCCTCTGTAAATATAGTGTAGCATTCGAGACTGCGAGGCAGTTTGGTATTCTTCAGATTGTATAAGTTTTATCCAGGGAGCACATAACACATCCGGCAAATACCGGTTTGTATTTGGCTTTTAATAAACTCAACAAAGGTAGTTTATTTTAAGGTATAGGCTGTTCCACAAACGTTTGTGTTTAATAACTTGATTTTAAAGTATATCCACTATAAATATGATTGTACTTTCACAGATACCACTCAACTACGCCATTTGGGAGAACCTATCAACTCCTGGAGCTTCTTTCCTCTCTTAGAAGTGATTACTCATATCATGAATATCCATGGATATAAATTCAAATGGACAGAGTGAACTACGTAGTTTCAAGGTTCACAGTAAATTTGTTAGCTAGTGAATTAAATTCGTAAAAAAATTCAAGATTACTACACAGTTCTGGATTGTTTTACGGTCCTTACTAAACATCATATTAGTATTAAGAGAACCATTTTCTCACATTCAGATTGAAAATCTGTTCGCCGCGTTGCTTCTTATCAACTGGTAGTCAAAAATTGGTAACACCAGTTAGGTTGAGCATTTAACCGGATGAAATGGAAATTATGCTCATTTAAAAGCCCTTGGTATCACTGAGCTCCTAAATAAAAAATCTACATTCACACTACACAGAGAAAACTATTGAGAATTTTCCCTACGATGAATAAAATAACTAAAATATTAGATAGGTACTGTAGTTTATTAAACGTACCATATGGAGGACAAAATGTCATGTGAATCCAATAACACAGTACAAGAATCAACAAACAAATTAAGTAGAACGTCATAAGATATATCTTCTTTCCTAATATGGTACTCTGGAAAACGATGAAATCATCGGTATATTTAGATAGTAAAATATAGGTGCATGAAACATTTATGTAAAGCAAATGATTCAAGAAGACATGTGTATACACGGTTGGAAGTTAAGAAGCCGAAAACTTAGCCATAACATACACTTCTTCATAACTAAAAGTTCAGGTATATTACCTCCTACAAGCGCTTTCGACTTCGTTGTGCCTCACCTTCAACGTATTTTGTTCACACGTATACAGTGTGATCCAACCACATGAAAAACGTGTTTATAAAAACGCATTATTGGCAGCATTTCAGTTTTAATCACGAAAATACTTTAGACCAAGTTGATGTGTGTTCAGAGTTTACTGAAAGCTATAGATGTTACTTTAATTTGTGAAAGCAAAACTTGAACGTTAAGTCTAAAATTATCTTCTCGATGTTTTTAAACCTTACCTGGGTGTTAGTTAAACTTACATCAGAAACTCGGTACATCCATAGAGTGACGTTGAAAGCGGCTTAGTACACATTTGTACAAAGAAGGTAATTGCCAAGGTAAATTATACTTCATAAATATGTCCTGGATAATCGACCGTCTAAAACGTAGGTGTTGGTGGGAGTGTATACCTGCCCAAGCAACCACGCCTCAGCAAAATGGGAAATATCAGTTGCGAGCGAACCGTGAGATTAAAATTAATTTATACCTTTCTTTCCACAAACTAATTCTTTCCTCCCGTATCATACTCTTATATGCAGTCGCCTTCTGTATATTACTACCACTGAAGTAACTGCTTCTATGAATTTGGTGTTCTCCTTCTTGTGCTAACTGTCTAACAGTATGTTGGGAAGTTATATCGAGGTCTCGTACACTAGATGATTTCATTCACATATAGCTAGCTACTCATAGAAACTCGAAAATCACGACAGAAATATTCACACCCTGGTATTTCGAGACCTTTTTCACTATCCGGTTATTCGAGAAGTATTAAATTAATGTTACCTAGCATTTTATTATCATCACTGTAGCCTGGAAGTCAATCAGTAGGAAATATGGAACATCTCTATGGACACCACCCATAATACCAGACTCGTGGTTTTAATTACGCTCAATAAACTTCCAAACAATATATTCGCTAAATGAATAGCTTAACTACGTGAGCAAACCACTCAACTAAATGACAACACCGTCGGATGAAATTCTCAAAGTTAAATCACTGGCAAGACCGAATAGAAAAACATGATACATATTTCATTATTGGCAATCAAGTTAAGTTGTTTTTAGAAATTGGGTTAAATTATTCTTACCAGAAAAGCATTTTCAGTTGTTTTAAGCCTAAGTTGTAATACGTAAACATCTGTTATCATGTAGACCACCGAGAACAAAGCAAAGACACAGAAGTAATTGCGATGCTGAACTTAAAGGAGTTATTGTAAAGTTGACGCTCACTGTAGTTAACAGATGAAGAAACAATGCTAAGCATATTGAGCGAAAATATTTCAATAAAACTTGAAAGATATAGCAAGTTGGAAATGCACATATGGTCTCCGCCTGAGAATGGATCGGAGAATTTACGGGAATTTATGTAACTGTTTGATAGAAGTATCAGCCGCACAATCGAACTAATTAGAATTGATAGTATCCATATTACTCTGTGAGGTCCATTACCAGCAGTAGCAGCACTTAGAGACGGTAAGTAATTGGTATCCTACAAAGCCTAAGTTCCGTTGTGATAAATCAATTTACTGTGCAATCAAGCCAGCTACATGGATTCGTAGTCATACATCTAAGAACACATATTATCAGTGAAATTACTGGAAGCAATGCGACAACGACAGAGATATGTCGAAACGTTACGTAGAAACTCATTCAAATTAGTTACAAGGGACGTTACAAATGACATTTCAAGGTCAAAAACGGATTACTGCGCATTTACAGTTTCAATCGCAATCACGGAAAATTCGCTGATGCGCCGACAGATGGTAAGGAATTTGATTTTGAGGGGTTCACGTTAGTAAGAGCCGACAGATTCTAGAAGCGTAAAGGAAGGGGGGGTAGCTCTATTCATCAGGAATACTATCTCATTTATTATTATCTACAGTGTATCCCATGAGAGTGGGACGTGTGAATTAGTACTCTTAGCCCTTGCATTCCAAGGGACAAGAGCTATCGATTGGTTTGCTTTACCACAGTCCAAGCAAATGAGGTCTTGCTAACCAGTCTCAGTACTTGGTCACAAAGTGGTCGATGTCTAATCCTAGGAGAATTTAATGCACCCACGGTAGACTGGACAAATCTGATAATTGAATTTTCAGAAAATTCCTTCAAGCAAGAACTATTTGGTGTGGTTGTCACATGTGCCCTAATACAACATGTGAAAAAAGCGACTAAGTACGACTCGGACTCACCCTTACTAGATCTTATAATGACCGATTATAAGGATGACGTCACGAACCCCGATTACATGCCACCCCTAGTTAAAAGCAATCATGCAGTCCTAACCTTCGACTTCCACACATCTGTAAAAAATGAGGATCCATCAGGTTAATCCAGACTTAACGTCTGGAAAGCAAACATACCAGATATCATGCACTCAGCGTCGTTAGTAGATTGGCAAATAGACCCAAAGTCCTCAATTGAATCAGCTTGGGACGCATTTCGAAATATATACTTAAAAGTTACCGCACCCCACATCCATTGGATTATACTAAGGGGGCCGAGAAACTCCCCACCATGGTTCGGTAGGGAGGCTCACATCCTTCTCCGTAAGAGAACAAAAATGTTGGATAGATTTAGGTTACTGAAGACTGATGAGACAAAATCTCAGTATCGAAAAGCTTGGAATACCTGTGCCTCTACCCTCCGTAAGTCTAGAACGTTGTGCAAAGAAAAAATTGATAAGGAATCCATAGAATGTCTTAAACCCTTGTATTCCTAATATAAACCAAGGGACAAAATGAAGAGGAAATATTCCTGCACTATGAGGAGACAGTTCTGCCGCATCATTGGTGTAGGTGACTTTGGTAAGGCTCAAATGTTCTCAAACTACTTTAGCAATGTATATATCATGGAAGCGCACTTTTCGTCAGCGCACACAAATCCCCCCACACATACACTGGATAGCGTGACCATTAAGTAACTTGATGTCTTTGGTCTGATGAATAAGCTTGACATAGGTAAATCCACGGGGCCCGATGAATTGCATCCTAGGCTACTGAAGGAATTATCTAACTTTGCTGCGAACACTTTGAATATATGCTTTAATCTATCCGTAATGCAGGGTCGTTCACCAAAAGACTGGAAGAACGCCATAGTAAGTCCTGTCTTCAAAACATGTACGAAACATAAACCTGAGAATTACCGACGCGTTAGTCTAACTAGTGTGGTTGTTAAAATATTAGAAAAAATTATTCGGGAGGAGCTGTTTAAATACCTGGATAAAAACCGGATCCTTTCGTGGAAGCATCACGGTTTCAGAATAGGTTATTCTTGTCTCACTAACTTATTAGTCGCCCGTGAAAGCTGGTGTGCTCTTGAGGACCAAAAGTTACCCGTAGACGTAGCCTACATTGATTTCAGCAAAGCTTTTGACAAAGTTCCGCACAACCGGCTGTTATATAAGCCAAGAAATGCCGGAATTGGAGGCAACCGATTGATGTGGATGAAAGACTTCCTAGTTGGGCTCCAACAAAGAGTACGGGTGAACTCAATGTTATCTAGCTGGGAAACTGTACTTAGTGGAGTGTCCAAGTATACAGTTTTGGGGCTAGTGTTATTCCTCTTGTATGTAAATGACCGTCGTTTACTATTGTAGTGATATACTTTTATCAAGAGAACGCGATTGATTTAATGGAAACAATTATTACTATAACCAATTGTACCAGTGATTGTTTTCCTGTTCTTGTTTGTTTAACTATGCTAAAGGCATTCTTCCTCCCACTGATTGTGACCTTGCACAAGCTGACGTTTGCTCAGTAGTTCCGCTTGTGCTCCTTTGGCACGATCTTGGTATTATTTCGATACCACGAGATCGCCGACAAATATATCTCGCTACAACCTTCAATCGCCTTCTGATTTCTGGTTTACTCAAAGGTTGAGCCTGTTCTGGTACGCAATCTTCTTGTGGTAGTGATCATAGTGAACCGCGACACGACGCCACTCTACTTTCATCATCAGTCTGGCTATATGCTGATGATGTCAAGATATGAAGAGCAGTACGAAGTAAGGGTAATAGCTTAGAACTCCAAAATGATCTGGAGAAAATATCTGATTAGTTTCAAACTTGGCAGTCGCCGATAAATACCTCCAAGTGAGTTGTGGTGCATACCCGTCACCAAGGTACACATATATACACAATCAATAACACTGAGCTACCCGTTGTCCAGAAACACAATGACTTAGGAATCATCGTTAGCCAAAACTTAAGGACTGCTGCACACTGCAGTGCAATAGCCACCAAATGTTTTAGAACCTTATTTCAATAAGTAGGGTCATCAGTCATGTCGACGCTAAAACTTTTTAAAAATTTGTACGCAGTGTTCGTGTGTCCTAAACATGAGGGCTACATACAAGCGGCTAGCCCCTGATTAAAAATACAGTGAGCTTTTGAAACAGGTTCAGAGAACAGCAACTGAACTGATTCTCAGAATAGAGAAGTTCCCGTATGATGCTCAAATGGCCAAGCTAAACCTATTCCTGTTGTCATATCGAAAAACTAGTGGCGACTTGATCATAGTTTTCAAATTGCTTAGTGGTAAATATGCACCCGATATGCCCTCATTTTTATTGTTTTTCAAAACAGAGAACTTACGAGAACACTCCGAAAAGTTCGCAAGCCCGGAAAAAATCACTAGTCAGCTAACTATCAACTTTTTCATCGAATTATCAATGTGTGGAATTCGTTACCTCAGTACGTGATTGAAGCACCATCTGTCAGATATGGTTGGTCTTAATGATTCACACATTTCTGATAGGATTTCTTATAAATCGAGAGAAAATATGTTGGACGAATTAAATCGTGATAAAACATCCGAGGCAGTTTTGGTAGATGATAATTTTTCTAATGATCTATTATTGTTTAATGAAATGCTCGACATATTTGAGGAAATTATTTTTGATTTTCTATCAGTTGCATATTTTTCACTTATTTGTTTTACAGGTGAATCATACGTGTTAATCATGCATATCAATGCATATTTATCTGTGTATTGTAGTATGAATAGTAAAAGAAACATGTATCATATTTTTATGCAAGTCAAAAACACATGAGGGAGTGCCTCAAATTATATGTCATGTGTGTCCGCAAATATGTGCACATAATAACCGAAACTTGTGATATAAGGAGATAACCCGAATTCGGAACGTCGAATTATCATGAAATGGTGACATAAGAAATCTACATTATTTCGCTTTGGAACATTCATGACTCGAATTCTGGATATCAGTGTTTTCGCTAAACAACCGACATGGTGATTGTATACAATTCCAGGACACAGTAAGTCTATCCTAATCTCGTTTGTTAACTCTAATACTAATGAGTGGATTACTTATATTACATAGTCTATATCCAATACATTTTACGAGCTTCAACATTACGATCTTCAAGAGAAGCAAGAAGAACTTGAAGAGAAAAAGTACAATCGATTACAGACATCGACGTAAATTGATTAGATTGATGATCTGCGGTCGTTTTCCATCATTGAGGCATGGAGGCAACTTAGTTGCGTTGTGTATCTAGGTGTTACGAACTTTCTAATGAGCTAATTCATTGTTTCCAAAGTCGCTCGATGGTTTTTCATAATTCATTACAACATTTGTGATTAACGCTAGCTCCAGGATCAAGCTTCTATGATGTGGTGTGGGATATTTCCTCGTTCACTCTCCGTTTCCAGTTTTATCGTTTACCACAGTGCTTTGGAGCTGTCACCGTTGAAAAACAGACCCATTAAAAATAATCATTATTATTATGGCGTGTCCGATCGAGCACCTGGTTTCTTACGAATGAGGAATATAGGTGCAGTCTAAGCTATCGAAGGAATTTTCGCCGTTCCTTGAAATGCCCTCTACGTGAACTTTGAATTCCTGAAGTTTACCAAGCAATTTATGTGTTGCTTTAGTGGCCTCAACATAGTGAGACTATGTGAACTTCCCCAAAAGCCACTTTACTCGTTTTGACCTATCAGTTGCAAGCGAACTGAAGGTTACCATGAGAAGTCAGAAACTATATAACATAGGCGTTTGTAAGGGTGCTTATGAGTGTCCTAGTTCTGGCCACCGTCCACACTAGCTGACTTTGGAGGATAAGATATTTAAGGCAAAATAATACAAGTGATTTTAAGTTGACCGACTTTTGCATCAAGCTGCCAAC